CAAAGTTCAATAATACTAATATAATTAAGTTTGGCTGTCAAAAGGTCAACCTTTTTATTAAAGGAGGATAAGACTTGACCTAGAAGAATCTCACACGGAGATATAAGAGGAAAACTCGAATGATGAAACTCTACCTTTGCACATTTATGTTTATGTTTTGTTGAAATATTCACAGATTCAAACTAACATAACCATAGTGGTTTGGAGCTTTTGTAGAGTTTCAGCCCACTCTGTTGCTCAGTGAAACGACAAAATAATACCAATTGAAGCAGATAATAGTGTTAAAGTGAAATAACATACTGTATATCAATCTCAATAAAAAATGTATCATTTAAAAAAAGTTTTAATGAGCTTTCCCTCAATCAGCAGTAGCATACCAATATGTACAGTAGGTGGTCTCGAAGTACAAAATCAAATCTTATTAACTATTAAAACTCTGATTACATGTCCAACCTGGAAGCTTTATACTTGTGTTAATATGTCAGATAACAACTGTGTCTGTCTAAAACATACATTTAATTAGGATTTTATTTATTTATATGGAAGTCAGTGAATCTCATCCTTTCATAATTGATGCACCTGACATAAATTTTGATACCAGACGATGTTTCCTTTTCATTCATTATTCAGTGTCTCTTAATGGACGAATCCCCTTTTTCTAAATGACACAAACGACACCCCAAATGTATAAACACTTGATTTTATTCTTAACAGAATAATCCAACAAAGGGTGTAGTAGAGCGTTTTCAGCGTAATAAATGAAGCGGTGGGATAAAAAGGTTTGTAATCAGGGTGGACATAAAGTGCAGGTACAAACACTGGCTGAGTCACGACTCGGTGACGTAACACGTACTGCAAACGTGCAACAACAACTCATCGTTCACCGAGGACAGTCTGAGAGGGCTGCACAGAGAATCCCGCAGTGTGATCATATAGACTTCATTTCAAGGATGATTAAGATGTTTTTATTGTGATTACAGCCACTCCCGTACCAGCAACATTTCAAATGAAAGTAAAATGTGACTAATGCATTTTGTAATTGTGTTTTTGAGATAAAAAAAAAGGCAAACTTTCCAATTTACCAACATCACCGTCTAATTCAGATACTTAGATTTACAGTTGGCAGCCAAAAAACAACGGAGGAATTAAAGATAAAGGTTTTAGTCTCCAATTAAGAAATAAGCAAAATAATAAATATGATCACTGTTGTTCGTAACTGTGCAGCCCTCACATGTATCTTCATAACAAACATTTGTATAATGGAAGAACAGCATTGTTGGTGTGTAACTGGAAAACCTTGTGAACAGTATTAACAACATCAAGAGCGACCACAGAGACGCCTTTTTACACGAAACCTCACCATCTTCTTCCTCCGTCTCCGTTCTGAAAGCCTCGAACCAAAACGACCACGACGTGTGATTTTAATTCTTAGGTGAGCAGCATATAAAAATAAACTTTATGTCACAAAGTGGAGGTGGTGAATGTTGTTTTCACTGGGTTTGACACAAAGGTACAAAAAGGCCAACAAACCCAACAATCAGCCAGTTCTGCGCTCCATTACACCGCTTCAAGTTCTTTCTTCAAGCTTAGAAAAACAGGGAAGACACACAGACGCCAGCAGGGTTTTAAAAAAGCTAATTTCTGTGAAGCCAATGATACTTGGTAATCTTTGATAAATGTTAGCAGCTGAAACGCAACCGTGCATTTATAATTCATGTGTTTCTTCAGGTGTTTTGACAGATTTAAGCTCATACATGCAGTGTTTATTCCAAAAAAGTTCATATCTCAAGGTCCATTTAGCAGCTTTTTCTAGAGCTTTCATCCACATATCATGGTCTTCCTCAGCAGATGGAGTTTGCTCAGTTGTTGGTACTCCACACTTATGTCATGTGAAAGCAAACAAAGACCGTGAGGTGAGTTTGAAAGCTCCAGATAAAAAGCTAGTAAGAGGACGCCGAGTTAAGATTTCTGTGTAACAACACTAAAGTTTACAGTTTTCACAATCTTAAATTCACGCTTAAAAATGCACAAACCTCATATGCTGAAGCTAAAGTGTATTTTCAAGATTATAAACGTGATCCAGCGCCCCGAGTCCCCTAAACTTTTCTTCCAACTCAAAACAGGTGTGAGTTTCAAAACTTAGAGGTGGAGTAAGCGATTCTAATCTGAAAAACAGTCCGCTAGTTGTTTGTTCTGCGTGTGAAAACTTAAAACTGTAAATGGGAAACCGAGTCACACAACGCTACTCCAACAATTCCAGCCATAATTTGTCACCTTCAGCTTACTCTCTCGTTCACCCAGACATGCTGTTGTTGTGATGTTGCTATAGTACCAGGAGAGTTGTTTCAATGTCTGCTTTCAGTGTTGTTACTGTGAACAACTTAGCTTAGCATAGCATAGCCCGGATCGATCCAAACTCCATTCAGAAAGAAACACATTTTAAAAGTTGCTGTCCTGCTGACAGACCTGACAAAGCATGAATTCATATGTTTATCAAATCTGCATCACGTTTTAGTTATTTCGGCATCAGTTTGATCCGTTTATTGCTATTAAATCACAGCAAAGTGTTTATTTTGGGTTCATACAGCTGTAGTAATCGCGTTGTGTTGGTAGTAGTCCAGCGATAAAACCCCCGCGAGGGTTAAATTCACGTTTGGTCTGAATGCACAGTAAGACTATCTCATCCTCTCCGCATGTGAGCTTCATGTTAGCTTTGCAGCAACATAACAGAATCGCTTACTGCACCTTTAAAGAGGGAGCTTGAAGGAAAAGTTGGCATTTGTGGGCGCTGTAACAACATCAGGGAGTAAATCTTGCTATGTCACAATGTCGTTCTCAATCCTGAGGTTGTCAAATACCAATGTTTTGTCACGCCCCTCGCCCACCAGGCTTTCAACTAAAGTCAGGTGACGTATAAAAGGCAAGAAAGTCAGCGTATGGAGAAGGTCCAGGTGGATGGATGGGTCAAACAAACACAGGACTTTCGCCGTGTAGAGGAGAGCGGGGTGAGTTGAGCCCGTTTTTGACAGTAATGTCTCCAACTAAAATATGTACATATATTTTAGGATGTGGTGCGTCCCTGGGAATAATCACTTTGGATCTAAAATAAACTGTTTTCAAAATCTGGCTTTTCAAAAAAAAAAGTGGACTCTTGCCCCACATAAGGGGTAAGTTGAGCCACATGGGGGTCGCGGACATCGATGTCATCGTGCAAACTCAAACGCCAGGTCAAAACATTCAATTGCACTTAGATAGTGAAGCATTGCAGCTATGTCTCCGAGTTGTTTCATATCAATGTATCGCTTTAAAGTCATCCTGTTTATCATACTTCCCGTTTTTGTACCTCTCCCACTGCTCGGTCCAAACCCACAACAGGAGTTGAAGCCTGTCTGTCTTCCATTTATAGAAGCATGACATGATGGTTTCTGGTCTAAAATACATAATGTCACATCATTTTGGTGATGCATAAGAATGCAACGTAAAATTACATCAAAATAGTTGGTTCAACTTCCCCCAGGTCTTTGCCATTTTAACAAAATTGTGTCATCCAGCATTTTAAGAGTAACCTCATGCTAACAGTTTAGCCTCATATTGTAATTTCCTAAAAGACTAACACATGCATAAGATTTTCACACAACAATCACGACTCCTTGAACATAAAAAAATCACTTTGAACGGCAAAAAAAACTGTTTTTTGATCTTAAATGTGCTCATCACTTATTCCATAGGCTTCTCTCCATCGCAGGATGAGTAAAATGGATGACTCTTCAAAAATGTGTGGTAACATGACCAATTTTTTCTATGGCTGCCGAGAAGCCATAGGGGTGACTCAACTTCCTCACAGGCTCAAGTCACCCCGCTCTCCCCTACCGCATGAAACCAAAAGTCAACTCTGACTTATTTAAAATATGAAGTTACGTGATGTTACTTCACAAAACGTAGGTCTACATAACAGGATGTGCTTCTTTTAACGCAACCTTTTGCTACACCAAACTGCATCCGTTTTCACGTTTACCACATTAATGTGACAAAGCGCCGTCGGTCATTGACAACCTGGGATGAGAACGTGTCGCGGCTTTCACCATCGCAGTCAAAACTACATTCTTGTTTAGAAAAAGGTCCTCGGAAGTACAACTAACTACCAAACCAACAAACCCACCGGCTCAACCAGAACTGAACAGCTCTTGGTCGGTGGTGATTTCACATCCTGGTTGTGGCTCTGGACAATTAGGACAAAAGGAATTTACAAATGTTACAAAACCTATGGTCATACTTCAGCTTTGAAAATTATAAAGTACGTACACGCCTTGTGTTAAAGTAGGAATAGTTAACAAAATATATTATACAAAAAGTCAATACATGAAACTACATTTAAAGCATTTATGTGTGTTTATGCTTCACTAGAATCAGTGAATAGTCCGTAGTTTCCTTAGACGCCGAGGCCTAAAGATTTAAATCTGTAGATACTTGTAGCAGAGAGCATTAAGAGATCAAGTTACAGAGAAGAAACACAAACACGTCACCTGAACTTTCATCTACGTTACTCTGAAACTCAACCGTCATGACAGCAAGTCTCCTAAAGTAAGAAATCCAACAATTGTGTTTCAGTTGTGAATAAACTTGCGATGTTCTTTGCATTTCAGGAATTATTCTGTCTCCTCAACCTGCCTCTTTTCTTTCTTCTGCTTCAGTTAGAGAATCCTACATTTCCCAGAATCAAATTCACTCCTGCTCATTTCCCACTGCATTCTGATCCATTTGCTGCTCCTGCTTGTGTATAAAGTGCCATCTGTGCTCTGCACTGATCATTTTACCCTCGTACGAGAGTTGAAAGTTTAATTAAAAAAACAGGAAGAAGCCCTCGCTCTTGATTTTAAGAGACCAACACAAAAACACTCGTCATTTTCTGGTAATATTTAACGGCAAATTTCCAGCAGATTCAGCTCTGTTGTGACTGCTGGAGAAGAAATCAGTGTCCAACTCACTGCTCTTTTCTCCGCTCTAGTAAAGTGTTGCCAGAGTAGCTTGCATCTCTGAAGTGTGAAATTCACTTGTGAATGTATATAAATGTGTTTCTTTATTAGCAGTTTAGTTAAAATTTATATTTAAACCTCCATAAACTGATTTCTTTTGGCCACATGGGGGCAGCAGAAACAAGTTTTAACCAACACTGACGTATCATCACCTTTAAGTTGAACTTGTTAGCAAAGAGTTGCTTACACCTCCAGCAGTTACAGAGCAACATAATCATTCATTTGGAGTCTCTATTAGTTGTGTTTTGATCTCTAGGGAAATATCTGGCTCTTTAGCTGCTAAACGCTCCACTCTGTTCACCAGCTGGTCTCTAACTGTGTCTGTCTGCTGTTTGCTGCTGAGCAGGTAGTGTACGGCATGCTATGAGGGCGCTGAGAGAGAACCAGAACACTAAAGTTGTGCCTGGAGAGATAAACAATGAGCTGAAACTCACTATAAAGCTGTGTAAAGCTGAGGGGAGCTGTTACACACATAGTGTCCTAAACAAAAGAGCAAAAGAGTCCCGAGACATCTTCTGCAATTAACTTAAACAAAGCGGGTCCTGAAATGCAAAGTACGTCTCACGCAGATCTGCGTTAAAGGGTTTTTAAGTTGGATTTGTCCTGTGAGATAATGCTTTTTACCATCAGCTGATCCCTTGAGCGAGACATTCAGTCCCTACTTTGTGTTTGGCTGACATCAGGAGAGTTATCAAAAATAATATCACCATACGTCCAGGAAATAAAATCCTCAATGACACAAGCTAAATCTACCAGCAGCATATAAAATTATTGTGCTGCTTTGAAACAACTGCGCCTCCATCTGAAGTTTTACTGCATCTCGGAAGTTATGAAAAATGGTTAATGAAAAGGTATGATGTCCAAACAGACTGAGTATTGCACAAACAAAAACATGTCCAGTTCTGAGAAAGAAAAAGAACAGGAATTAAAGGTAGAAGCTTCCTCCAAATGAACGGATCCTGACTTGTGTTGGAAAGCTTGTGTTGTGTCTCTCTGCTCAGTTGGCTCCATTTTCATGTACAAACATTAACGTGCCCTGATTTATGTGTTAAATCAAAGAGGATTAAAGAACTCTGAGATGTAAAAAGAAGAAGAAGAACAATCAGCCCACTTGGGGTAAACAAGAACTGGTTATAGAGGTAATAATTTTTTATATAAACATTCCTTGCAGAAATTACCATGATAAGAACTGTTATTAAGAACCGATGATGAATCAGACGGATAAGCAGAACTGGCGTTAATAGAAATCCAAACGATACCAAACCCCAGCAAGACGGGGTACAAAACACTTGGGTGTGTGCTGCCTGGAGGTTCAGTCTTGCAGGCTGCCTGCTCGTCACTGGTCCCGAGCTTCATACAGCAGTTTGGCCGCCTGTGGGGAAGACAGACACAACAAACCGTGGTAATGCCGGGCGAGAACACAACAGGTCAACACGATGTTAAAGACGACCTGTACAGCGTGTTTGTGGACCAGGGAGTCACACACAGCTCTTTACATTAGAGATTTGCTTCTAGGACGCTTCTGAAACGTGCTGCAGTGCATGTGGAGGAATCACAAGCGTCGTCTAGAATGGCCGCGATCACTTCCAGCAGCCTCGTCGCACCCAGAACGCGACGCAGCCAAAAGGAAAAAACACCAATCAGCCATAACAGAATGCTAAAACAGCTTTGACACTTTTCCACCAGAACCAGCATCAACTTTTACAGTAGCTCGTCTGTTGGATCAGACGACACCAGCTTCGCCGCCCTCATGTATCAATGAGCCTTGGCCGTCCACGACCCTGTCGTCGGTTCGTTGGACCGCTTTTGATAAGTACTGACCACTGCAGACTGTTTTGGAGATGCTCTGACAGTTCGTCACTTGTCAACGACGCTCAAATCCTTAAGCTTGCTCATTTTTCCTGCTTCTAACTATGAGGACACAATGTGCACTTCCTGCCTAATATATCCCACCCGCTGACAGACGACCTGATAACGAGTTAATCAGCGTGTTATGGCTGATCGGTGTAAAAAGGTATAATAAATACATGTTTATGCAGTGACAGTGTGGGCTTTGGTGTCCTGGTTATCGAACCTTGTGCATTGCAGCCAGCCATAACGAGGCCACCTTCTTGTCATCTGCTGCCTCTAAGCGGAGCTGCTGGGCGTCCTGGCAGCCCATTGGCTTGTAGTGCAGCAGCATGCCGCTGGCCCGCGACATCCCTCCTGCACGCACACACACACACACACACACACACACACTCAGTTAGACACAGAGAGAACAGGACTGATGGACTGGATGACATAATGAAAGTCATTTTAAAGTCTGTTACTTTTCTTCATTAACACTTTAGGTTAAAGAGGTTTGACTGACTCACGAAAAACAGCTGCAGGTTATTTAAGTAAATAACAAAGATGAGATAACAGATAAAAGGAAAAGAGGAAGGGTGTAGTACTGTACTGTTACATGTCTAATGAACAAAATCACTAACGACGTGTCAACATATCACGGTAGAGTTTTGGCTCTGAAATAACTGCTCAGCCTCGACCATAATATCAATGACAAACTCTTAAAAAGTGATTCATGCATGAACAAAACACACAGATGCAACAACACAGAGAAGTCAGGGGAACTGAAAGATTTGAAGAGAGACAACAGAACAGAAACACACAGTGACAATGTCTTTCAAAATGAAGTGAAGCACCAAAGGTCAGGACTGAAAAACACTAAAGGTTTGAGTGAAACAGAAGGTCAGGCACCACAAGTGAGGAATGAATCAGTTTCACAGGACGGTTTCACAGGACGGTGTTAAGTGCACTCCAATACTGAAACAAGTTAATGAAGTCCATTAAAGTTATTTATCAGACACATTCTCTGGTTCCAGCTTCTCAAATGTGAAGATTTTTGCTGCTTTTATCTGTTTTATGTCTTTGCTCGTTGAATATTTTGCAGTTTTCATCAGACAAAAACAAGAAATCTGTCTGTTTGTGTTCTGGGAAATTGCAGTGGACAATTAGTTTTACTGTAACAGTTCATGAAACTAATTATAGGCGGTAATTGATAAATAAAAATTATAATTATTTGCAGACATACTCAATTTCTTTCTTTATAAGCTTGGCCATAGCTCAACGACAATAACGAACAATAATTCTGCCTGGTTTAAAAAGGATAAGAAGTTTCCTAAATACAGGAATAAACGTCTAAAAAACCTGGAGAACAGCTGCATGAACTGTTGGTGTCGAGGGTTAGATATGTGCAAGGTTACCTGCGCAGTATTCTGGATATGAATTGGTTGCTAAATTTGGTTTGTTGTTCATCTTGATCCTGCTGAACACTGTTTCCTACTTTTTAAATTAGATATAAAAAGGATGTTTTAAAGTCAGAGATGAAAAATGGGGAGAGCGTTGGGAAATAATCTGTTGTGTCTATGTGAGAACAAGTTAAATATTAATTAAATAACATTATAACTAATTTAGTTCTAAGCCAATAAGCTCCCACTGAGCCTCAGACCACAGAGAGGAAAAATCTAAATGTTATAGTTTACTATATTTCATTTTGCCTTGCTCTTAAATTTAATTTTATTCTATTGTTGTCACTGTGTTTGACAGGTGCTCTACAAATAATAACTTGCATTGCTTATGTTAAATAAACAAACATCCAAACAAAAGAAACACATGTTCTTTATCAATTCATCTGTAGATAATATCTTTTATTAATAGATAATTAATTGATTTGTTTTTAAAGTTTGTTAACAGTGACAAACATCCATGAAAACTTTAAAAAAATTTTTAGATAATTGCTTGATAAACTTTTAAATAACTGTTGTTTATTTTCTGTTTATCAGCTAATCGATTACACATCTAATCGTTTAAGTACTAATTAACACGCCGTCAGTCAGCTGCCGAAGTGTTGAGGACTCCTGCAGCATTTTCACAGGGCAGTCGACAACAAAAACAGGAAGTCGTGCAAATAACATCTTTTGTGTTGTAATTACCACCAAGATGCGTTTGGGACTCAGTGAGGCGTAAACATAAAGCAGAACAGCATCACTGGTTTCGTTTTGAGGCAGCTTCATGCACACAGAAAACCAGAAACCAGATCTGGAAAATTAAAATGGAGAAATGGAGTGAGGACAACACCAGAGTGAACCTAACCTTCAGAGATATAGTGACTGTCCAGCAGACTGGTGTAAGTGTGAATGTCATTCTCTGAGCCCAGAGGAAGAAGAAGAGGAGGAGGAGGAGCAGCCGGGTCACCAGAGTCAGAGCAGCAGAGGAGAAAGAGTTTGTTAGTGTTTGATTGGGGAAAAAAAAAAATAGACAAACAGGTTTAAGTGTTAGTCAAGAAATTTCCCAGCTGGTTACTGAATCTGAAAAAAAACATCATGGAGACACAAGAATGTCCAGAACTCTGTGGTAGAGACGCCTTGGGTCATAATTTGTACAATATAATATAAAATGGTCAAAAACAAGCTTTAAATTCTGATTTCACCTCCTGGACTCGTGCCGTCTGTCAGAATCTGCATGCTGGAGATCCGAGACAACTCCACCTCGAAGTGACTTTCACCGTCGAGGAACAGATACCTGACGATTAGATAAACAGAAAGAGAAGACACATTTGAATCATATCCAAAACAAAACCGTTTATCTAAAACCTGACTAATAACGACGCTCTGAATGTCACTGGTGCAACAAAAACTGGATTAGTTTTGACTGGATTTGTCCCAACAGCACATTTTTACTTGAAAACCTTAAACATAACATCTGAATCTCTTAATCTTTTCCATCTTTAGTCCCGTTCTTCACATCCTTTATCTTGAATCCAAAAAGATCTAGATCAGAGGTTTTTAAAGTGTTAGGCTCAGTGAATGGAAGTGAAACAATATTACATTGGTTATTACATTAGTTATCGAAAGGAGATCACATAGAATAGCCTGCGTGTGTGATTTGGTGTAGTTTGAAATCATGTCAAACAGCAATAATAGGCTATCTTGGCTTAATTGTTGGACATTTAAGGGATCAAGGGATAAAAATTTAAAATGATCGATTTAATTTGCAAAACGTTGGCTTGTTAAAGTGCAAATTCACCTCCCCTCGTGATATCCTGCCATGCAGATAGTTTTGATTTCATGCTGAGGTTTGAGATGAGTTGAGCTGGACCTTAAACACAAGTGTGGAATTTAAAAAGAATTTAAAAAGCTCACCTGTGGTTGTTGGAGAGGCGACACGTCATGGTTTCAGACTTCTCCGACGTTCCCAACGTGACAACAAAGGTGCCACCTGGAGACAGAACAAACAGAGAAGGCAGAAAACGTTCAACTCTGAGAGCCTGCAATTAAAAACACATCACAAGGGAAGGGTTTAAAAAATCTTCAGAGATAAAAGTAATAATCATTTAGGCCATAAGACGCTGCTGAAAACAAAAAGCTATTTAAAATATCAGTTCTTTTGTACAAACGTTTCCCATTAAAAGATCAACCAGAACCCTAAAACATAAAATACTGAATGGAAAAGAGTTCATGAATATGGCTGAATATCAAACCTGAAAAATGTTTGGGCATCGACCAAAATCTGTATCGCTGCATGTACTGAAAGCTGGAAGTTATTTTCACGCTTCATTAATCGTTATCGAGACAAAAAAAGCCAAATATTCTCTGGTTCAACCTTGTCAGAAATGAGGAAACTGAACGGAAACTTTTTATTTCTGAGGTTTCTGACTGTTCATCAGACAGAAGAAGAAATATGAAGGTGTCACCTTGAGCTTCGGGAAACTGTGAGCATTGTTCACTATTTTCTTTTAACTTACTGATCAACAACATGCTTTACAGATTAGTCGATAACCACAGCTCCTATACTGTTTACATGTTCTTTGATCCAAATAGCTCCTGATTAGTTTTAGACTAATGATTGTACAGCGTACATGTGTTTAGACGAGATTTAACATTTAAGAAGTTTGGCTTCTTTTGCTAAATGAAAATTTCCTCCCAGGCTGCATCTGTTTACAGTGTCTAATGTAATTTATTAGTGAATTTACTACTAGTTCCTCAGGCTGAAACTAAAGGCTTGATTAGTCAATTAGTCAATTTCACAAGTTATCAGAGCTCCAACATGTCTTCAAAGTGTTTTAGTTTTAGTTTGGGATTCAGCCTTAGCTTGAGCACCACTGGGTGTTTCCACCTCCCCAGAACATCAAACAGTAACAGCCAGATATTCAAATGGAAATGTGCACGAGAGGTTTTCTGCTTTGTATCTTCATCTTTTTTGTGAGAACTTTTGTTTTCTGCTGAGCGATTGATTATCTCCATCATCCATAAAGCATGAGGCCCCAGCACGCTGCAGGCTTTACATCACAGGCATTCAGCCGGGTTTCCCCCCCGCAGCTCCAGGCTGCTAATGGATTTTTCATTAAGAGCCTGACTGCTGCGTATTTTTAGCTGCACACTGACCCACACTCAACAGCAACACAATGGATTACAGTAGGAGCAGCGTTTCTGCTTCCTGTACAGAGTCACAGTAAGGACCTGACCTCCATATTAGAGCTGAAATAATGAGTGGATTAATCAATTAGCTGATGAATAATAGTCAACAAACGTTTTGGTGGTGGAAAATACAGAACATTTTCTGGTTTTAGCTTCTCAAGTGAGCAGATTAGATGCTTTTCTTTGTCACACGTGATAGTTAACTGAATATTTTGTGGTTTAAAACTGTTGCTCAGATAAAACAGGCAAGTTGAATATGTCATTTTGGACATATGGACCTTTGGGGAATAATAATCAACAATGTTGTGACCATTTTTCAACTAAACAAATCCTCGATCAATTGAGAAAATTATCTGCAAATTGTTATTATTTGCAGCCCTAGTGGAAGTCAGTTAAATTTAATTAAAATTTAATCGTCATTAAATAAAAGACGAACTGTGAAAATTAAGCACAAAACTCTAGGTGAGCTGGAATCGTCCTTTCAGCACAGACAGTTTGACAGACAATATAAAGCTCCTGGCAGCTGCTTATGTTTTGCCGATAATTCCTAACAACCACTGAGCTCGTGTGGATGTGCACACAGCTATTCTCGCCTCAAGTGTTTCACCCCACATGTTCTTGACAGGGAGGAAACAGCGTTCGTACCAAATGTGAAGGAAAGAGGTTTGGAAAAGAAGAACTTAAAACATAAACATAAAATCCATATTAAACCTAGTAAAAATACTTCTCACCTCCCAGAAGCACTTTCAGCTGCTTGTCGTAGAACTCCATCTCTTTCTGGGAGACCAGGCTGCACTCGGCGCACTGCCGCACCGGATCGACGAAGCACATGCGAGGCAGCGTCACCTTCTTACTGCAGCATTTATCGCAGAAACACCGGCCGCACCGCCGACAGTGATGCTGCAGGAAGAACGACTTACAGTCAGGTCTACTTCAGTATTTTAATCCCACTCGTCTCATGTCCGTTAGATTAAATGTATGAAAACATGTTATTTAGGTAATTAATGGTGCTTTGTTACTTGTGACACATTAACACGAGATTATGAATTTCACTAATCAATGCATTAATTAAATCAGTCGACCGATATGTTTTTTTCAATGGCTGATATTAAAACAAAAAAAGTCATGTATAATTCCATTTTTCCATGCAGAGTACAATCTAATATACATGTGATCTCAGCCAGTAACATTTTAGATATTTTATAATAATGAATGAAACATGGTTTGGGTTCTGCTGTAGATTTCAGAACGTGACGGGAGTTTAAGGGAGAGCGGGAGTTTGTCATTCATCTCCATTATTATCTTCACTATAACAATATATATTTAACACTTGCCGGTAAAGGTCTCAGATTAGAGCTGCTGTCATTTAGAACAAACGTGTTAAGAAAAGACGTGAGTGACTGAGGACATTTCGGGCTATTTTCACCACCTTTCCAAAACTCACAAGTGAGAGCGCCAACATTGATCCACAGAAGCCACAGTGACGAGGCTGCCAGCAGAAGTGTCTGCAGACAGGTTTTATTTATCGGCCTCCTGAGTGCAGGAACCAGCCGACCGATTAATCAGTCTATCACTAAGTAATTAACGCTTGTTTCTGCGTCACTGTGTTTGTCCTCATGAGGTTACTAAACGCTCAGACTTTAATCAGACTTTGTTTAACCTTTTTTTTTTATATATTCACATGTAGAGTCAAAGAGTTATAGGGACAGACCAGACATACAAACGATAATAAATCCTGCCCATGGAGTAGCGTGATGTTGTTGTGCTATGGTGTCGACATGACACTGTACGTTTTGGAGTTTTATGTATTATTTAAACACAGGTTTTTATTTTGAAGGATGCGGCTTAGAAGCTCCGCATGATGTTTTGTTTTTCGTCTTCATCAAGTGTTACTGATATGTGTTAATATGTTGTGTAATAATAATAATAATAATATGTTCACAAATGCGTATAAGATCATAATGGGTTTTATATTATCAGGAATAATGAGAGTTTATCGTGGGAGGTATAATGGACACTTAATTTTGCAAACTGCATTTCTGTTGCCGTCACTTCCTATTTTGCTTTTCTTTGGGAAGAAGTCTGTCGGACGTTTTGGGTCAGGAAGTGATTTTTTCTTTTTTTTTTTAACCAGAAATCTCTGAAGCTGGTAATTTAGATTTGAATCACTGACACTTACCAGCTAAAGCGCAGATATTTCCTGAGCTGATTTTAACTATAAACAGAAACTATTTTCCAGCAAATATGGAAAGAAAATGGGACACGACTAAACAGAGCAACAGATCTACAGCATTTTTTAAGTGAGTCATTGGAAAGAAATGTCACCACAGAGCCGTCACTGTGTCTCCAGGCCAAAATAAATTAACAGAAGCCAAGTGGGGGGAGAAGATCTCACATTTCACAGCGCAAAACGAGTTTCTACGTGTCCCTCATGTGTTTGTTTGTTTTGTCAGAGTCCGATAAAGCTGCGTGACGGTCGTGTAGCAAAACAAAACAGACCTTTCTTCTGATGAAGTCGAACTTGGTGTCACACTGCATACATCTCGGGCACTGGAAGACGGGGAAAGAGGAAAAACAGGATGTTACACAACATGCTGAGCTCGGCAGATTCAACTTCAACAGCAGCACTTTATCGTACACGTTCTTTTAGTTTTGCTGCAATCAGGTCACCAAGAAAACCCAAAACCTTTTACAGACAGCATGTTAGTTTTGTTCCTGTAAGATATTTATGTAAAACTGATGGCTACAAACGACCTGAAACCAAAAGATATTCACTCTGCTGCCACTGAGGACAAAGAAAAATTAACAAAAGTATTTACACAATAAATCCATGACCAGAAAAGTTGCAGATTCATTTTCACTTGATTCAGCAACAAATTCATCTTAAACCTATTGTTTCAGCTCTAAATGTTTACTTAGTTTTAACAGATACTGCTTTCATACATACTCTTTCTATGATACTACATTTTTTACTGAAGTAAACTAAAGTTAAACTTCCACAAACTGTCACTTTGGGATCAGAAGAGAGGACACGGCGTGAGAAAAAGTGCTTTAAAGCATTTTTTAGACATATTTCAAGACTGTTACTTAAATAATACTCTGAAAGCAGTATTTTTTCTTGCAAAAGAGTGTTTTTTCCACTCCGATATCACTACTTCTACGTCAGGAAACTTCCTCTAACACTGTTTATGACCCATCAGAATAATAACGCCTTTATTTACAGATTCATCAGACGCCTGCAGGAATTATTAACTTTGCTGGCTGTAGTTTTATGGTCAGTCTGGTCAAAGTGCCTCTGTGAGCAGCCACAGATGAAACACTCTGGCAGACAGGTGGTGTTTGTCTTTCTGTGCCTGCTCCTGTAGTTTTGCTGCACTGACGGACAGAGAGAGATTAACTGTGGACGGGTTAGCATAGCAGCTCTCACAGCTAGCTAACCTAGCCGAGTGTGGACGTAGCTGTCAGCTAGCACACAAAACAAACGCGTGTTTTTGTCACTTTAACAATCTCTGGTGAGGTTAAACATCGTGACAGCTTGTTTCAGCTGTTAACTAGCTGGTTATTTAACAGGAAACGCTTGCTGTCAGGCTGAAACGCCCAGTTCTGGGGCCAAGTATCCAGTCCGGAGCTACGTCAAGTTAGCCACAGTTAGCATGAGGGGTACAGGAAGTTAGGAAACATTACCTCGAAAATAAAAGCGCTTTGCCCACCGTGATGAGAAGAAGACATTAAACTCTAGTACAATATGTGAACTAATTGTACTTTATACTTGTACTCTTTACTACTTCAGCATAGATTAAAATACTTAGTTATTTTGCAGATTTAGGTTATTAATACAAAACATCATTAACTAATAAATTATGGTGTATTTTTAAATAATTAACTACCAAACAAAATATAGTCATTCAAATGCATCATTAAAGTAATGAACAGCATTAATGCACCAATAAATTACAGTAGTTCAAGTATATTCTTATTTTAATATGTTCGTACTTGTACTTTAGGTTTGAATGATTTTGAAAATAAAATATCTAATCGTGATTATTTTATCTGATATTGCGTTATGATTTGCAATATTGAAGGGCATGATCATTTTTACATCATTATTCTCATTTTCCATAAAACAACATTATTATGATGATGATGGTGTGATTTCTGAGGAGATGTTTTATTAAGTCTGTAGAATATTAAGTGTCGGCCAGGGCGTCTCTGTAGCACAACAATATTTATGACATGTCATCGTAAACAAATATTGCGCCTCCTGCGATTTGAAAGTTGCAATAGGTCATAGTGCAATTTCAATAAAATTTCTGTTAATTATTGAGCCCTACTTTACTATCATTTTGAATGCAGGACTTTTACTTGTAACATACGTATTTCTACACTGTGATATTGCTATTTTTATTCTAATTTGTATATTTTGGTACTTGTATTGTTGTCTTTTATTATCTGTTTGGGAATAAAACTGAAATGATTAGTTGATTAGTCAAGTTAGTTAGTTTACTTTTCTTTTTTGTGTGTAATTTTAGTTTAAGTTGTTCTCTTCAGACATATGCCAAACCTTGTTTACCATCATAGCAGAAATACTTAAAAGTCAAACATAAAGCTATATTTCCAAGTAGTATTTTACACCTATAAGGAATTTGCTTTGATGATAAGGTGCTAGACGTAGACATTAATATACAGTTGACAACTATGGAATAGACTAATAAAATTACTGACCTACGGTACATGCACACACACTTATTTATTTTATTTATTTATTGATTTGGATTTTTTGAAATTGAAAATATAAGATCTTCAGAGACACACTTTAAAAACTCTTATGATTAGTGCACACCAACTCAGACAAACAGAAACCAAATGTTATTTAAAAGTTGCTGGTGTTGTTTCAGGCTCTTTATTTTGAAAAAAGAAAAACAGCCGGAAACGCACCATCGCAGCAAGCTTCTCGCTAGTGTCCGCGGCTCTGACAGCTTCACAAACAACACCCCCCCACCCCCAAACTGGTCTCACCTCTTTATCCGGGACCCACTGCGGCTCGTCCAGGGAGAAGGGGCAGTTAAAGGCGCCGTTCTCCGGCACCATGCGAAGGCCGCTGGGGCTCCGGACGAGTTTCTTTCCGTCAGGAACAGAAGACATTTTGCTTCAGCAGCTGTTTCTCCTCTCTGACCACTACAGACTGGAACTCCTGTCTGAACACACCCTCCGGAGTGATTGACAGGGTCGTTAACCAATCACAGGACAGAGGTGATGTCACGTGGTGCGCTGGGAGCGTGTTGTTTTTACAACTCCTGCTGAAGGAGGGAAAACATTATTGTTTATTTATGCTAATTTTGTTCATCTGAAACAGTTGTTTTAACTGCTGCTACTCCATACAATGCAGTTATATTTATTTTTATTATTATATATTATTTCTGAATATCTTATTATCTTTTAATACCAATAACAGAATGTCAATGACTAAACTTCCTTATCTGCAAGGAAATTATTATTATTTTTACAAATAAAGAGCAACAAACAAAGTTCCCAAGACTTTTTGCGGAACATTTTAATTAGATTTATTTTAGTTTGATGTTTTATTTATTTTATTTTGTTACTGTCTGTGGCTCAAGGTTGTTAATTCAGAATCAGAAGGAGTTTTATTGCCAAGTGGTGTTTTACACATGAGGAATTTACTTTGGGGATAAGGTGCTACAGGCAGACAAACATACAGTTGACATAAATAAATATAGAAGTATGTAAATATGGAATAGACAATGCAAGTTATATAAGAATAATAATAAGAATAAAGAAAAATAATAGTATTTAAAACTATTTGCAGAGAAAGAACAATGTGACAGATTCCGGGTTTGTGTCATGCAGACGTAATTTGTCATTATACAGCATGCAGAACATATAATTAAGTGTATATTAAATTATGGTAACATGTAAAGACTAATTTTCTCCTGATCTACATAAAATGGTTTGTTTGTTTTTTTTGTTTGTAAAATAACACATTTTATTATTAATTTAGCAGATAATACAGAGGGAGCCAGGCTGTTTAAACTTGTCAGGTTAAAAAGGAGCTAAACCTGTGTCCCGTGGCCATCAGGCTGGTACACAGCTCTGCAACACTTATTTAAAAATCTTTCTTTAATTTCAGTAAATTCATTATGAATTGTAAAATGTATATAAATGTTGTTGTACATACATAGCTGTTTGCAACTCTCCCCACAAAGCAACCTCTGATCCGTTAACCTTGTTTATATCTGTAGCATTGTGTACGCCTATTTTGTGGATCACAAAATTCAAAATCAGCACTTAGAGATGGTTTTCAATGGTCAGACAGGGTATGATCAATTATGTAAATTAGCCAAATGTAGTGTAGTGCACTCTAATGAAGTACAAATACCTCAGAATTGTGCTTATTCACAGCACTTACATAAATAATATTATAAATGACAGAACAAAAGTCATAAATTTGACCGTTTTATTCAAATACAGTGAAGCTGAACAATAAACAAACGTCACTGCTCAGGTGAACAGGAGGAGGCGCAGTGGAACATCAGAAGCCAACATGTCTGAGAGAGCAGCGGTTACAGAGAACAAGTAGTATCATGAAAGCCAGTCTCATCCAGGAACATTTTCTCTACATACAAGACGTAACAGGGGACGGTTGTTATATTTAACATGGAGGAGTCGACTATGCTGCCTTGTAGGAAGCATAAAATACTTTCATCTTACTCACAAACAAAAACAAAACAAGAGGACATGTGCAGCTTGATATTTAATCTTAATTTAGATTTAGGAACGAGCACGCAGAGTTGTAGAGCGGGACATGAGGAAGGTGCAGCATCCGAAATGTGCCGTGGTTACTAGGCTGATAAATGCCCCACGGTGGGGGAAGTATTCAGATCCTTTACTTAAGTAAAAGTATTGCGAAAATACAAGTAAAGTATTGTGCTGCATTTAAATTGTTGCTTCATGTCTGCAACTAATGATTATTTTCATTATGGATCAATCTGCTGATTATTTTCTCCATTAATCGATCGATTAATTAAAAAAAATTAATTTAAATAGTGAGTCACCATCACAATTACCCAGAGCCAAAGGTGAGACGTTCACAATGTTTGTTTTAATAAGGCCAAACCTCAAAATTATTAAAAACCTTTTTGGTATTTTCTGACTGAAAATAAGGTTTGATAACAATCGATTGAACGAGAAAATAATCAGCAGTAATAACTTTTCCACCTGATCATAAACTCTCTGCACTTTCTGGCTAAAACTTTTATGTTTGGGGACGTAAATTATCCGTCAACAACCTTGTCATCAGTCCACAGAGGCAAATGACAAAACCAGTATTATAACATTACATAAAATATTAAATGTATTCTAATTAGATTTAATTAGCTTGTGTAAGGGGAGAAAGTTCTTTCAGTGTTGCTGCGAGTTCCACTGAGCGCTGACAGAGGGCGACAGAGGCCACATGTTACACTTTCATTTAAAGAAATGGACATAAAACCATTTTTGTCCCAACCTGAGAATATACTTTATCGAATCATCCACATCGCTGCTCCGCACAACAACACAATCCACAGGCGGGGATCAGAAATTACACTTTGACATAAAAAAAAAAAAAACGCAACAAAAGGACGGACTGAGAGACTTTTAACTTTGCTGCTTTAACAACAAACACACACATATAGAGTCAACTTTTCATTGTTACCTGCACTTCCATAAAGCCATTTACATTCACGTCATCATAATCATCACTGTAAAATAGTCTTGCATATTAAAAACTAATGATAAGTCATAGTTTCAGGAAAATATTTTAAGTTGTCCTTCCTGTAATAATCAGCATCAAGCTGCTGCAGGTTGTCCTCTGTAACTGGGCAACAGTTTGAGCAACTTTGACCTTTAGCATTGGGCAACAATGCTTCAACATTGCTGCTTTACTCAGGACAGGAAAATCTTGTTGTCAGTAAGTATATACAGCATCTACCCACATACCAAGAAGTATTCCAGAAGAAAAAGTTGTTTTTTTGAAATATTATTTTTTCCCTTTGGAATATTTTGAATATATTTTTAAATTTGACCCAAAACAGCAAACTGCTTAAAATACTTAAAACTATAGAAGCAAAATATTTTTTTTAGGATTTTAATCTTATAAGCAACTTAATCCATAATTGTGAAATATGTATTTTATTATTATTATTTTTTGATATATATACTTGTGTGGTTTGAATTCTCCACTTTTAAATTCTGATGATAAATTAAAACTTTATTGGCCAGACTACATTCAAGGACCAGTTATGTTTCTGTCTATATTATTATATTTATATAATCCACTTTAAAATCAACTACAATAACATCAGTGGTCTTTAAATTGACTTTTCTTTGCTTCCATATAAAACTACTGTTATACTTTTTGATACTACTGCATTTTACTTTGTGTAAACGATTAAATTAGCCTCTTTACGTGTATCGACCCTGAACATCACTTTATCACTACACTAAGGTGTTGTGTCTTAACGTTCCCCAAAGTGTTGCCCAGTTCATCAAAACCATCAGACATTGTTAAGTTATGTGCCTCGTTACTTTGTGGAGCTTCTAACAGTAAGACAATAAGGATCAAAATAAAATAAAGCACAAAGCAGGCTGACGAGCAGACTGATCAACAGTCACAAAAAAAGCTTCAACACACTCTGTAACGTCCAACAGTGTCAATAAAACCATCGTTACAAAGACAAAACAAACAAAAATGAGACGTTTCAAATGAGAAATCACTACGTCTTTGACTACATTATTGCCGGCACTGAAGGAAAACTTACCATTGCTATTATTCAAGTTATCAAATCACTTCTATCTATGTTTTATTATTATTTAAAAAGGGATAAACAGTATAATGTTCTGGAATGAAAGTATTCATATAAATTCTCTACTTCGGTCAGGATATGCATTAATTTTTGTGATCAAATTTACAAATCAGAATCGGCAGTAAGACATTTTTTTTAAGTCAGACAAAAAGCTTATTGCACACCCCTGTCAAGAAACTAAATGTTCATGAAAAACTGCCAGACTTTAAGCGCAGCCTGTCCTCACCAGCTTTATAGGTCGATTGTTATATATCTTATTATGACCCATATTTATATTTTTAGTTAGGCCATGACCTCTAGTGACAGAAGAAGTCAGGTGATGTAGTATAAAGAGCGACATGTAAGCGGCTTGGGGTAGATAGATGTGCCAAGTAAACTTAGGACTGAACCAAGGTTCAAGTCCCGTGTGAAATAAAGTCAAAGATGATATGTTTTAAGTTAAATAACATTTTGTAGATGACTTGTGTTATGTGACGTAATGTTCTTATTTAACACAAACCACAATCTTTTGTTAAACCTAACCAAACAACGACTGTTTCACAACATTTACCACGTGTTAAACATTCACGTGATGCGTGGTTTGGTACGCCGGTCGCTGGACTGGTACTTGCCAACGCTCGTATTTGTCTGTCTGACCAACAGTCATAACAAGAATAAATTAATATGAATGTCACCCTGGGAAATTAAAATTTCTTACATTTTATTGACCAAGTCATTCATTAATTAATCGGGTTAGTTGCAGCCATATTCCTTAACGAGATATTGTTTTAGATTTTCTTTTATATTTGCCCATTTTTGGAACATTTCATTTTATTCTTGGCAGCTTGTATTTAGACAACATTTAAGATTTGAGAAGTTTGGTTTCTGTTGCTCGATGAAAGACAGGTGTTTTTAAAAACAAAAAATTGTTTTGTATATTTTAGTAAGGTACCATAACAAAAAAGAAACATATTTTATCAGCACTTAAAAGATGTTCAACTGATTTCAGCCTGAAACTTCCATCGTAAACAAGCAAAACTCTTCAACAAGGCACTAAATCCTAAATATCGATTGATGGGGCTTTAAGTTTTTCTATATTTTTATGTTTGTTGTTGTATTTCAAGCTTGTCACCAGTATAAGATGATAAATATCCATTACTTTGTTCCGTTAAATGAAAAGAGAGCATGTATGCATAGTGAACTAAAGTTAATCAAACTAGAAACCCACATCTTTAATCTTGGAACGACGATCAGTCAGTAAGTTTTTACATAGAGATGGCTGTTGTATAAAAACAGTAATGACAATTTTAATCAGTATTTATACCAGGATTACGTTTGCAATCTGATTTGTGTTAGCTGGGTTTTGATTCTGCATAGAGGGCAATACTCCCTCTTATTTTGGTAATAGCAAACATATATTTACCATTTGCAACTTAAATCTCAAGAGTACTTCTCACACGATAAAAACTACTTTTAATTATTCATAATTTGTACTTTTTGGTTGGTCTTGTTCAACTTTACTCACATGGTAAAGTGTTGTCTTGACTAAAATAAGTAAAAAATAAAAATAATAAAAAATGCTGTAACATTTCTCCAGCCATTACTACAAATGGCATTTAATGTGTAAAAGTATGGAGTGGCCTTAACTTTGCAGTCAGTGTGTGAAACTACAGCCTCGATCCTGAGAGAGTGTCGTTAGGCCTTCATGTGCTAATAAATGTCATCATCCTGCCTCGTTGTTTCTCAAACTCAACTGTTCAGGAAGACAGTGCAGCTACTCTCAAGGCTTTTTGTAACATAAGGATATAAAGAGAAACTCTTCAGAGCAGCGTAAGGACAAAAAAAAACCCATTAATTTACAAAACCCTAAATGTAAACATAGAACTTCATACATCAAAAGCAAAAACTTCAATAAACACAGGACGGAACATTTTTGGAAAACAGTTCTGAAAAGCATTTGAGATGTGGGTTCCCTCGACAGGTTTCCAACATTTTTGTCTTAAAAGAAATATTGCTGAATGTCTGCTGATTTGTGAATATCATATCATTATAATCTTCATTTGCTACCAATCATACTTTCCTAATAAAAAACAAAACAGTTCAGAACTTCCACTGGAAACCTGCAGAGTGAACGCTAAGCTAACGTCCGGGTCGGCCTACAAAAAGACGTCATTGCTGGACAAGTTCTCTGCAGAGTGTTCAGCGGGTTTAGTTATTAAAAACATTTTCTAAGAGGCAGAACTTCTCTCATTGTTTGAGTGAAACCTCGGCAGGTAAAGCCAAACAGTATTGATGGGTTCAATTAGACTGCGACTATGAAACAAGTCTATAACTTTTTTCCTGAGTTTCTCCTTCATTAACTTTCAAATCGAGCTATTTTAACATTATAGGCAATACTGTATGAACTTTCCATATTAAGTAAATGTACTTAAATATTTTGTAAATATTCTGTTGTGTTGCTGTGATGCAGCTCGCCACTAAAAACCCGTTCTGAAACAAACTGCCATGTTGTTTCATAAATTTCGTGAAGCTCAGTGATGGTACGACACTTTAACTTGCAGTTTGTAATTTCGTGCAGATTTAGCCTGTCTGTTTTGTTCTGTGAATTTGAGCTAATCGACTTCACACACTACGATTTAAAAGTACCAATGAGTTAATTTCTTTGCCATCGACATCAGAAATGTTTGTAAAACTAAACCTACACTCTGCCTTCATTCAAGCGCTAGCAGAAGGTTAAATATTTAAAAAGGGACTGATTCGAGAAAGCAAAATACTCACACCAGCACACACTTACATACAGTACGCGCACATACAAAAAACAGATATACACAGAAAAGATACACACACTCAGATATTCCTCATGTTCCTCGATATGTACTGAAAAACAATAAATCCCCCTCTCGCAGCACAAACCTTCAAAAGTGCAATGAAACCTGTGCAGTGAGCACTTGGTGGTGTGATGCTGACGTATAATGGACGATATGAAGGTGTTTACAGTGAGGTGGGTCTGGAGTATGTGGACAGGAAGTGGATTCTCATGACCTCCGTGACCTCTCAGGAGTCCGTCCGCCACTTCTGCCACGGTCGGGAAGAAAAACCTTCAACGCGCCAGATCAGTGTGGCTGGCACTCAGGTCGCGACTCTTTCTCAGACGATTATTTCGTTCCTGGAGAAAATGTAGCGAGAGGAAATATGAGCCAACAATATGTCAACTTTTTAAGAAGTAAGATTTTCTTTTTAGCTTGACAAATGTGCAGAGGCATATGGAATGATTTAAAAGGTGTTTATCTAGTCTTAACATAAGCTACAAACGTTAGCATTACAGAGCTTAGTAGTAACTACATGTTACTTCCAAAGCGAAAGAGCACTTCATCTAGTATTTCCCCAGATGGTGGAAGCTGGTCCTTGATGCTATTTTGTTAGATTTGGGAACATTTTTTATTTAGTTTTATGTTTTTTTATGATCTACTAAGAAAATACTAAACTGCTCACAATCAGATATTAAGCTGCTGTCTTGTTTTGTCAAACCAAAAGTCCAAAAACACCAAATATTCTATGTACAATGAAAAAAGAATCAGATTTTCATATTTGAGTTCGATGCTATTGGAGTATTTATAAGGCTAACATTAGCAGCTCTGTCTGCTTTTTATTGTATTTTGGGGGAAATTAAGACTCCGGCAAACGCTGCCAAGGTCACCCGAGACAGTGTTAAGTTTATCAAACACATCGATTAGTTTACATCTTGAAAGGCTTTTCTTCTTAACATTAAAAGTGAATATTTGAAAATACAGTACAACCAATAAAGCATTAATCTAATGTCTTGATTGTCTTAAAGTATTAAGCTAAACAGTCGGTAGGGATGCAGACTTAATGTTTCTTGTTCTTTTAGCTTAGCGTTAGCTAAGTACTAAAGCTCTAACTTTAGTATTTTAGCACAATATCATGAATGTAACCATTAAGTGTATATTTAGGACACCTTTAACTTTTTTAAAAAACAAGTCAGATACAAATATCAATAATCAACCTGAGTGCTTTTCTAGCTAAGTCATTAAGCTAACATTAGCCTTAAATTAGCTAGCTGGTGACAGTTGTAATTTCAGCAGGCAAACCAGTTACTGATTAAAAGACAAGCTACTTTCGTCTACAACAGCCGGAAACGACTGTTAATTAAAAAAACGAATATGAATTTGTCGTAAATCTGCCACTATTAGGATTGTAAAAGGTGTCGGGGTTAAACGTTAGCTAACGTGTCTAAAGGAAGATTCGAAACCATGAGTTGCAGAGCGAGATTCATTTTAGAAACCTAATTTATCAATTCTGAATGGATGTTTACACAACAGTGACAATTTAAGAATGCCCACATGCGTTATGCAGAAACTGACAGTATGTGTTTGCACAATTATAGTCAACTTCAACTGTGGTTGTTAATTATTTAGTCACAAATACCTGATGTTATATACGTATTTAAGGTCTGAAACCATGTTTTCAGGGACTTTACATAGTATTTTATTCATATTGTCAGTCATACAGTGTGAGATTTTCTTGATAACAAACTAGAGTTAAAGTGTCAAAAAACTTCTCCCTGTTAAAGTTATTGTGTTGATTAGTAAAAATAAAGATGGTGTGAAGTTAGTGTGAGTCACGCTTGTGTTGTTACTCATCAGGTGTCATTTGACAAACACTGTGATTTGTTCACAAAACTAAATCAACAGAGAATCAGGAGATACAATTTATAAAGAGAGAGGAGTATAAAAGTAAAGACCGGGTCGAAAAGTTTGTTTTAACCCTCTTGGGAACCAGGTGGGTGGATTAGCATTTAAATAAAAATGCAGAAATTAACTTTTAAGTCTCAGGCACTCTTTGAAATTCAAACTCATTTGCATTTTGGCCATTTCTTTTCAAATTAATTAATTTTTGTTGTATGTACCTTCCCTTACTCTTCTACTGCTACTTCAGTCTGCGGTTTCCTATGTCCATTTAGCAACACTGTGAAATTGTAGCATGATGATAAGATATAATTACACTTCACTATTTGAATCACTGGAGAAATGTGTGATTTAACAAAGTCTGGAACAAAGCTAGTGAATTTATTTTATTAAGACTTACTTGACTGTATAAATTTATTTTTCTGAGTCAGGAAAGCCTTCAGTCACAGAATTCTGTGATACAGAATGTTTTAAATGTTTTTACATCTGATCTTTTAGATTTTTTAACTGTTACCTGCTGACTAACTAAATTTTAGGTGGAGGTGAAGTCACTCACTATAAACATTTAGAAGATAATCTCAAACACACGATATGCTGAAAATGCATTTTTACATCACTAATGTCTGTGTTTTTCTCAAATGTCACTGAGGGCCGTCTGAATATTAATTACGAGGTATCACAGGATTTTCAAGGCACAGATTTACCACATATTCTACAGCATTGTGCCCAAAGTATATATACAAAGATAAAGTAACCTGGTTAGGGCCATAAATGTTGATTATTTGGGTTATAGATTAAACTGTTGATCATGTTTTTGAGTAATCAACAGATTATTCAGTCTACAAAATGTCAGAAATTACTGAAAACTGCCCTTAACTCCATCCAAGATATTAAATTTATCAACCGAGACAAGCAGCAAATTCTTATATTTGATAAGCTAGAAGAATATTTTGCATTTTTGCTTGATTCCTTCTTCAATTTAGTTAACAGTTATTCAGTGTATGCAGAACAATAAGCTCCCATTTTCCCTTTATTTTAAATTATTTTCTTCTTTCACTACAAAGTAAAGCTAATGAAAATATTACCGGGAAAACATAATTGTGTTACTGTACGCTACATATTTTAGGAGGCATTTCTTCTTCACAGAAGCACTGAGTTTTTTTAGGAATTGAACTTTGACCTTTCCATAACAGGAAACCAGCAGGGTTAAAACAAGCTGACAGACTCTCTGCAGATACTTTTTGTCCCGACACTCGCAGCCTCCTTACTTGGTAGTGGTCACTCGCAGCCTTGTCCGCCACGTTAAGAACCCCCAGAGAGCTGGCTCGCTTCATGCTGCACCCAGAGCCGTGACATGCAGGGAGGCGGTGGGGGGGGGTCAGAGGTCAGGGGGGCGAGGGGGTGGAGAGTCAGGTGTGAGGATTTTAGCTCAATGGAAATGGTGGTATGTTAGTTAATAACATCCATGATACTTTCACACAAAAGGTTAGTTTCACAAGACTGTTTCACATGTCAACCTTTTCTCTTCCTTTTCCTGAAATTTAGACGTTAAATAAAAAATTTGGTACCACTTTCTAATATAAAACCTTTTATCATGTTGTAAATTGTGACTTTCTTTCTCTTTTAATCTTTTTGGTTCAATAATTAAAACCACCTCAATACGCATCTGACCTCCGACCATGAAAAAGTGCTGCTAAGCATCTGGAACAAAATCCGTTTATTAACAACTTTCTAATTTTAACAATTTGCTGTAAAAACACATTTCTGCTCTTGTGTTAATATTAATAATAATTGAGAAACATGATCCCCATTAGCAAACACTTTTTAAGCACATTTATAAGAATACACTTGGCTAACGTTTGTATTCAAGTCTTTATTAAACTTACTTTTTTTTTTAAAGACTTTCAACCTGTAGTTTGCTCTCATTAATAGCTTGTAACAGATACACCTCATAAACCCTTATTAGAAAGTGGTGCCACATTTTTAATTGAAATAATCTGCAGCAGGTGTGAGTGGTGTAAACTGATATTTCCGTGTCAGTGAAGTTCATGCAAACACCAACATTCATGCCTGAACAAAAACTTGAGTTCAGAAGGGCAACACTGCAGAAACATGTCCATCCTGACAATTCTGACAGATTTTAACGAGACGCACACATTATTCTTGCTCCCTTTGGATAAAGGTGGTGAAAAATCTACCGTTTATTTTTATACAAGAATATTCATGTTTTCATGTGTGAACCTTATTTTGCAGGTTGGTGCTTGATTAGCATTCAAATAAAGTTCGTAACGTGATACGCAGTTAAGTGTTTTCCTTCAACTAAACAAAAAACACGATTCATAACATTCTTGACATACTTAAGAACAGAAACATGATTTAAAATAAAAATGTTTTTGGAGGTGTCCTGCAGACGTTGTGAATATTGTTTGCACCTATTTGACTTGAGCTGGGGAAATAAGTATTATAAGTCACAAAATATCAAGAAAAAAGGCAAAATTGTTTAAAAAATAATGTCTAAAATGTATGTAAAGTCAGAATACTTTGAGAATATAGCTGTAATATTTTGTTAATAAAGTTTAAATAAAAATAAATAGTTATTTTCGAGTGTTTCCTGTCTGTATCTATGCTTTCACTATAAGCTAAAAGCAAAATGACAAAAAATTATTCTGTTTTTGTGGCACAAAAGTAAGAAATCTTTAACTCCTACATGTATGGGGTGTGACGATACACTTGGCTCACGAGACGATTTTTTTAAATCGTCAATAATGAGCAGAAAAACTGTATTTTATTCAACTGAAAGTCACAAAATTCAAAAACAATGCAGGTGCATTTGAAAATGTTCATTGTTCATGTCTTCTCTGTCACTGTTTATTGTTTCCACCGGGTACCAAAATGCTGCCACACAAACTATTTGAAAGTGGCGGGGCCATCTTCTTTACCAATTTCATCAAAGCAGCTTTTCATCTAGACGAGAAAAAAAACATCTAATTTTAATATCGAGTCACACTCCTTGTAGGTATATAGTGAAGCAACGTGGCAAAATTTTGGTGGATAGAATTGCAAGATTTTAAAGGTGATCCGTAAAAGGTGCGTGAGGTTTCAGCTACTCTAAAACTGGCTAATTGATTTGCTGGCGGTAAAATTAACTCTTAAAATTAACTCAAATTAACTCTTAATGAAGCTGTTTACAGTGAGGTGGGTCTGGAGTTTGTGAAACTTAAAGGAAATTAACTCGGCCTGATCTGAGACGTAGGTAACATCCACAGCTCGATGCTGCTGGGGATCTTTTGTTGGATGTGGTCCCATTTTTCTTTCTCACCATATTTTGCGTTTATTGCTGCTGTCAAATACAAAAAAATGTAAACACTTCTGCATTGACTGACTATTTAAAGGTTGTGGGGTTTGCGCAACACAGTTCTTTCCATTTGAACTTATTATGAGGTGACGGTATCTTTCTTTGCACTTGTTAAAATGGACATTTCTGCAGTGACTTAAAGTTACTGGGAGCCAACTGGTCCACCCTCATTAGGAGCCACAGAGAAGAGCAGACCAGAAAGGAAAATGGAAACCAGTGAGCACACAGATGAGGCATGCAAGGAGACATTCAAATGAAAAAATTTATTCATAAATAAAAATTCAACACAGCATAAAACTCTAAACAGAAACAGCCATGCAGACAAGTTTGTTTTTCAAAGTAAAATTCACAAAGAAAATGAAAATAATAAAAATCCTAAAATGAGAAAAACTGAACTATATTTCAAAAAGAAATTGAAATAAATAGCCCAAATGCACAAAATGCAATAAATAGGTGTAACTGTTAGAGGTTAAAACAAAAAGTTCCACAGGCCTAACAGGCATTTCAGAAGCAGACATTAGTAGTTTGTGTCTCACTGCAGATGCTTTTATACACGTCGCCCGTCACAGCATGTGAGCAAAGTTTGAAGTAGTTGCATTATTTTCCCATTTCATCAATACTGTTCTTTACATGTACAGCTAGTTACCTTTGGTTTTCTATTTTAAATCATGTTCAGGTTTATAAGTCATCACTGCAGAATATTAGGACCACCGAGAGGAAAACCTTCAAAAGTTGAATTATTATATTATAGAAAAAAAGTTGTAATATTTAGAGCATAAAGTTGAAAATTTATGAGGTCATCCCTCTAAAATAAAGTCAACAATTTATGGAGAAGTTTTATCTTAAGATTTTAAGTTCAAAATATTAAAACATTTCCTTAAAATTAACGGTAACAGGATGTTTATATTATATTATGCATTGTTTCATTACATATTACATTTTCTAGATTTTCTTTGTTGAACTACAACCACTTTTATCTCCAAATATTCAATGGTACATCTTTATTCTAAAAATAGTAAATGTTTTTCTCATAATATTACAGTTTTTCAAAATATTGCATCCTTTTTCTCAAAAAAATGTTTCTCCAAACGTTCAGACATTTCTTCACAGAATATAAAATTTGAACTGAAAATAGTACAACTTTTTCTACTACTACACTTTGATTTTTTTTCTCAAACTACCGAGTCATTTTCCTCCAAATACATAAATAACTGAATTCAAAAAACAGTACAACTTATCTCATAATATATCAGACTTTTTTTCTCTTAATCTGTTTTTTAAATACGTCCTTTTTTCACTAACTCAGTGGTCCTAATACTCGCTGACAACCAAACTTAACTATTAAAAATGGCAGCGTGAGAACAGCATGGTAAACCGATGTGATGGGAAAAAGGACAAATGTGCCGGTAAAAGCTCCTCCATCATTTCATGTGCAAACACAGCTTCATAGTTACACCACGTCACCACCAGCAAAGCAGAGCAAATCCCTTCTTTTTGTTTTTGGTTAGTGCGCCAGCCGCCGAGCCCGGGGGCCGGCTCGTTCCTCCAGTGCATTAAGTCAGAGTCACCTGTAGCAGGTTGGTCAGGTGTCTGTTGGGATAGTTACCCGGGGTTTTTGGGCTCGCTGTCCCGGGACGAGCCGCCGCCTTTCAGCTTGCGGACCAGTTTCTCGCTGCTGCGACGGATCGACGCCCGCAGTTTGCTGAAGGAGCCGCTCCTCTTCAGGGAGCCGGAGCCGTCCTGATGGGAGACGCCACAGGGTTACACTCATTCATACACACCCTTTTCTATAGAGTGTGCACACACACACACACACACACAAAGGAGGAGTGTACATACTGTATGGACATTAGCGTCAGACCAACGTATTGAAAATAAGGCCTTTGATAAAAATCCAGCATGTTGCCTGATGCTGATTCAGATTCAGGACTCTTTCTCAGTGAAACTTGACTGAAACCTGTAACCTGACTGTGATTCTCATGGCCTAAATGTTTTGAAATTCTGTATTTAGAAGATAAATAACAACAGATTATGCTCTGTCTTAATAACTGTAGGGACTTTTTGAGGCCATAAAATCAAATCAATCAAATTTGAATGTGTGGTTCAAAATTCAGGCTACACTGGCAGATTTAGGGGCAAAGAAGGCAGTCTTCAAACATGGTCAAACGTCAATATACACACACAAACAGAAGTGCACAATCTTTTCAAGTGCATACATGATGCAGATGCACACTGACTGTTACTGACTCAGTAATCTGTGCATTGTACGTCCATGCACACAGCTTTTTTTTTGTTGCCGCGGTTAGTGAGGGACAGATTGCACCTTCATTTATTGGTACAGGGAGTCCAGTGATCTATGTAACCAGCTCAGACCTTCAACCTAAGCTACTCTAATAAGGTCAAAAACAAGCCTTTAATTTTATGTTTACCACCAAATGTATCCAGTTCCAACTCGTACCTTTTTAGCAAAGTGCTGTCTCTGATTCACTCCACATAACTGTTTCTGTGTGAGTGGAGCATCAACACAGCTGCAGTTGAGGCTGCATGGCAACTTATTTTTTGGTGTCCCTGTCCCAGATGGTTAACACCTCCCTGTCTTTCTGGATGGATGTGACAGTATCAGGTTTAGACTTCATGTTTGAGCTGCAGATTCTTCATATTCTGGACTCTCTTTTGTTGTTCCATAAAAGACAGAGGAGTTTTGAGCTATTTGAACATTACCTTAGATATGATAAAATATTAAAAAGAAATTTAACCTCAATGGCCAGAGCCAAACAAGGGCTCCTGACTTCCTGAGTCCAGGAATGAATGAGGAAGAAGCTGAGCATGTTGGGTACTGACAAAAATAATCTTGAAGGCTTTTACTTTGACTAAATATAGCAATACTACAGTGTAGAAATACCCTGCTACAAGTAAAAGTCGTACATTCAAATTGTGTACTGTGCAAAGAGTAAATTAATAAATGTATTAAGTTAGATTCCTTGTTTGACTCTCAATCAGCAAGTTCATTACAGATGGTGTAAAGTATAATAAAGTTTCATGTTCTCAGAAATCAAACTGTCTCTGGCCCAGCAGACCTTCACACTTCAGTCTTACTATATCAGCCTGAAGTTATTTAGTTAAGCTAGTTAGCTAGCCTGCTGAAAACCCCAATATCGTCACTACCCAGATCAGAAAAGAAGAACATGTCGAGGCATTTGTATTTTTAGTTCATTTTGACTACAGTCCAAATGATACTTCGGCTTTAAGGTCTATACAGATATATAAATTTGAGTTTAAATGCATAAAAAACTAATAATTTGATAAGGATCCATTACATTTTGCTATCAAAGCTCTATAAACACAGTAAGATGTGTACTTAGTGGAATTATTTTAAAGCTGAAAAGAAAATGTTTCATTATGTAACAACAACACTGTTACTAAATTACCTCAAACACATCTTTCATTTCTCTACTTCATGTCCTTATAACGTACCAGAGGACATTTACAGTGATGAGCACAGATATGTCTGTGATAAACCAATACTGACTGCTGGTAATATCAATAATTGGTTGGCATTTGATTAACTGTACATCAAAAACTGTGGCACAGATCTGACTTTTCTTCCTGGGACCCGTCAGAGGTGTTGAAGAGCAAATCAACCAGAATGTTAGTATCTTTATTAACTTTTTAAACATTTTGATTATGTTAGCCTCATGTAAAATTGTGTTTCTGAGGTCAAGAATGAGCTTTCAATCTTAAATTACATTCTTGTTGGTTCCCCCGTGGGAACTAAGAAGCTCCCTATATTTTAAACTTGCACTGTTTGAATTATGCACCTCATTTAATTGCACCTTTTTATTACCTTGTATGTAAGATGTCCTTGAGTGTCCTGAAAGGCGTTATTTTATTATTATTATTATTATTAGAGGGATAAACTGGATTTATGTATGTAAATAAAAAGACAAGAATTAACTGATCCTATTTTGCTGACTTGATTTTTTTATTTTATTCAAGTCAAATTCAACCTGGCTCCCTTTTTTTGTTGCTTTTCAAAGAGACCCAGTGTTTTAATTTAACGACCCGATTTCGCTCCGTGATCTTCTATGATTATACAGAAGTAATGAAAGAATCTAATGATGAACTTTGGACTTCTGACATCGACCTCTACTAATGTCTACTATTCGATTGATGAATGGCGTTTACTCCTTCTGTGTTGTTTGACAATTGGGATTTTTTTGTCCACACTTCATTTCTCCCACGATTTCCCCCGAAAGCCCTGAAGAAAAATTCAGTAATTTGAAGCTAACAGAGACGTGGTGGTGCAGGGATCTCCCAGCTTCCAATCGGCCAAAGTAAAGTTAGTTTCGTGTATTTTTCCAGCAGTTTCAGTACCAAACATGCTGCTGCTGCTGAGAGGTATCACTGTTTAGAGCTCACTCAGTTATGAGGGCACACACACAGAAGAGAGAGGGAAACACACAAAGAGGCGACAGGCACAGGTTCAGGTGAGCAAAGAGTTTAGGCTTTATTAGAAGTTAAGAAAGACAAACTGTAAGATGCACAAACAGGACAGGACACGCAGAAGATTATTAGCAGGAGCCGAAAACAGAGATGATGACACTATTTCTATCCCCAAACAAATGCAACTTTGCTTGTTTACAGCAAACCCCCACCCCTTCCCCCACCCATCCTGACACCTATATACAGACTGAACAGGCTGGACGCACGATGTTTAGGCTTCACATTGTCCAAATGCTTCACTTCTTAACTCTACAAACTAACATTTAGTTGGAAATGCGGCAATTTCTCTCTTCTTTTACACACATGAACGTTTAAACACATCGTGCATGCATCCTGTTCCCGTTAATGTGTCCTCCCGTTGACGTCACAACATAGTTTAAGTCTGATATCATTGTGAGCAGATGACACAGAGCACAGAGTGACAAACTACTGACTAAAAACTCTTAACAGGAGCAGAAACCCACAGAGCCACAAGCAGCGGTGCTCTCGATCATGCTGACGAGTTACGCTGATGTTATTTACAGCATGTTAAATCACTTTGAGTCACCACTAATGAGTTTAGATGCTGAATTAAACCAAGTGGACGATAGAGGACAGACGAAGAGCTTCGAAACCTCCACAGAAAGAAAGACGGAGAGGCAGGAGGGTAAAGTTCAAAGCTTTAACTCTCACCATTTCATAACTGGAACATATCTAGCAATGGTTGTATTGGATGTGTTGTTGTGTATTTGTCAACTGATCGTGACAAAGACAGGATGTGATCAGTTTTGTGCCTATTTATTCCTAAACCATAGTCATGCTGGTCATAGCCGGATGTCCATAAATGTTTTGGGATGGCTGTGTGGAAACATATCTATGATAACCTCTGTTTAGAGGGGAAACTTTTGATTTTACAACATACTGTCAAATTAATATTTACCCCTCTTTGTTTTTCCCTGATCCGTTTTAATCGTGCAGATTAATTCTGACACAAAATCATGTTTATCAGGTTCTTAAATGTACGACGCAAGCATAATGATTGCTCACACTGGAGAAGGCCTACTGCTAATACGATATTGTGATCTATCCATGATGTGCTGCAGCTAATAATTATTTTCATTATCAATTAACCTACCCATCTTTTTTTCTTTTTGTCTAAAAATACCAGAATACTGTGACAAATTCCCATTATATTTTACTGGTTATTGTGTAGCATTTTTGTTTGAAAGCTGACTGATATGATTCATCGACTAGCTGTCGATCAAAGCTCTTCATATTACACGTCAGCATTTATTCATTTTTTTCCTCCAGCAGCTGCCAAAATGGGGAAACAATGTCGTGCAGAAGCAAAAGACAAGCTAGCTTTAAACAACTTTGCTTAAAGGCCTGACTTCATGTAATTTCTTTACATTTCTCTACTTGAATGTTTGAGTCAAGCTCCACAAATGCAAAAAAAGAAAGAGTTTATAGCAAAGCAACATTTTCATTTTGGTTTTATTCTGGTCAGACTTGGACAGGATTCTGAGAGTTCAGGTCAAAATGGAGAGAGTTTTGCTTTAAGATTTGATTTAAGGGAACACCGTCAATCTCCCCGCACACACGCACACACACGCTTCTTCCAACAACCTATTAAATGAGTCTAAAGCCAACATGAAAGAATAGTTTAAAGACACCGGGACAGGGAGGGACCGAAAGACAGGAGGTAGAGGAGCAGAGGCTAGTGTTAAAGGACAGCAGAAAGAACAGTTTAACGTTGAAACATCACCCCAGTCCCACCCACAGAAGATCCACACAGTCGAGTGAAGCGTGGGAAAGTTTGGATTTAGACACACAGACTGTCTCCACATCCCCCCCCCCCCAAACACACTCCTTGTTCCCAAACACAGCAGAGAGGAGGGCGTGAAAGCAACATTATCGCTCTGATACGACCCGGCGTGAAGAATCCCACCAGAGCCCAGAGGTGGAGTAGAAAGAGAGCTGGAGAAAACTGCAAAGCTGAAGGGGTTGAGGCGAGGTGAGGCGAGGCGAGGCGTCCGTCATGCAGAAGACAAGTTTTTAGAAACCATTACAAGGCATCTGTTGAGTTATGCCTGCCGGTCAGACGGAGCAGGGAGAGAAGAGAAAGAAGGAAATACAAGCAGTGAAAGAGAGAGAAAAAGGAGAAATTTAGAATGAAGGAAGGAAAAGAACAGTGGAGGAAGAGGAGAGGAAGGGAAACATTCAATTAAAGAGACTGACAAGGATCAGACACAGTACTTCTCCATTAGTTTGTGCATTAGCTAGAGAGGCTTCGGATCACCCAACCTCACAAATCAAGATAAACATGTAAAAAAGGCAGTGTTGTGACATGATGATAAAACAAATGCTTTTAACTGATTAAAAACTTTGATAGACTGTCAATAATTAAAGCAGTAACCACACACATCACATGCATATTATTACATGTGGTGTGGCAATGCTTTGCCTGCTTTGTTTGGTCAAGACGGATGAAAGAAACAGTCCTGAATGGTTTTAGGCTCAAGTCTGGAAAACCACAAACCAAGTTATCAACTAAAGCATTACCAAAGTGCACACAAAGACTTAAGTCCTTCTTATACATCATAAAAAACCTGCCATTACTACAGCTGTATGGACCCAAAATAAACATTTTGCTGTGATTTAGTTACAATAAACGGATCAAACTGATGCCGAAATAACTACAGCATGATGCCGATTTGTTAAAAATATTAAGTCATGCTATGTCAGGGATGTCAGCCAGATGACAAGCTTACAACTTTTAAAATGCTTGTTTTACTTGTTGAATCAATCGGGGCTATTTTATGCTAACTTCTTTCATTGTAAAGTACAGCAAATTGAACCAACACCTCTATAAAACAGTACAGTACAAAAAACTACAACTGTTAGACTAAGTTTAGCTAAGTGTACCTAATAATCTGGCTATGGACTGATAAAAATCTCACCCAGCCTAATGGATAGTAAAAAGGTGACAGCGGACCAGATCTAATCTGACAGTAGTTGTATTTTGTTGGTCTCACATGATAAAATATCACTTACAACTTATTTTTGTGGACCAAAACATAAGTATGATTTAGAAAAACGTGACTGATGACCTACAATCAGGCCAGAAAGCTAAAATAATATTTACGTTTTATGTCTCTTCCAACCAAGTTTCTGGTAAAACAGAAATACCACAGACTTTAGCTTCACATCAGCCATTTTCCACAGTTCAGTCCAAACGGCCTTCGGTCTCCCCCACTGAGTCGTCAGGAGCTCCAAAACCCAGAAAACCAAAACATACCCGAAGAGGAACAGAAACAGAGGCAGGATGGAGGACGAGTTATTATCTGTCCATTTACAAGTCACACCTCCTGCTTCCTGCTTCAGTGGAAAAAGGTCTCAGCTGAACCTCAGCATGTTAAAAAAAACAGAACACCCGACAGCTTTTGACAGGGTGTGAACGTTTCACAAGCCACCAAAAATATGCCTATAAACTCTCTTCTCAAAACCATATTCTGCACAAAATCCCAATGTTGACGTACCCGCCTAGCTATTTAGATTCAGATAGAAAACCAAACTGCTAAGGAAACATAACAAGGCCATCAGGTGGTGATTAAAGCGACGTGTCTTTTCGTTCATGCATATTAATCAGTTCACTATCTGTCTGAGTGACTGATGTAATTCACAGACTCTGCCATTAGGAGGAGCTTTTGCACAATTTAAAACGATGGAGAGATACTGTGTCTGCATCTGGATCATTGTTAAGCACATTTACATCAGGTAGAACAAGGTTAAACTTTGTTAGACCACAACACAGAGCACAGAGGGGATGCAGGAAGGAGACACGCGAGCAGCCGGACAGCGCCTGAATATTTTGTGTCAAATTTAGACCTTTTTGTTTGGTTGCATTTATATTTTGGCTGCATAGGAATTAAGTAGGACTGCACTACTAATGATTATTTTTATAATTGATGGATTTATTTTCTTACTGAATTGATTGAAATGAAGAAAACTAGCCAACAGCCATGCTTGAGGAGCTAGAAACGGTACATGTTTCAGCATTTTTGCATGAGAAAAGTTCAGTCTATTATTGCACTATTCTGCATTTAGATAGACTTTAGTGATTATAATTAAAAAATAATAATAAAAAACACTTATTAGAGATTACAGTGTTTAACACAAGCAAAGTGAGATTATCAGCATTTATTCTGTTTTAAGTGGTTTTTATGTGACAACTTTACTTTTAGCTTGCAGGCCAACTAAACAAACAACATTTCCTTCCTCTCTGGCTGCTAACATGCTGACAAAGCAAGCAAAGGAAAGGAACAAAGACCAGGAAAAAAATCACACTTTCCATCCGCAGGCGGCAGCTCATCACACAAATGCAAAGCAGAGATACATATACACACACACAGGGAGCTCCAGCACAGTGGACACAGATCACAGACATCAACAGAAGGAGTACAGTACAGTACAGAGCCCAGGATGAACACACTGATGAGTCACAGTGCTGCTCAGAGAACTTTTCTTTCTAAGAAGGAGGAAAAATGTTTTCACACCTGCCTGTGGAGAGAGCTCAAGTGGAAGTGATGATTTCTTTTGACAGGTTGGAAAGCAAAATGTAGTTTGACAGCTGCAGCGAAGCAGTGGAGGGTAAAAATACCTAGAACCATGTTTTTACCCACCTACTGTAGCCATATAAGTTAATAATAAAACTGCAGTGTACAGAAATTACAGTATTTTCTACACAATGTTCATACATTTATATTATTTCAACATTAATCTTACTGATATTCATTCCAAATATACTGCAACTACTATGCCACAATTTTCAGAAAACTTTGTTTTCAGGGTAACATACTGTTAACTTTTTGTTTTCTGTCTTATTTCTTAAATATCTTTTTATTAACTCATCTGTTATCTGTTCCTTTCTACATCTCTGGTCATCTTCGTGTGCTGCTGTAGTGCTAAATCCCCTCCTGGGATCAATAAAGTTTGATCTCATTTTAAATCAAAATCAAAATTAATTCACCACGTTTGCTTTTCTTGTTGGCTTTATGGTGACATTTCAGCCACAAAGTTATTGACCGTTCAGAGACGGGCAAAACAAAAACACCGTTATTAAAAAGTTCTTCCAGCTAAAGCTCTTTCCAGAGAAGCTCTCCTGATATAAATAGGTCCAGATATCAGCCGGTGATGTGAGATTGTCTGCAGGAGGCTGTATGCTAATAACTGGCTGACAGGAATACAATCTGTTTCACACCAATCCTCCCAGAGCCACAACCAGAGGTACAGGAGGAGATGCTGATTGGTTGTTCAGGGCATTGTGATTGCTGTTGCTATGTGAGCAGGCCAGCCCTGAGCAGCAGCAGCCGCCGTTCAGAAAAGAGAAGGTGAGCAGCCTACATTGATCTTACATCTACATGTTGAGTCACTGCAGTCACTAGAGGCAGAGAAAATACTGCAGATACTGTGAAATGTACCAGCTCAGTTAGAGAAGTGGCTCTGCGGCAGAGGGAGTTAGGTGGGTGTTGTCAACATGTGTAACCAGAGGGCTTTACTGCGGTGAAAGCAGTTTTTTTAAAGACTCAGAGTTAGTTGGAAAAGAGTTTAAGTGGAAAGGAGAGTTTATTAAGAGCACAGCGGTATATAAATGTAAAAACACTACGACTGAAGCACAAGCGTCTACTGTCAGAGATTTAAGATCCAGCCAAGTGAGCGTCTGAGCAGAGCAGCTTCTCACTTGGTCGTGTTATTAATTTAAGTCAGTGTAGCAGTGAAGTACAAGCAGTAGCTAGTGTGGTCATTCTGACAGTCAATCAGCATTATGAGTGTAGCAAACAAAATGATCTTTTTAAACAGCTCTGACAGAATTTACATTAATTTACTGATTGAAGTAACAACCTCATAGTATCTTTCTCAACTGAAGCCACTGGATCCCTGATAAACACCGACGTTGTTCATATTAACAGATCCTACATATGGAACAAATAATTTTAGGTTGTCAAACTCAAGAGCCTTTAATCACACGGCCTCACGTACTTATCTTTGCCTTTAAATTTTTAAAGGTGAAAGCACACTGTTCTGTTTTCCTTGATCCAAAGTGAAAAAGAGCACCGTAAACTGTACACTAACAATCGTGGGGGTGTTCCCGATCAGAGGCTGGTTGGAACACATTATTGGCCTAAGTGATCGTGTAGTCTGAGTTTGATTTGAAATCCGATAAGAAACCCACAACAGACAATGAGAGCGAGCAGACCAGGAAGCATCACCAACGTGTTGTGTATTTGATTGTGCTGTAACACGTATAAACCATGCAGATTCCCTGTTCTCAGCCTCGAGTTCATCCACAGTGTCATTCTCTATGCGACGGTACGACAGTCTGCCTCCATTTTTGTTTATGTCTGAAGCCATGTTTGTTCAAACTAGTTTCTGTGAGATTGCAAAATCCTGGAACCGCCTCTCTGAAATTGTTTAGTATAAATGCCAAGTGTGTGGTCCTGCGTCTGGACTGAATTCTTAAGATTAAAATATTAAAAATCTATTAATTCTGCCGTTATGTCTGTGGAATCACGTGTGATCCTGTATTTAAAATTGGAAAATCCTCTAGTGTGCACCAGGCTTAAGAATGATAAACTGGTTTACTACGCCTTCTTGTTATGCTGAGCCTTTAAGCAGTGAGCAACTGCTGTCTATCAAATAACAAGAAAGGTAGTAGTAGTAGTTACACTGGAAACAAACTGATTTAAAAATGTGTGGTTTGGAGTCAGTGTGCATGAGTTTTTACAGATGTAGTGATGTATGAAACTGGTCTTGACAGAATACTGTCTTGCTGTTATTTGAAAATACCCACATTTTACCTCACTAAGACAAAGATAACTGAATAAAGCAGTAGATGCTCCAGCGTTAAAATAATCTGCTCCAAACCAGCTGGATGTGACCTCAACCTTAAAATGATTCATAGATCTATTTCAGCAAGACTCGTGTTTAATCAGACCGGATCCCTTTGTATGTGGCTTCTGTGCAGACAGATTTAGGCTCAGTTTGTGTGAGACTCTCAGTAACATGTTGAGGGCTGTGTACTGTACTTACCCCGTTCCACTCCACGCTCATACTCACTTCCTCGCCACCGTCCGGCCCGCTTTCGTATTTCACCGTGTCAGAGGTCAAACTCTCGCGGCTTCGCTGCTTCTCGCGGGCCTCTGGCTCGCTCAGGACCTCTGCAACACGCTGCTTATGCACATTGTCCAGACCCTGACACACACACACACACACACACACACACACACACACACAATATAAATGCCAATTCAATTAATCCAATTAAAGCAAAAGCTAAGCACCTCTGCCACCTGCAGCTTGAGCACACTGTCACAAACAAACACTTTACAGTTGACAGGAACAAGTACCAATTCATCCAATCCAATTAATATTAAAGCTAAAGAGTTTTACCACCTGCTGAGCTAAACTCAGGCGCTGGCAGTTACAAAAGCTAAATTGGACTCAACTTAAAACTTTCTTTTAAAGAAATAATTGCACAGCAGAACTGCTGCAGAGGATGCTGACTCTTCAATACAACAACTTAGCTTACACCAAGTATGCACCTTGAAAAGTAGAACAGTTAGACGCATTTTAGGGGCCTGGTGTGGCTAAACAGGTACTGTAGAAGTTCTTTGGATGTATAAAACCTCTTAAAGCCCACTGGGTCACCTACTTGAGCTACATCTAAGTTGCTTAGATTGTGTATACAGATATAAATGTTTTAACTTTTGTCAATATAAACATGATACACATCGATACACATCACAAATCATTAGTTTAGTTCATTTTTCATTCAGATTTACCAGCATGATAAAATAATTAAAGAACTGTCCCATATAGACACCTGTCCCAAATATAGGCAGGGTGAGTTCAGTGATATAAGCAAATAAAAGACTGGGATATTACAAGTTTTACAGTAACTAACGTTAGCTAAATTGTGGGTTAGCAAACTGCTGTTACAGTTGCTGCTGCAAAGCTAATAGTCCCAGATCCAGCACACCCGTTCCAGACAGTGATACTCACAAATCTCCTTCTACTATAGATAACATCACAACAAGACAACAACATCTTGGCAAACTAGAAAGTAAGCTGAATGTCTGTGGGCAAGTCATTTAAATTTCCCCGACACACAAATCATGTCTGGAATAGTGTCCTGCGGCGGGGTGTGGGCCATCTTCTTTGCTTACCATTTACAGCTAGCAGACTGTGAAGAGATATTTGCCGAATCTGACAAAAAGACCCCACCTTTAATGTCAGACTGAAGGTGAGCTCAGAGACACTTAATTACTTCTGCAGGTGAATGTGAAAACAGGCTTCTAGTGTCAAACTCTGCACACATTTATATGAAAAACAAATGTAACGACATTCTTCTTGTTTTCAAAGTCAAGTAGCCTCTGGTGCAATTAAAGCTGGACAATGATACTTGTAGACCAGAGCTCAGACTGATGCAGAGGCAGGTTCCTATGACTCTGTCTGAAGAATAAATTATTCAAGAGAGGAAAAACACAGACCAACAGGGCAACAAACTGTAGGACGGTGATGTTATCAGAGTCTAAATACTTCTTGTTTTATCTTTACTAACATCTTCCTCCTCTTACATTAGACAAGCTTTAAATCTTTAAAAGGCAATCTAATATGGGGGCAGGGCAGGGACCGTTTTAAAATGTGACGTCCGACCTCTTCCTCTTCAATAGTGCATAAGCTATTTACATTTCTACACCATGACCACATTTCCTAAATGTTCTGCTATTTAAATTAACTGTTAACTATACTTCAGGAAATGATGCAAAAGAAAAAATATTTGAGAGAAACTCTACTGCATTGTGTGATTGCAAAGCCGGTTAAATTTCTTTAGTTCTTCTCAGCAGCCTCTCAACAGCCCAAAATATTGACCTGATTTAATAAAAACGGTATCTATACACATATTTATAATTTTATTAATAACCAAAACATAATAACTCTACAGCTGTAACTACAGTGGCACCACAGGAGTCCACTTTAAATTCATGTGTTATTTCCTAACCAAGAGATACCTGACATTAAATCCTAATTCAGGATAAAAGCTGCAGGGCTTCTCTGCTGCCTCCCACTTCTCATCTCCAGAGGAGATCCCATTAAGTCTCATAAGTAAGAGTGAGTATATCTCATCCCTAATTTGACACTAGACTGAAACATTTCTGCTCTTAATCCGCTGTACATAAAGAGCTGACCCCTTTCACTTGAGTGGTGGTAACCAGCAACAATCATCTACCACCATCTCTGAATTTTTAACACCAACACCAAGAATCTTTGTGATTCAAGATATCCAGGGACCACACCTGCTTTCTGGAGCGCATGGCGGCTTCCTCCAGGGTCTCAGCGGCCTCGAACTTGCCCTGCCGCTTGTAGAGGGCGCCCAGGTTCTTCAGCGTCGTGGTCACTGTGGGGCTGCAAAAACAAGGAGGAATATCTCATCACAGAGAATCATTACAACAATATTGCACACGTACAATACGAATAAACTGATTCATGAGCAGCGGCAAAACACTGACATGTAGACTTTCCTTCCCTGGAAGATCTTTACAGTTCCCACTGCCTTAAAAATAGCCCAGAACATACTAAAAGATCCATCCCAGCCCGGACAACTACTGAGTTAGTGCCGTAATGGCACTAAACACTCCTTGAATTCAAGATTAAGGAATGAATCGTGCAGAGAAATGTCGTGTATGTGTTTTTACTTTCCTCTTAGAATCTTTCTTTATGTATTTTTATACCTACTTTTAGAGTCTGTTTTATATTTACATACCTGTTTGCAGTTTACCGGTGTTGCACTGATCGGATTGCATCCAATTTCATTGTACATGTACAATGACAATAAAGATTCTGTTCTATTCAGTAATTTGTTTCCAATCAATAAACTGAAATACGTCTTAAATCCTTAATAAATTAATTTGATAAAAACACACAAGTGAATCTTCTATATCTGGATTTGATCCCAGCAGCATATGGGGTTTAAATGCATGGAGTATATGTATGTGAATAATATTTTGTTTGTACATGGAAGTAACTTAAATTACAAACAAAAATACATAATTTATATAAAAACTAAATCAGAGTGGTTAAGGGGTCATTGGATCAATCCGAGGGGTCAAAAGGTAAATAAGAAAAACATTTCTGCTACACAAAATTATGTTTCAAGCAAATAACTGAATTTTACCTCTTTAGGCCACATGAAAAAAGATCCCTTTTGGCTGGTTTTGGTTCAACAACAAGGGGTCAAAAGTAGACATTGATTTATTTTAAACGGTCACAGGCCAAAAAAAGGTGCGCATTGTTGCGTTAATCATTTAGGAAACTCCTTGCTGTTAGGAAACATTTATAGGCTTCTTTACTCTTTTTTTTCCTGCTGCTGTATACATCAAACAAACTCACCTGTCGACTTTACAGGCTTTGTACCAGCCTCCATATTCTCCAAATGGCGAGCCGTCCTTCTGCTTCCCCTGCAAGACAAAACTCATGTTCATTAGCGTGCTTTAGGGAATCTACGTAGACTTACATGAAGGAGTTAAGTCTGGGGAAGAAGCAATGACCCATGACAACGACTCGTGCATTAAAAGGATGAAAATTTCTAAACTAGAGGCTTTTTAAAAAGAAAACCATCAAAGATAACGTGATGGCGTATTCAGTGGTGGGATTATGGTCGGGTCAGGATTCCTTCCCTGAACAAGTAAACCTTTTAAACCATGACGAAAATAAACTCCTACTTGGGAAAGTCGGGTACTCACACCATCAGCATTAGATGGTTATTACTGAGACTTACTCTGCTAATCCAACTCTTTGTAAAGTCAATCCTTCCTTTTCCATCTTAAATAAGATCATAAAACTGTTCAATGCTGTCGTCATGTTACATTTTGTTCTTCTGCATGTGTGGCAAATACCGTAGAACAAACACATTCAGACTTAAGGAGCGCTTCAAAAGGTAACAGGAGTCGGCACTTTTTTTCCCCCTTTCTCATCTCTTTCCTACCATGCTGGTTACCTATTTTTAAATCTATAAAAATTAGACTTTGGGGCTCATTGTTTCCGTTAAATGAACTGAACGATTGAATTGATGAGAATCTAACTGATCTAACGATGTGCAGCATGCCCATATTGACACATTGATCATACGTTTAAACATTAATATTTGTATTAACAATCTAAGCAGCTTAGAAGCAGCAAAAGCAGGCGACACCGCGGGGGGTAGGAGGTTTTATACATCCAAAGAACTTAGATAAAAACCAGACCAGGTGTTTAATAGGGACCTGCATTTATTTGTCAAAATGTGTTCCCACACCAGGCCAGTAAACGGGGTAGGCGGATATTTGGGACTCGGCTATTAGTTGAAGTTTTACGGTAAATTCATTTGTCCTGACTTGCTGTTAATTTATCCGTGGTTAACTAGCGAATGTGTCAGACAGATTGAAGTTATTATAAGATTTTGGGGACAATGGTAGATAAACAAAATATGGGTATAAATTACATAAATTACATTAAACAGATTAAACATGATAATGCAAAGACTGACTAACAGACAAAAGGCGTGTGAAAAAGACTTCGCTCACCTTGCTTTGTTCCTCTCTCTCCTCGGCATGCATCCAAATTGGTTTGTTCTCATCTGCAGAGAAACACACAGTCAGACACATGAAAGGGAAAAAGTGATTCAGTGCTGACGAACAATCACGCAGATAAACAGCAGGAGAGGACAGCTTTTAAGAAGTCACACTGGTTCTGCTGAAAGGTCGTTTTTGTTTACAGCTACCAAAATGATAACAGCAGCCTGAAATTATTAACCTTTACATTAGAAGAAGAGAACAGCAGGGGTTGTCAAAGAAGTACAAATGCGTTTGACTTATTTTAAGTCGCTCTGGAGCAAGAAGATACTGGCTTAAATATATCCTAAATGTAAATGTGTGTGTGTGGGTACTTTTCCAGTCACGTGTCGTACCATCAACAGAGCCGAACTCCCTCTCATGAGCGCGGGTGAGGATTTCTTTATACAGAGTTTCAGCCTGCTTGAACTTGCCCTGCTTCAGGTAACAGGATGCCTGAAGAGCACAGAGAACCAAACAATAAGAGTCAGCATGACACTGCAAGAGATGAAGAGGTCGTCCTATGTATCACATTTTTTGCAAGTATTGGACATTTCTTCTCCACAAATACATAAAGTAATAACTGCAATACACAAGATGATTTAAGAAACCAACAACTGATCATTGTGTAGTGAACCTGTTCACTCTGATGGAACTGCGATAAGAGGATTTGCTCGCAGGGATGAAGTAAATCAGCCCCATTTTTTGAAGCTGAGCCCAGATTTGGTGAACTCTGTCTTACTGACTTTTGGAGGGAACCAGAGCCAGTGTCCAAAACTAAGGGAGCTATCGTAGCTAATTTAGCATGAACTATAGCACTTCTATTCCAGATTCCATTTAAACTGATTTATTTTGTTGTTCTGAATATATTAAATACCCTAAAGTGCCTTTGCTCCATCAGTGAACTACAGCTCCCACCCTGCCACTACGCTTCTCACCAGGTTGTTCTTGGTTTTGGCTACATTGGGGTCGTCGGGGCCAAGTTTGGTCTGGTAGATCTCCAGCGCTCTCATGTAGTAGTACTCCACCTCGTCGTACTTGCCCTGGTTCTGACACAGCAGGGCCAGGTTGTTCAGCTGCTTGGCCACATCTGGGTGGTCCTTCCCCAGGACCTGGGATGGAAGCAAGTGGAGAGGGGGTTTTAAAACAACAGCCATCACATCAAACAAAACAAGGTTTAGGCGACAACCTAACAAGCCATTTGGTCAACAGCTCATGTCCAGGGTGAAAAACTACCAGCAGCCTGTGACCAGGTGCTGCTGAATCTCTGTAGCTGTAGAGAGTAGTCATTTTGCAGTTTCTCTCTATTCTAAACACAGGAATTAGTATTTGTGATTACATGTTGAGTGTAACTTTGGAATTTACTAGTAACTGGTTAGTAATTATTTTACTTAGTTCTCTGAATCTCTCTCAGTGTCAACCTTTTTCCTGAAAAACAAAGCTGTCAACCAAAATGTTGTCCATTTGAAATCTGTACAAACAAACACGTTTGTTCTGGGAACCAAGGAATATTTGTTACATCTCTTGCCAGGTCGTGTTGACCCTTGCACTGCTTTCTACTGTTTGTTTATGATGTTACTGATTTAGCTTCTAACATTACACATAAAGATTCCTCTCAATAGCCGCGTACACTTAACCTGCATAGCAAATGCTATTTTTGTCCCATAAATTTGGGCTCCCATTTCAGGAGTTAAATCTGTAACTGGTGTAATAAAAGCTGAATGATTTTGACCCGTGTCGGATTGGTGGACTATTGACCTGCTTGATTAAATAAAAGCTGAGTACAGCAGATAAACACATCAGTGCAGCAGCATTTATCGCAGAAAACGATATCCTCGTGTCTGCATGGTGCCAAAATGTAGAAAGACCCCGAAAAATTAAATCTTTAAAAGTGAATGTGTTTGCATTAATGTGGATATGAGAGTGGAGTAAGCTTTTCCTGTGTGCTGAGGAAGCTTAAAGCCATTTGAGTCCAAGCGTGAAACAGATGCAGAAGGATCTTTAGAGACTAGGTGGCTAGAGCTAGAAAACTGTAGAGAAAGTTTTAACAGAGTCTGACTGACCAGCAAAGAGAGGGAGATCAGAGAGGGAGAAGAAATAACAGATTTAAAGAGGATATGTAAAAGAGAAAAGGAGAAATAAGAGACAGTTAGCACTCACTAGAACACTAGAGAAAAAGGGATAACAGTGGAAAGAGAGAAAAATGTAGAAACAAAATCACTTGGTGAAAAGTTAAAGAGAATCAGAGATGAAAGGTAAACCAAGAAACTTGTTGTTTGTCCTTTGGGGAATGTTTGGCTTCAGATTGTTGTTGTTGTTGTGTAGGAGGTCTGAGATCTCCCTCCCTGTTGGAGACTGACAGCTTCTCGGTGTCTGTGATCCACAGGATGCTGCAGAGCAATCTGAGCGGTGCCACCTACAGTATTCATCCAGTCCTGGCCTCCCACGCCTCTTCCTCTGCAGCATTAACACATCTGACAGCTTTCCTGTAAACATCGTTAGCTGGGAAAGGATTGCCATAGACCACGCGCGCCGGTAAGGTGTGGGTCGCTGAGGAATTGATCGTGTTTATTGATGGATGCCATGCCTCGAAATACCAAAAGTTCTGCAGTCTGTGGTGGTTTCTGGGAAGCTCTTAGAAACTCAAGCTTTATCTTAAATTAAGCAGAAGAGCCACTACTTACAGGGAATTGACTGAAACCATGTCTTACCAAAATATTTATTGAATATGGGAATTTCTGGGAAATTCAGGAATTAGTTTCTATGCGTATCCCTGTGAGACAGAAGTACACATTTAAACAAAGACGTCAGTGCAAAGAGACAGCCAGCAGTAGGAAGGGCTTCAGATGCTTGCATAAGAACATTTGAGTGGAAAAGAAAAATTCAGCTGTTGTTTTAGTAAGTCAGAGTCACTTCTCCCTTAAGCGCAGACTTATTAATCTTACTAAAGGTTAGATGTTTAAACTCCTGCTAATTAATCAGAGATTTGGGGAAACACAGATAGCAGTGCAGAAGTATGTGCCTATTCTTCAAAGATTTTGATACACTGCAGTGGAATTGTGGGTTTTAATTTTTATTTTTTCATTTAAATTATAAGGTTGGACTCGGCAATATTACATTCTTTTCCTAATGTCAACAAATCTAAACCAACAAACATTAGTCCATACTTTCAAATCTTGTATTGATTGCACTATTTGTTAACTCTTATTTCTTTCCCTAGGTATTTATCCCATTGATGTCGTATGTGCTAATAGCTCTTAATAGTATTTACTGCTATTACAAGTATCTGTTGTTACTTGTGGATCTCTTTACTGCTTGTATGTTGTTCCTCAAATGTAAGTTGCTTGGGATATAAGCATCTGCCAAATGAGTAAATTTAATGGATATGTACTTTCCAACTTCCCCAAAGATGTAGCAGGTTGATAAATTCATTCAGGCTCAGTAATTTGGTCAGGTAGATTTAGCAATCAGGAAGGAAATAGTACAACTTCAGCAGTGGATTAATCCACATTTTGTGCTCTAGCGAGTATGTGGGGCAGCAGGACGGTGTATGTGGCATTGAGCAGAAATAATTTGACTTTAGTTCCTAAAATGAAGCACATAATCATTGTGTATAAAGAGAAAATACAGTTCTTTTTATTCAGCATCAAAATATTTTTTTCTCAAATACAGTAAACTAACTTTTGAGTCAAAAGCTTCTATTCCAGTTTATGATTTCATCCCTCCACTGGCTCTGATGCCTACCAAACTCACTAAGAAGCTGAGCTCCCTTGAGCTTCTAAAAAAAAGAAGGACTGAAGCTAGTGTGAAGAAACAACTCTGCAGCGCCCCGCCTGTGCAGGAAAACTCAAATCTTTCAGCTTAAGCAAGAGCATTATCATCTGAGTTTCAGTAGCATAGGAAAAAAATGAAATCTCTCAGCTTAACCAAAGCCGACGTCTCATTCTCAGAGGAGCTAGAAGGAGAGCGGAGGAGAGTTTGTTCAAAGGCAAGAGCTGAGGACAGACGGAACGGGGAATAAAAAGTGTCTTCCGCACTTTCAGGATTGCTGAGCAGCACCTTTGTAAGCACCAAAACTAGAGGACAGACGAAATAATGACGCTCTCCCTCAGTAAACAGGCTGTTCCATGATACTTATCTCTTTGAACAATGCAAAGCACAGCAAGAACTAAGCCACGGAGGGTTTTTTGTGCCATTTTTTAAAATCTACCATAATGGTCTTTGAATTAGATCAACTGATCAAATCCAGCTAAACAAGATATATACCCCCTCCCCCAAACAGTTATTGTCCAATCTTAGATTAGCAACAGTAATTAGGCACGTCCAACCTGTCAAGCTTTAGATTTCTCCACGGTGTGTAGACTTGGTATCTAAAGAGGTCGGTGTCTGTATCTTACACTTTTTCTTATCGGTTTTTGGTTGTGTAAATTCAAAGGAATGGATTAAACGGTGTTAGAAATGTACCTGTACAGAAATGGATCATCCACATAAACCTGTGCATCCGCTGTAAACTGTATGAGATGTGCTAAAAATTAAAAGCTCGACAGGTTGTAGCAACAGTAAATGTTTGTCCTTCATTCTGCTGCCTTTAAAACCAGTGATTCATGGGAACTATCCTGACTGAAATCCTCAGTGTTTAGTGTTTGATGTGTTTGACTGAAGTAGGACACAGAGTTTGTCTGAAAGGGAAAGTAAACCTTTGTTCAAAAGTGAATGTTTTAAGTGTTTGATGACCTTTGACTCACCTTTTCTCTGATCTCAAGCGCTCTCTTGCACAGAGGCTCTGCTTCCTTGTACTTCCCTCTCTTCCCATACAGGACAGCCAGGTTATTGAGGGTGGCGGCGACCTGACAGGCACACAAACACATTTGTTATTTAATAAATTTCCTTCAAACCCGATGATGAGCCTCAATCATCTTCACCCATGTGCGCAGTGAGCGTGTGCAACCGCAAGATTCCACCACAGCAGCATAGTGCATTTGATCTGTTGACAGAGTAATTAACAAGGAGGAAGAAGTCTTGTGGAAACAGGAAGTGATTATGGTGGGCTGTAATTTGATCTCAATCAGTTGTATGATGAATCTCAAACACATGCACTCAGGAGGAGGGAGGTTACAGAGGCGCCTGGAGGTCATCTCTGATTCAGACAGGCTCCGTTGGTGATGTGGAGGGGTGAGGCAACTGGAGGAGGGGGAGCTCATTCAGAAAGACAGAGGGAAGGGGGTGTAAGAGGAAGAGGAGCGAGAAAAAATGTTCCAACTTTTCCCCCAGGACTTTATTCCTTACTTAGATTTTTTATGTTCAGTGTGTGATTTATGCGGATCCTCACTTTTCCTTCGCACTGTATAATAAAAAAACTTTTTCATTCTTCCAGCATAAACCAGAAATGATACAGAGTCAATGCTTGATCTTTAGCTTAAGGTTTTCTGGTAACAAAAGACTTAGGACCTACTTCATTGTTCTCAAGCAGTGGTTTGTGGTCCCCTAGTTGTCCATGACAACACAGCACAGTGTCCAGGAAAGGTTTTTGCTACAATCTTTTCTGTATTAAAATATTTTCTGTAGCACCTCAGCAGCTGAAGCCTCAGTTCTGTAGCAGAGTCACACTGTACCTGTTCATCTAGCAAAGTACTGCTGTGAATGTTAACAGCCCAAAATACAATCAATATATTTGAAAAGGACACTTTTGGTCACTGTTATGCACTATTCAAAAGCAAAACACCACTTGGGTCCAGATCAGGCAGGTCATTCTTCCCAGTCACCCACCTCCAGGTTTCCCTGTCATCCCCCTGCAGATCCATGCAGTCCCCAGACGGACCCCACTTCAAGACTCAAGAGCGGGAAACATCAAAGTGTTGTCTGATGTGTAGGCAGAAAACCAGAATCGGAGGCAGGGGGCTCTTAACCATTTCCATATGTGCCTGGTCCCTCTTAACCCTAGAAAGACTACAGCCTGACCAGGATTTAGCCAGGACCACTCCACCTTTCACAGTAGCTTCGGCTTGCACATTCTCACAGCAACGCACAATCCCAGTTTTTACAGCCAGGAGTCACTATGCCAAAGCCCAAACTTCAGCTGCCGCCCAACTAGCAAGGCTCCAGACCACCTCATCAGCACTAATGTATGCTAGGTTGATTCTCCTGCCAGTGCGCTTGACCAAGGCACTTCCATAGAAGTGGAGTTACTCTCCAGGCGCTGCACAGTGGCTGCAAGAACCTGCGATGTAGACCAGCAAGTTCAAACCTGATTCAAGAATTCAGGATATTATTTCTTAATGAATAGTCTCTCATTTATCTGGAACAAGTTCAAATTTAGAACCTGTTCTCAATACCAAACATGCAAAATGGGGAGAAAAGAAAGGAAAGTGATGGGATTGAGAAGATCAAAATAGAAGAAAGAATTGGATTTAAAATAAAACAAATACGGTGAGAAGGAAAAAGACAGTGTTACTGCTGCCAAAACTATGATTTTCTAATGACAATGACACTTTAGAAAATCACTTCCTTGTGGAAAAGAAGGACCTGGTGGCAGGAAGAGAGGAGTGAGGAGAGCTAACCTCAGTTTCACAAAGTGAAGAGTGATGGAGGTCCGGACAGTGGAGACAGAGGCCTGCTGGGGTTAACACAGTTAGTCGATCTGCTGTATGTTTACAGTCACACGGACAAACAGAGGTTACCAGGTCTGAGAACAGGCCTGCGTCAATTATTTATGAAACAGACTGTTCACTGCGATCGTCCTGGACTGCAGTCCCAGTCTTCACCAAATACATCAGGGATGTTTGGGAGAAATCTAATTGTTTTAGGGAGAGGTGTAATTTAACACTGAACACAGCCAGTATTTCCCAAGAGGCTTTAGGGTGTCGTGTTCTACCGTCTTCTGCTAGAAAAGCATTAAAACTTTATAACGGCAGTTCAGACGTTGTTGTTTTGTTCTGCATGTTAAACTATACTCTTAAATGAATGATTCTTCTTTCTGCATCTAAGGAATACATGAAAGATAAATACCTAGCCCAACCCTATAATCTGACTGTCAAGCAGGTACGGTTCTTGTTATATAGAAGAGGATGTTTTTCAGTCTTTATAATTAAAAGATTACACTTTTATAAAACACTCATTTTCCTTGGAGTAAATTGCATCTAGGAGCACCACTTAACAACTCTGAAAATCACTGCCCACTTTTTCTGCTCTATAATGAAGACAAATGCCTCAAAACGGCAATTCATTGGCTGCACTGTTATTATGCCTTTCTGTGTTATTATGTGTTACCTGAAGGGAAAATATTTTTAAATTACATTTATTGATTACTGAGGGGAAACTGGGACACTGCTGTAGCCAAAAATAGGTGTAGAGCAAAGAGTAAAGGGTAATATAAAATGACAGTGGATGGCTCAGTCTGCCAAGGGCAGAGTCTAACAAGGTAGACTCTAATTTATTGTCCATTAACTGTACGAAGTACAAGTTAAGGTTTATTACACTACAGCCCGGAATCTATCGTTAGTGCTCTTAATATTATTCTTAAGGCTTATTGGCTTACTTGCCGAGAGGGAGATGAGAAGATCAATATTACTTATGTCTACACGGTAAATATGAAGCTACTGCCAGAAGCCAGTTAGCTTAGCTTAGCATGAAAACCCCCAACATAAAACCATAACATGTCATTGTCGGTTTTCGTTTGGATTAAATACACAAGGTATAACATGTTAATTAGTGATCTTTGTAGTGCCGGTAGGAGGATTTGTAACCTCTGGACAGAGCAAGGCTAGCGGTTTCTAGTCTTTATGCTAAACTTATCGAACTGCCTGATTGCTATGGCTTCATATTTTCAGTAGAGTCTTCTAACTCTCAGCAAAAAAGACTTCTTATCTCTTTAATGTTTTACAGATGGATCAAGTTGCTAAAATATGACTTGTGTTTCAGTTTTACATATATTTTTGAGCAGACTACAAGGACAATGTACCCTTGGGAAACAATTAACCCTGAGATCCAGGATAACACATTCCTCTGACTCAGATAAAACTGTGGTTTAAGCAATGTCATGAAAAAAAATATTGTCCAACAGTCCAGTGCTAGAAAAACAACAAAACAGGGCACAACTGAATAACTTTGATGTAATGCTAAGAAAGATGTACTCACAGCTGGGTGGTCCCTGCCCAGAGTCTTCTCCCTGATGGCCAGAGCGTCATTCAGCAGGTTGGCCGCCTCCTTATATTTGTTCTGATCCCTGACAGAAAGAAGCAAACAGAATTAAGAAATACACAGACACAGATGGACAGAATAACAGACGAGCACACAATGAAAATAAACTAAAACTATGCTAACAATTTCCACTTTTCCACATTTCCAACAGCCCTTTATTTTCAGGTGACATGATCCAAATAGCTTTGCAGAAGTTCCCACAGTCGATGCTAACAAGTCGACCCAGTCTCTCAATTATTCAGGGTAACCACACCCAAAACCTGCACTGACCATTCAATGGATAAGATTCGTGGAAGTAAAAAACATGGGAGCATCCCCTGTAAAAAAATACTTGTCCAGCTCGTTTGTGTCATTCTTTTGTTCTTTTCTTCCTGGGCTTGGAAATTTAATGCTTCCCCAGTTCTATTACTGTACTGTAAATCTTTGGTCGTGTCTGCTATGTTTGCTATGCTCCACTTCTGACGTAGAAAGGCATCCAACTATCATTTGGAGGTCCTATAAAAGGCCTGTCAGATAGTGATTTCAGGTTTGTTACTAAAGGCTTCAAGGAACATGCCACCGCGTTGTGAGGGTGACAAAAAGACAACATGCCAAACCCATGATCACATCTTTCTCTCTTCTCTGAGATCAAAAGGTGCAACAAGGTTAAAAAACATTCCTTCCATTGATAACTATCAAACAGAGAAAATTGCAAGCACCACCCCAGTATTCACTAATTCTCATCTATTCTTAAATCCTGAGAAGGATTGTAAAATAGAGTGGCCGGGGATCTCGAGGATTTACAAGCTAGTGAAGGCTTTTGTTTTCATAGTGCTGCCAGTGTGATGTAAGAAACAGAAACGTTTCCACCCAATTTAACATTATTCCTAACTCTGACTGCAGTCTATGTATCCTTCATATCAAAGATCTATTAAATATGCCCCCGATTCTGACAAATACTTTGGCGCTGGATTATTTTGTATGGTGGATCTATTCCAAACAGATCTCCTTTCAAATAAAACGTTCGATAGTTTTGATGCCGTTTACAATTACATTATTATACTCTCACACAAAAAAGATGGTGGTTAAAAAAACAGTCCGCCCTAATATGAAGTCTCTTATATCTCATATATTAGTGTCAACAGTAATATTAGTCCTTTTGGGGACCATTACCACAGTTCAGGGCCAAGATAAAAGATTTGACCCACCAACCTGTAAACAAGGGCTAGGATATTGAGCATGGTGGCCACATCCGGGTGGTCGTGTCCAGAGGTCTTCTCCAGGTCTTCCAGGGCCTGTTTGCAGAGGGGTACGGCCACCTCGTACCTGCCTTGGGAGGCGTACTGGATCACCAGGTTGTGGAGGGTCCTCAGACGGGCCGGGATCTCATAGCCACCCTGCTGGGCTGCCGCTGCCGCTGCACTGCCATGAGTCGGCTGGACTGGAGACACATGGAGGAAAGAGAAAGTAAAAGGTTAGACTAAATCATTTTGAGTTTCATTGCCCTGTATAGTTTCTATTTTTATTTAAATTCTTATTTTTATTATATAAACACACTTGTAATGATTGACTTTTATCTTTTTTCTTTTTCTGTCTTTGTGGTGCTGGAAAATGTCTTTGTTAAACGGCTTATCTTGTGCACCTCTGTACTTTGAGCATTTCATTATAATTGCATTTTGAAAATAATCCAGAAAGAAGTCATTATTTATATATATATATATATATATTCTCTCGGTACTGCAATGTACATTTGGCCTACATCTAGCATTTTCAATATTGATTAATCTGATGATTATTTTTTCAAATAATAACTGTATTTGTTCTATAAAATTCAAAATTTTAAAAACATTACTTTAAAGCAATTATGTTGTCAGACAAACAGTCTAAAGCCCAAAGACTTTCAATTTATTGTCATATAAAACAAAAGAAAAGATTCAGATCCCAAAACCTACAGGCAAGTAATGTTTGGCATTCTGTACTTAAAAATAAAAAGCTTTTTAATATGTTTTTGTCTTATTATTGTATTGTGTGTTTCATATTTCACCTGCTTTCACATTTCTGCTGCTATACTTTAAGGCCATTAGTTATTTGAGTTCCTACAAATGGGTCAAAGCAGAAACCTCAACTAACAAACGTTGGCTGGTGGTTAACAGATGCCCTACAAACAAGATTATTCACACATAAACAATGTCCTCATTCTGCTACGGTGAACAGTAAATGTGATTGCCTTTGTGTTACATTTCACTGGGTCAGGAGGACACGAAAGGAATGTCTGTCATGAAATGCGGTCCGTCAGTCTGTCTAAGTGTGTAAGTATGCATGAATGTACGTGTGAGCAAGAGGTCAGGAAACCACCTGATTGGGTTTCTTATAAAAAAAGGCAGGCAGCTCTATATTTACTCTGAAGGAGAGTTGGCGGGGTGTGGAGTGAGAACCGCCCACTGCAGTAATAACACCGACCACAGTGAAGTGTCAAACGAACAAAGTTGTACCAGTGGTTCAGGACCACTCGCATCACAGCAGTCTGTCTGTACCTATGCAAGCACCCGGCAGAGTAAGACAACAACAACAACGCACTGATAATTCAGTATTTATATTCCTCACCAGGGCCCGTATTACAGAAACTTCCTAACCTGCAGATCCTATCCTAACTGCTTGGTAACCATGGTAACTTAAGTGTATTACAGAACCATCCTAACTTCACAAAATCCTAAATAAACTCTCCTAACTTTAGGATAACTGTTAAGCTGTCCTAACTTTTCAACCAGGTAGTGTTTAATAACTTGTTTCCACATGGGTGCTCTTTTCTTGCTTTTACAAAATCAACAAAACGTCAACAGGCGGACTTATTAATTGATTCTACCGATGTGTTTGATGACAAAACACTTGTTAGTAGAAAGGCTGTAGGGGATGTAACACTAGATGTCTCAATATTATGTTGTAGCCCATCCTAATTGCAAGTCTTTGATGAGAGATTTTATGTATTTCTTGAATTTAACAAACCATCATGACGTTAGCCCGCAGCCTTTATTATATTTTTATTTTTTACCTTCATTAACTTTCTCGAGAACAGTACAGGTTTCTGCTGGGGTCAGTGAGGGAGCACAGGAGGAGCCACTACCGGTTTTCCTCTGCTCTCTGGACACAACAGTTGCCTTTCTCTTTGTATCACTTCCTTTTTATCAGCATCAATGCTCCGCTGGATGGCGGATATGCGGCGGTGTGTCCGCTGTTTTATCCCACTCTCTCTCTTTAATCTCCCGAGTTAAGCGTTATGTGAATTTGGATTTCTCGACGGAGGTTGCAAACACCTCTAAGTCATCTGATTTGAAATTCAGTGATAGTTGTTGTTTCTGCTCCAATTTGTTTCATTAAAAAAACTACCGCAAAACAACGATCACAAGTTGTTTAGCTCGCGAGATGAGAAAAGTGCCATTGGTTGCTAGGTCACAGACATGAAAGTTAATAAGCCATGTTGGATTGAGTATTCAAGATTTCCTAACCTGAGATAAGATAGGATGAAGTTAGTTAGTTAGGACTTGCTTCTCTAATATCAAATTGGGAAAAATCCTATCTTAGACTCTTCCTATCTTAACTTAAGACTTAAGATAGGGACTTTCAGTAATACAGCCCCAGGTGCTAAACAGCCAATCAATTTGTTCTTATCCACACATACAAAGGATCCTAACCCTCTAACACTGCAGCTAAAAACTAATTTTGTATCAATTAATCAACCGACTATAAAATGTTATTTGTAACAGTGAAAATAAATCTTTCGCTGCATGACAATTTAATGAGTAAAAAAAAAAGAAGAATGGTTTATGTTCAATTTTGGTTTAATGGAAAAAAGGACGTTCTTTGCGTTTAGGTATGTGTTATGTTTTGTTTTTTTCTGGCTTTAGATACCGATAGTGGAGACATGACAGGAACAACAGAGAGAGATGAACAAAGAACAGAGGTCCCCAGAAGGAATCAAACCTGGGACGTTGTGTTTCACGATCAGCCTATTAACCCCAACTCAGACAATTTTACACATCAAGGTCTGTTTACCAGTATTAGGAAATAATTATGAGGCCAAAAAGCCCCCTAATTGTATTATGAGAAGAGAAGTATGCCCTATTTTTGGATCTCTACTACAGACTACAAGTTAAGATTTCTCAGTCTCTGCTTATCACCATTGTCATTAAGGATCAACACTAAATCCCTGGATCCCTTTAATTAATATGTTCAACTGAAACAACAGCTAAAGTGTCTGATTCATTAGGACCTTAAAAAGGTGTGTCTCAATTCGGATACTTCTGTTTGTACACTAGCACACTTTTCTTTATAATGGCGAACTGTAACAGCGCAGATCATTATCGCCAACAGTTGACTGTGATTGTCTCCCGCCAAAATATCTGCCTGCTTGTTGGATCACTTAACTTCAATTAAATTTTATTAAAAATGAACTGTATGTACTTTCACAATCGCAACTGCTGTTATGGAGATTGAAAATGGGGTTATTGGTTCCTCCCCTTCCGCAACGTAGCCAGCGGACTTGTAGTGCGCTGCATTTTTCCATACTTGTCAGTATGAACTCAAAATAGCAAATGTAACTACGTAAGGGTGTGAATTGAAAGCTCCCATACAGCAACTCACTGTGGACAACACAGCTGGCTAAACAACTGAAATGTAAACATTTGTGCAATTGGGGACAATTTAAAGAAAGGCAGAGCTGTCATCACCATTTTCGTCCACCCTCCACTATTATCTTCTTCCTGCTGACAGCAATTTACCAAAACCCCAAAAGATTTTCAAGCAGTCTGAATAAGCATGAGGAGAAAAGACATCTAATCTACTACACACACACACACACACAGCTATGTTTCACACTGAGAGGATTAATGCCTGTGGAAGCTGCATTCGATGATGCGTTCCTTCTCCATGCACCGTGGCACATGGTGTAGGCGTGAGTAGGAGAGTGTGGGTGTGTAACAATGAGAGCCTGAGACATATTTATGTGTAAATGGGTGCAGGTGTATAATTATTGCATTACAAAAAGATTTTCTTTTTTAATTATGTTTATCCCAAACTAGGGTTGGGTCGGTTTTTGCCAGTCCGGTCGAGGGTACGTGCTTAAACCGGTTTGATCTTCAGCAAAGTGACTGAACCGACATGTCATTTTTTAACGTTCTAGCCACTTAAAAAAAGACAAGGAGCAGTCTTATACACTCTGGAGCAGCTGAGTCACATGAGACACCTAGACGTAGAGGTCCTGTATTAGGCTCAATATCAAACTGGTTTGAAAATGTTGTAATTTGCCAAACGCTATCTCAAACCTCACTTCCCATTACCGACTGTTTCAAAGTGCTGTAAACCATTTCCAATTTTCCCAATTTCATTCTTGAAAATACCTAATAACTAATATTTATAAAATGTATAATTACTTGTTAATTACACATTTTTTAATTATACATGCCCATTTTTGCAAAATTATCCTATCTTTTGGTGAAAAACCTTTAACTAATCACATTTCTGGTCGTCTACGTTCTCCGTTTGCAGCTCCAGGACTTGATAATTAACTAGGAATAACTAGGAATTGATAAAAACGCTTTACGCTGACGTTACCATCTTAATAATTCAGAAGAGAAATGTCACATAAATTAATTTTCATTATGCGGCATTGACCTCTGAAGTGAGATTTATGCTGCAGAAAGTCAATCTTATGCTCCCCCTGTTCCCAGACCAATTGCTCTCTCACAGCTATATTCTATTAAAGTATGTCTCTCCTGTCTCCTAGTCATAATTCATACTCTGCCATGGTGCTCAACACAGCAAAGGCTTGACCAACACTGCAAGGGAAAATATGTCTAATGAAGCCAGTTTTCCATCTAAAAACATGAAAAAAAATGTAGTCCTAATTTGACACTGTATCCCAAAAACAACCTGGTCTGCTTCCTCTGCTCTACAACCTGCAGTGCAGTCATAACACAGAGAAGTCTGGATCAAGACCTATTTTACACCCACGAAACACTGTAAGAGAGGAATTTCAACTAACCCACAAAGTACAGTGGAAAAGCTGGTTTCTTTAACAGCAGAAACATATAGAGAACAAAAACAGTTTAAAACCTAATTTCGTCGGTGAGTGCACACCAGAACGAGGAAGAGCATCAGATTTAAAATGTGCTGCAGGGCAAATATATAGATGACATTGTTTCATGATACTTCTGCCTCTTGAATAAAGGGTACAGCTGGTGATATTCTAGATTTTTGTTATTTTCAAAGCCAATAATTATATAGTTTATCTCTCAGCACTTTTTAACTTCCCCTGCCTGACATTAGCTCTCAGCTTCAAGTCCACTGGTTCCTACTGAAGCCATCAATCTTTAAAAACAACATGAAAATGTCAAAATGTCATTAAACAGCTGGTCACTGTAGTTTTTCCCCCACAAATAGGAGGAAATAGCTTGTTTAGCTAAATTGTTGGGGACTATTTTCAGCAGATGTCTTTTTCAGCATTCAGTTATATAAAAAGACATTAAGGAGTCAGTTGTTTATATTTCCGGTTATTACATTTTGTTTTAATCCTGGTTTTTACAAGCCGAAATTAGCAACACAGTTAATATCACATTTAACATGAAATATAGATACACCTTGCTAACGAAGCTAGCAAGATCCGATCTCTTGTCCAAATATGGTCACTTCTGGTGCCAAACCACCAAGATGGCGACGGCCAAAATGCCGAACTCGAGGCTTCAAAACGTTAGTCCACAAACCAATGGATCATATCACAGTGGCTACGTCCACTTTTTTTATACTGTCTATGAGTTTGACACACAAGCACACACAGTACCATGTGTGTTTTTATACGCATCTAAACAGTTCTGTGAAACTGCTAGTTTCGTGGCACAGTTTACCTTCCAGGACATCACATAGTCCATTAAACTATCATTTGCTGCCGATCTGCTGCTGCAACCCAGTGTCACATTTTGCCTCACCTAGGAGTGGCAGTGTCACATTTTCTCAGTCCATATGTTAGTTAGCAATAATAAATATGAAACATCCAGTTAGACTTTCTAAATAAAGCCTGCTGAGAAACATTTTAGGTGACGCTCACAGTTTGGTTAGGCTTAGGCACCAAAACCACTTGGTTAGGTTTAGGAAAAGATTGTGGTTTAGGGTTAAAATAACTTACTTAAAAACAATCAATGTTGACTATTGGTTTCACACAAAAACAAACTGCAGTCTCCATGTGACTGTGTTTGACCCATTACTTTGATCCTTAATAGCATTTAAAAGGAAAAAAATTTGGGGATCCAGACTAATTGTTATATTCAGGTTTTAATTAATAAACCATTGACAAATATATATATATTAGTTCTTTATTTGTGCATATAATAAAATAAAAGACAATATGCAATAACGTAAAATGTTTTGAATTAAAATATTTCTGCTTCTAATTTTGCTCTGTCTACTTGGGGCGGCTGTAGCTCAGGAGATTGAGCGGGTTGCCCGTTAATCGGAAGGTCGGCAGTTCAATCCCCAGCTCCTCCAGGATGTTGAAGTGTCCTTGGGCAAGATACTGAACCCTGAATTGCCTCTGGTGGCTGTTCCACCAGTGAATGAATGTGAGTGAATGGTGAATGCAGATGTAGTGTAAAAAGCGCTTTGAGTGGTCGAAAACACTAGAAAAGCGCTATATATATTTGTATTCAACTTATCTCAATAAAATGTACAAAAACTAATGTATGTGTGACAATAAAAGGGCTTTTATTATTTTGGCCGATAAAAAGTATGCTTGGCCAGTGGACTGTTTCAGTCCCAGTGAGTCAAAAGGTTAATTTCAGACACAGGATAAAGGTGCAAAGACTGAATTAAATATTAAGTTTAAACATTTATTACTTTCATTAAATGTGTGCACTGCTGCAAGATAAATTTCCATTTGACTGACCTCCCGTTGGTAGGTTAATTTAAACATTTTAACAAAGAGGGCTGGAGCGCACGGAGCTGCAGTCTGGCTCAGACAGTGATCTGCGGAGTGTGAACCAGTCTGCTGCCCATTTTGTCAGCAGTTTAAACTGGCTGATAAACTGGTGCCAAGAGCCAAATGGAAATCACCTTGGTGCAAAATAGGGTTTCAAAAACAGAATGCCAAGTTTGGGAACCAACTGTCTGACGTTTTTTTTTTTTCCTTTTGTGGACACCAGAAGCATTTCAAAACAGCCAAATTAGTGTTGTAGTTCAAATTAACTGTGCTTATAGTCCCTGTCAAATGAGGTGTTTGTAACTGGTTTCACAAAGACAAAACAGGTTCAAGCCATTAGCCATTTTTCCCATGGTATTATGGCACCAAATGTTTTGATTTTAAGCATTTAATTCATATTTCAAAGACTGAAAAGATCAATTCATAATAACTACTACTGTGTTCTTGCCAAACATTATTTCACTTGGCCACTGCCACACAAAAAGGACACATTGTAGAAATCCTGGAACTATATAACACCAATCTGGTTGGGAGGTTTTCTCCCCAGTTGGCCTCCCTCCAGGCTAAACTAGGTCCTGACTAATGGGCCTTTACAGCCAACACAGCTTTACTGTCTGGGCTACTGAGCTACTGAAAGACAACCCCCATCAAACACTGAGGGAAGGGGTGGACATGAAGAGTGGGAGCAAAGAAAAAATGGTGTGTGCATGTGTGAGAGAGTGGCAGAGCAAGGCAGGGAAGTGTAAGTAGAGAGAGATGAAGAAACAAAGATTTATAAGGCTTAGGAAAAGTGCAGAAAAGCGATGCATGGCAGGAGAAAATCTACCACCATATATTGTTTGATATATTCCGACTCTGGGGACATCCACTGACTAGATTTAGGTTTATTGGCGTTGTTGGTGCAAAAGATTTAAGTTTTGTTCCAAGAGGATGAATCAATTTTACAGCAGGGACATTTTAAAAATGACTGCCACCATCAAGAAAAAAAATAATATCTAATTTCGAACACAAACCTGCACATCATAAGTCACAGCCTTCAACTGCTAAGTGTTAATGTTGTGGAACTTCAACTATTCTATAACACACTTCAGGTAACCATCTTTCAGAATATGCAATACTGCTATTGCTTTAAACATTTAGGACTTAATCTGGGTCACAGACCTGCTTCACTTCTGTGGCCACGTGACAAGTGCAGCCCTACAATCACATCTATGTTCAGGAACTACATTAAACATATTTGGGTCCAGGACTGAAAATGCCTGCGTAGAGGGAAGAGGAGGAATGTGGAACACTTACTGCCTGGGGCTTGGTCGTCCTGGTCATCCGGGAAGAGATCGTCCAGAGTCTCTTTACTGGAGTCAGAGTCCTTCTCCTCCTGAGAGGATAGTGAGGGAGTGGAGGAGACGGGAGAGAAGGCGGACAGAAATAGAAGACAATGAATGAACTGACCCAATCTTCTTTAAATTCGTAGGAGAGCATTACACACTACTTATTTATCTACTGACATAGTTGTTCTGTAGGCCGGGACGCGTCAAGCACATTTCAAAGAGTTAAAATACTCGAGATTGTTTATATTGATAACTTTAAAATTGACTCCGAGTTCAAGGAAGTGAATTAAAAGACAAAATGGAAGGAATCAGTGGGGAGAGAAGGTACACCGAGAAATAAAACTTAAGGAATGAAAACTACATCAAGAAACAATGCTAACTATTCTGGAGAGAAGTAAGGCTTAATTTGCCCTTTCTAGTTTGAATGTGATGCATTCTTGTCATGAATCTTAGGGGATTTCTATCTGTTCTCACCGATTAGTCACCATATATTATATAGTCGACGTCATGTGAACGGCCTGGAGTCCCTTCATCTGTCCTCTGGCCTGGGCATGCGTCGATCAGACTTTTTCCCCTCTAACACCATGACTCAGGGTTCACAGATACAGATTACTGATACAATTCAAGTACTTTCTATTCCCCCCAATTTAAAAATCTGTAGGTATCCCTAAATTAACTTTGACATGAGGTCAAGGATTGCGGTGGTAAAAAAGTCCATGGCCTCTCTAACTAACTTAATGTAATGAATAGAAAAAAACACTTTCTGGCTGATACCCGATCTGCTTCATAAGGTCAGTATCCCTGCCAATACAGATCCATAGTGTCAGATCGGTGTATCCCTACCCTGTCACTGGAGTTTCTTTGTTTTGTAATTCTAATTCAGTCATAAGATGTCTGGTCAAACATGTGGGCAGGATAACACACTCTGAAGAAGACCTGAGGACTCACAGATGGGGACAAGTCCTCGTCGTACTTCTTCAGCTGGTTCATGAACTCCAGGTGTTTCTTCTCCTCCTCCAGCTGGGCCACACTCTGCTCGCTCTTCTGCAGTTTCTGCTGCGTCCCGGCCAGCTCGTCCCTCAGCCACTGGTTCTCCTGGCAGAGCCGGCGTACCTGAGCCCGCAGCTTCTGCTTCTCCGACTCCACCGAACTCAGGTGGCTCGACAGCGCCATCATCACCTGGACAAAAAGGAGCAGGTTTTTCTTAACACACAAAGAGTTGCTTCGTAATTTAATAATACAAATAAAACCACATTGCTTGGATCGTGGAGTTATCAAGAAGACAATAAATTCAGGTATCGCCAAAAAAACCAAAACACATTGGGGTAATAATATTTATATTAGTTCCTAGTCCTTTACAGATGACCCTGGGCTGAGCATTAGGCTGACTGGGGCTGTATAAAACATTTATACCAAAACCTTTTTATTCCTGTGATATTCAAGAGTATCTCAAAAAAAAGGATCACAATACCAAAATATATAAATAAAGAACTAAAACTAAACTGCCAGGTGTACACTCCCCACCAGAGCCAAAAATGTGTACATTACCGTGAGGCCCTTAGGGTAAAAGCATACACCAAAGAGTATACGGTCTAAGGTGAGAGGCTGGGAGGGGTGTAATTAGACCAAGAGTTTGAAGTGTAAAGACATTAGAGGTGCCAGGAGGAAAATGATGCAGAAAAATGTGAATCACACTGTACTTCAGCACAACTGCAAGCTACCCAAAAAGCTGAAGGTGGATATTAAAGTCTGCATGGTGCAGTGTATTGTATATTTAATAGACAAAGCCTGCTGGGAGATGGAGAGGAGATGCTGCGACAGTGAGTCATCAGTGACTCACTGGCCGATGTTTGCCAACTGGGAAATGACACAACTGATTGTTAGCTTAAACTTTCTCTGAAAATTATGTATTTTCTAAAATGTTTTATTTCTGAGCTTAGAAGATAAATAAAAGGGTGACACAGGGGTGTTTAAACTTATATATCTGCACTGGAATTTATGTGTATACTTTGTTTTCTTGGTCTGTTATTATTTGCATCACTACAGCAAGACAGATTGCTGTCAGCTAAAGGTCACTTCACACCGGCAGCATTTTTTAAGTGTTTCTGGAATATTCTTGAAGTCTGTCAGTCTGAATTCTCATGAATCAAAATGTTCTTTCTGCTGTAAAACTTTGATTAATAGCCCGGGCTTTTATTTGCTAAAATCACTGAATTGACCCTGCTTATATCTGGGACCGTCCATATGGGACAGGCCTTTAATTCCTTTTGCACAAAGCTAAAATAGGCTACTAAGAAAAAGTTTATTTCAAACAGTATGAATATTACTTTATTAATAATATCAATACGCTCCAACAGATGGCTTATGCACTTTAATTTTGGCGAAAACAAGCATACCCAACAACAGGTGCAGGGTGCAGAGAAAAGAGAGCAGAGAGCAATGGACTTCATGTGACAGTATTAAAAACTTGGATGAATTTTTATAAAGAAGCTGTTTTGATTCTTTTGATCAGTGGACCCTTACAGACTAAAGGAATATAAATAATAAAGGAATGGACACATACGGATGTAACGACCAGTTCAAAGGTAGGGAGTCTGCACTTTTTTTTTTTTTTTCTTGTTTACCATGCCGATAAATCTGAATGAGTTAGGCTTTGGGGCTAATTGTTTCTGTAAATGAACTAAACTAATGAACTGTGGAGAATCTAACCGATCTAACGATATGTAGCATGTCCATACTCTCAAAAGTAGAAATATTTATACTTGTATTCATGATCTAAGCAGCTTAGAACTAGCTAAAGCGGGCAACCCAGCGGGCTTTAACAGGTTTTAACATTACACATAACGTTACCCCACAGCAGGCCAGTTAACGGAGTAGGCGGCTATTGACTTGGTTATTAATGGAAGTTTTACGGTATGTAACGCCTCCTATGGAGCCTACCTGAACTTTTTCTACATTGAATGTCCAATTTTAATCTGAGCCTTGTGGCTGACAGGACAGCTGGTTCAGAGGATAGTGACACCGTAACAAGTTGAAGAACAAGCCTGCTGTTTCAGTTGATAGTGATCCAAGACTGGCAGACTCTGGGAAGCTGCAGAGACATACCTGTGCCTCGCTCAGCCCGAGCTCCAGCATCTCCAGGGACTTGCGGATCATGTGGGACTTCTCCTCCACCAGGACTCCCTCCTCATCCTGCTTCAGGCAGCGCAGCGTTCCCAGCAGGCCGTCCAGGATGGAGTGGTGCTCCTGCTTCAGGGCATCCAGCCCCTGGATCACCTGCTTGGTCCGGGAGATGATCTCATCCTGGGACAGCTTCTCCCCAGGGTCCTCCTCCTCCTTCACGCACACCATGGTGGACATGTCCTCACGCATCCTGCAGATTTAACAACAGAGGAAGGAAAGCTGATGTCAGAATGATATATTTTGCATGTAATAGGAAACTCTGCTCTGAACTGCTTGAAAACAGCTTGTTTGTAGTCCAGCCTTTTCCCTTTTATCCCTGTGACGTCACATCAAAATGTTCCCTCTGAAACTCTTGCTCCAGTCCATGTTGCTAAGCTGTTAAGGGGAAAATTTACAGCTAAACCAAAGCCGTGTTTACTGGCTTCTCACGAAACGCCCTACTCTGCTTCTGATTGGCTAGTAGTCCTTAACTAGGAACTGCGCATGTGCAACTCTCAACAAAGATCTTGCAGAGGCAAGATGTATCACTCCATAGCTAAAATGAAGCCTTCAACCCACAGGGTGAAAAGTGGAGCTGCAGCAATGTGCAGTATGAAAATATGATGTTGTTTTTTTTTAATGAAACCATGTAAACCTGTTCTGGTAGACCTCTAAATAAGATTTTGACCCTGAAAATGAGCATAATATGACCTCTTTAACTAATGCTGTATTATGCAGTATGTCCCAGGAGAGGAGACAAATCAAAACAGTGTATATGTTAGCGCTTGCTGCAGTAAAACTTAAAAGGTCGTAGACAGGACCATTGGGAAAAGGGGAAGTCACAGACTGAGCTTCAACAGAAACTTGTACCATATTGATGAATGTGGAGAAACCATTAATGAGCAAGCACGTAACCTTCAGATGTTTCATTCAAAGTTGTTTCCTCCTGACCTTTTCTGGTCACATGGCCTCTACACAGCCTTTTAAAGCCCTGCCAGTGATTCATCTCTCTTTACGATCAATACTCAGACAAAAAGGTTAGACCCATGTGTTTGTGACTGGACATCTCTCGGTTCAGGGGTATCGCTCAGGTTGAGAGAATTAATAAGAAAGGTTCATGCTTCCCTCTCCAAATAAAGTCAAGGTGCCTTTGAGAGAGGAGCTGACTGACCCACCTGCTCTGCTTGAAACGCTCAGTACAGCGTGTGAGCAGCAGCACATTGAGGAACACGGGTTAAAATGTAATGCGGCATTTGTAAAAAAAAAATGCTGTTTGAAGTGCTTGAAGTGAAAAAACGGGAGGAGTCATCACTTAAGATGCTTTTAGGAAAGAAAAAATGGGGGACTTTGGTGTAGCTGTGATGAAAAGTTTAACCCAAAACCACAGACACTAAACCTGCAGCCTGCTGACAGTTCAAATCCTGATCTGAGGCTTGTGGGCTGTGTGTGGTTTACTGAAAACGACAGATATGAGGTGAGGATTGTCAAAAAATAAAACTCTGACACAGTGAAAAACTTAACCAGAGAAAGAGTGGCTGCCTCCAGTCTTCACGTTTGTTTATGGTTTGTTATATAACATATAACATAAAGTGTAACTCTTATAAATTTAAGTCATCATTTTTATTAGCTTCACCTGTATCTAGCCAGTTTTAATCCAACCAAAACAAACTGCGAAAATATAACACAATCTTAGAAAAAAAAGTTAGACTTTTAGTTATAATTCAAATACAATTTTATAAATATCAATCCTCCATTGCAGTAAAGGAATAGCAGCCTTAAATGTTCATATTCGTAATTACAATAATAATCTGCTTCTTAGAGCTGCCATAATGCAGTCATAGCACATAATCAGATCCTGAATCAGCCTTGGTGATTAAGGAGGAAGACTACAAGGTGTAGCAGGTAAAACCGATGCTATTATTATGAACATATTAGCTAAACGATGCAGGTTCATATCTGTTCCCCTGACACTGACCCCCAAATCCTCCCCTGACTTTCTTTGTTTTGTATTCATTACACACACACAAACTTAAGAGGATTATGGCTCAGCGCTTCGGCAGCAGTTGTAGCGAGCTGCCTATTAAATCTCGGCAAGCATGATGAACTGAAACTGCAAACGCTCTCTAAGCTGAACAGTTACAGCAATTTACTGCCCAGCTCTGTGAAAAAAACAGAAATTAAACAACTTTAAAATTAGCCTTATCCTTAACAATCTAACATGTTGAAGCAGCGTGCCCACCTCAGAATAAAAAGCTGCTGTGGTACCAGGTGAAGCAGCAGACTTGTCCTGAACTGCCTCAGATTTCACATTTCAGTTCAAGTGTGGAAGAAAGAAAGAAGAAAAATAAATAAATAAATAAAAAACACAACTACAGCTGAAGATCGCCGTGAGCAGACGGAGGAAGAGTTATAACCCTGATCGCTCCATGTGACTCAGCAACCAGCCTGCAGCCTATCAGCTGACAGCAGGGCAGGAAACGGACGCTGTGTGGAGGAGGAGATTGAAAACAGCAGCTCCAGGTGAGCAGAGCTGTGCAGCAGCATGAGGGAATATTCTGTGAAATCAACTTGAAAAAAATGTATAACATGAACCTCACGCCTGAAAAATGTCCTAATATTGTTGGCAAACTGCCAAAAGGCTGATTATTATTATAATTACATGCAAAATGATTAGTATTCATCCTGTTGTTGGTGTTTTACTTGTTTCCCATGTTCTTAAATGACACTTTTATAATGCAATTACTTTCTTAGAAACACCTACAAATAAAAGAATTAGGATTTAATTATAGCTGAGCCTGCTGATTGTTTTCTCGATTAACCGATTAATTGTTTGGTCTGTAAAATGTCAGAATTCAGTGAAAAATGCTTTCTTGTTTAGTCAAAATATTCCACCAAATCCTCACAATTAAGAAGCTGGAACAAGTTGACATTATGTTAATTAGGAAAATGCACATCATGTCAGACGCCAGTGTTTCCTTTGCATCCATTCAGCTCCCAATACCTCGCTGTTGTCAATGACCTTAAACACATATCCTTCAAGATGTAATGGTCAAAATAAAAGTTGTTCTTATGTCTCATCTTGTTTCTTATCCTTAACCCTTTGTTATTATTATACTCATTATACTAGTCTGTCCACATCTGCAGGGTTTATGTCAGAGCTGAGAAATTGTTTTATTGTTTCCCTTTCTAGCTGTAACTTCTCTGTCATTCTCTTTCATTATTAAATCTTTCAAAGACAACAGTTTTTGTAACTCAATTATTTGCCCTCAACAGTAATATAATATTTCCATGACCTAAAGCACCCCAAACTGCAAAGAACAAGACAACAACTATCACTGCAGGCTGCGTAATACAGAAGTGAAAGTGACAACGAAAGCCTTTCTTCCTGTTCTGATCCAACAATATTTTATTTCTAGCATCAGATGGGTCTCAGAGCACAAAGCATCATGGGGAAAGCCAGAAAAAACTATTTCTGATGTTAACTTTTGAAATGCAAATAGCTGCCTCGCAGCTGAGCGTCCGGGGATGCTGCAGCTCCTCATGTCTGCAGGTTCAGGCCGTGATATAAGGCAATGGGGAGGCTGAAGACAAATGTGGATGAGGTGGGGGTAGAATATGGATGAGAGGGGGTGGGTTGTGTTTGGGACCAATGAAGAAGAGGAATAGTAAGTGCTTGCTCTGGGCTTCATGCATGAGGATGGCGCTGGTAGCAAGAAGAGCAGCACTATGAGAACAATCTTAGTCAGCGATGTGTGGGCTGATAGTAATGATTCACATCCACATTCAAAAAGAGAGAGAGTCTGAAAGACTTAAAGTTCACTTTACAGGATTCCTTTTTAATTATCCATTATTTAAAGGAAGTTAGAGTTGTTCTATCTGTAACCTGTGAATCAAAACATTTTGAATTTGCAGAAAACTGAAAAGCTATGAGAGCTGCCGCTGAGCACAAATAACACAGCAGAAAAAAAGCTGTCTGACATTTTATCACTTTTTAAAGTTGCTTAATTACACATCCAACAGCTATGGAGCAACATTAGCATTCATTTAAAGTTGTGCCTTTGGCCATGTGACAAATTAAAGTCAGGTTTTAGCTCGATTTTGGCATTTTCACACTAAAACGTTCCACTTTCTTCACCAGTCAGTCTCCAACTTTGCCTGTCTCTACTATTTGGTGCTGGGCAGCCTAGGCTGTGGTGTAAAATGGGTTTGTCAGAGCTTTTTTTCAGGAAACATCTGCCTGTTGAGAGTGGTGACACAAAACAGTGTCACAGTTGGAGTCTGGAAACCAAAAACAAAAAAAGAAGCTAAAAGATGCTATAAAACTGTAAAGTTGGAGGGAACTGCAGAGTGGGCTGATAATTAGTCAAGTTATCCATTATTAATATAAAAACATTGATGTTAGCTGCTTTAAAATGATCAAGCTTGTTTACGTATAGGGCTGCAACTAACGATTATTTTCATTATAGATCAGTCTGTCAATCATTTTTACGATGAATCAATTAGTTGTTTGGTCCATAATATATCAGAAAATGGTGAAAAATGTTTATTCCCAAAGGCCAAAGTGATGTCCTCAAATGTCCTGTTTTGTCCTCAACCCGATGATGTTAAGTTTACGGTCATAGAGGACAAAAGAAGCCAAAAAACATTTACATTTGAGAATCAAAATAGTTGCAGATTAATTGCAGCTCTGTTTATTTATATCTTGTACCGTTACTGTTGCACTTTGTGATCATGCTAAACATCAGTCTTACTCAACTATCCAACAGTTACTTGTGACAACATTAGCTGAAGAGGCCACAAAAAGGGTTAACAAATCAGGCTGTCACAGACATGACACGGCTGAAACACAGGAAATAACCAGTTAGATTGGGATCGATACTAAAACAGATTTAGTTGTCTGTGTCCGGTGGACATCAGGAACTACAGGCAACAGATCAATAATGCTGAGGAGGTGGAACAAAACTGCCTAATTCTGTGTAAGTTTATCGGCCTTAAGCTGTTGTGTATATTTGTCATTTCCTTAAATGAGTTTCAGGCTCACTTCTGAAAGCCCTCACATGACAAGACCAATAAAAAAAAAATTATTTCCATGAGCAAGCCTCGGGCGAGAGATTAAATTTATCATTCAAACATCTGAAGTGGTGGCTCTGATCTACGAAGACAGTAGTGGCGTCGCTCGCTCCTCGCTGCAGCACCCCTGAAGGCACCGAGAGAATTTACTGGATTTATTTTGACTTTGATATATAACGCGCTTCAGGACTTTACACTGATTAAGTTTCAGGTTTTAAGACGGTGCTACCAAAACTAGGATGAAGAATAACGCTGAGATGGTAGACCGAATTAGTTCCTCCTGATTTCCTCATTAGGCCCATTTATGTCTCTGCTTCTCTACCAGACATTTCTCATAGCTGATAATTTCACACTATTCAGCTTACATCAGAGCCATCATGAAAGAACTAGTTGTCTGAGTGATATATGACGGCGCCATCGTACCACAAGATAAACATAAATTCAGAAAATCTGTTTAAAATATGCAAATTTTGACAATCTGAAACAAGGGTAGTGGTTTACATTTGATCCTGCTCCGATGCAAAAACCTTAGCAATAACTTATATCTTCAATATTATATATTATAACATAAGTTGAAGGACATCCCTCCATTGACATCTTCCTGTGCCTTACTTGGGATGTCTAATGTGTGTGTAGGTACAGTGAACCGGCACTAAATGTAAAATGCATATCTCTACATCATTTTTGTCTTCTGGAAGTTCATGATCCAAAAGTTATTAGTTATTATTTTATTGACAACCTAAACTCAGTTGCCGTTTATTAAGTGCACTGCGCTAAAGCTAACTCTCTTTGTTAAAAAGATCAACTTTTGTTGAACCTGTTTACAAAGGTGTGGTTATATTGAGAGGTGTTTCTAATGTTTAGTCTGCCCTCTGTAATATAAGTAGAGTGGAGTAACTATTAGAAACACCTCTTTGTATAAAACACTGCCATTTAAAAGCACTGGTACTGCAACAAACTGGATTGTGCTTATATTTTAATTAACCAATTACTCTTTGGGTCTATAAAATATCAGATGAAAGTAAAAAAATTCCATTCACACTTTGCTAAAACCCACGATTACGTCTTCAAATATTCAATTTCAATTAAATGTAATTCATTATCACCTCTTTGAAAGTACAAGTATAGAACAGTACAATAAAAGTGTACTGCACCTCCTCTCTGTCAGGTTTTAGCAGGGATAATGTTTTAGTGATGTGCAGGTTTGCATGTTTTCCCTGCAGAAAAGCACCGCATGCTTCTCAAGCCGACCTGCAGCACTACAACAAATTCTGCTGCGACAACACATGATTCTCATTTCCCAGGAGCAGCAAGCACTCTATAAAAAAAGGTCAACACACAAAAGCTCTGGGATCTCTGAGCCAACAACAAGCAGTCCCTGGAGAGCAGAGGGGTGTTAGCCTGGGGGAGGAGCCCTGCAGGTTGTCATGTGCACTCCTTCAGGGCAAGGCAGACAAAACTCTCCAAAAATACTTGGGTGTATTCCTGAGATTTCTGTCATACCGTGTTGGCTCAAGATATCAAGCGTGCCTGAAGCTCAAATATTCATAGACCCCTCCCAGTCTGTCCTGTTTTCAGATCCCAGCTGTGAGTCCCCCCACACTGAGATCCACTGTCCCTCTGAAGCGGTCTCCTCAACACAGACAGCCTTCACAGCCCTCAGCCCTGCTCTGAATATCAATGAAAGGACATCCAGCACAGCTAACCATCACATGACATATTCCAACATCAAGGCTTTAAGGGTGCCGCTGCGGCCAACAAGTGCATCTTCCTACTGGTGTCTTTCTTACGCTCCTGCTGCTTCGTCCTAGCTATGGATTAACCTGAAGAACCAGTTAGCCAATACTGTTCGTGTCACACAGACTAACTAACCACGGTGTCAGCTAACTCTGAGCTAGCACCTCTCTCCTCTCAGTGACAGTTAATGTGCAGCTTATGGCGACCCATTCCTGCAATTAACATAAACATCAAGGAGGCATCTCATTAAAAACACGGGCGCCCAAACATTATACAACGTTAATAATTCAAATGAGTGTCGGTTTGACAAAAATGACACAGATTAAATTTTCCTGAAAGAGATCAGTTAATTAGTTGTTGATGAATTCCAAGAAATACACGGAGCCATTCTTACCGTTCTCTTGGACATCCGTTGCCAATGTAGCTTGACTGTAACGCTCGTTTTCTTCACGGCTTTCCCTTTTAAATCACAGCTTTTTTTTAAACGGAGGGATTTTTTTCTTTGATGGACAGCGTTTGCCGATAAATGTAAAAATATTTAATCATAAAACACTATTTTCCAAACTGTCCCCGGTATGTTTCGCCGACTGACGCTGGACTTCAACTGCATCAACCGCCGTTTACTGATGACCAGCTAGCTACATAGCTAGCCACCGAAGCTAACTGTCACAACACTGACTTTAGTCGGAGCCACACGAGAAGAGCCTGTTCCCCTTCGGTGCCATGGCAGGAACAGGTCCGCGAAACTAGCTTGATCGCGGCTTCATGGGGATGAATGCAAAGTTGACTAGTAGCCGATGAAGATGACAGCTCCCTGGATGACTGACTGGCTGAGCGCTGCGTGAAAATGGCGTTACCCGGGGCCCCCCCTGCTCTTCCCCGGTAATGATGTCATCCCTGCCCGGATTAAAGGGGAAGCTGCGGGCACAAGTCGAGCCTCCAGATTTATTCTTATTCTCACCGATGGAGGAAGTTTTCAAGTACTTATACCACATTTAAATACGCTCTGTTACAAGTAAATGTCATTCATTGAAAAGTATGGAGGTATAATCAGAAAAATGTACTTAAAGAATTAAAAGCAGTGGTGGACTTTAAGTACAAGTATTCAAATCCTTTACTTAAGTAAAAGTGCGACTACTTCACTGTCAAAAATACTATGTGACAAGTAAAAGTACTGCATTGAAAATGAAAGTATAATCAGAAAAATGTACTTTTCAATTCAAAGCAGTGTTTGATTTAAGTTTAGTTCAGTTCATTTATTATTATGCCAAGTGGAAACTTGACTTGCAGTCAGGGAACACAATAAAACATACAAGGATCAGATTAACAACACAAGTACAAAAAAACAAACAACAACAAAATGTGACCAGTACATACAGTACACTAAAAACATTTAACTTTCTCTAAAATGTGAGGTTACCCGAGACGATTTAGCAGAGTTACAGCACAGGGAACAAACAAGTTTTCACTCCTATTAAACTTGAATCATGGCACCTTACTGTAAAAAAAAAAAAAGTGGGCTACTGGATTGAAAATGTGACTTAAGTAAAAGTATGGAAGTTTAATCAATGTACTTAAAGTATTAAAAGTAAAAGTACTAAATGCAGAATGAAAAATGTCCCCTGTGACTGTTATACTATTATATCATTATATTATTATTACTCATGTATTCATGTAAAAGCAGTTGTAGTTAGTTGAGGTGGCGCTCATGTTGAACTATTTTGTATTCCACTGCAACTAATGATTAATTTCTCAGTTAATCGATTGATTTTTTGGTTTAGTAAACATTCTGAGAAATGCAATTACCCAGAGGCCAAAGTCACACCTTCAAAGTATTAAAATAATTCAAAGGAAAAGCAGAAACATTTGTGAAGCCAAAACCATTAAATGTTTTATTATTGTCAAAACAGTTACCCATTAATTTTGTCAATCAATTATTCGTTTTAGATGTACTAAGATGTATAAACTGTTGGGTAATTTATAGCAAAACATAATATTTGTATGTACAAATTAGATAATAGTTACTTACAGCTGTCAGATAAGTAAAGAAAATGAAAATACTTAAGTAAAGTACAGCAAAGTTGTGGCTAAATACAGTACTTAAGTAAATGTACTTAATTATTTTCCACCACTGTGGTTATTATCCAACATTTCAGTATTAATTTCTGTAGTTTTACAAAATCTGGCATTCCTGTACATTTATTTATCGTATGTCAATGACCCCACATTTTTCAGAAGAGAAACTTTTTGAAGTTTTGTGGTTTGTGTGATATGAATTAACCGACAGACATTTTACCAATCAATGGTGAAAGTTTCTCGGTGTCTTTTCTCTGGTGCATTGTATAAGTGACTGAGCAGCACGAACACAGAGAAATCTGACACAAAACAGACAGAAATGTAAATTTCTCCACATTCATTCTGCCTCCACAGACAGGAACTCAATAGAGCCATAAGACATTATCTTGAGCAAAGTTGAAAATACACCCTTGCAAAGATTTGGAGTTGTTATAGTTGTATCGTACCAGTAAATCTCAAATTAATTTGTAATCCTGTCCATCAAGTAGACAAGTTGAAATAATTCGTCTAAGAACAATTAGGAAATCTCTGTCTGAGCCATTGTGGGTTTTATAGTAAAGAGTTTCTAGTGAACACCCTGCTGATGGGAAGATTTCCGACTGTTTTTCAGTGCAATTATAAGAAATAAATCAAATCAACAGCTCATCTTTTTGTCTGTCTCCAAGTGAGCGGTGAATATATGTCAGTACATAGAGTGGGGTTGAGTGAATATTTTATTTCTCATCATCAGGTGGTAGGAGTGCTGTTTTTCTTGCCGCTGTGTCGATTAGTAACAGTCCTCCACATGTTCTTTAGGGAGACTCGGGCCATGAGCAAGGTGATGGTGAAGTTACGTCGGTACCATTCACTGGATATGACACGGAGAGGGGAAAAGAGAATTAGAGGAAGTGTCATCAAGTTAAAACCACTGATACAGTATGACTTTACAACCTCAACCGATTAGAGACTTTTCAAGCCTCAAACTTTCCAGACTTCAGACCATATTTGAGATCAACTATTTGAGTACAAATATCTAGATGTTGATTATGTAAATAAATGGTTTTAAAATCCAACTGTTAACACGTATGTTACATTCTGACTACGTGTGCCGTTATGTTGCCAAACATTTGCCAGACGATTGTAGCTGTAGCTCATACAAATCAGTTCAATGGCCGTTCAGTCCACACTCCTGCTGTGAAACATCTGTTGCCCAAAGAGTAAACTTTACACATATTATTTTCCCTTAACATATTTAATAAATATTGTATTATTGTTCCCCCTATATGTTTTAGTCTCTTTTATAAATGGGAACAGGAAATGAGCTGAAAAAGTTAAATGTGTCTGTGCAGCGTTGTTTATTCACTGTAACCATGGAAACAATGATGTTTCCTTACACAGAAAAGATCTGTATATGTATCTGAAAGATGTGTCTGTCTATAATCACTGCGTAACTCATAAAAATTGTTTAGACCTATCTATATTTGGTTTTTTGAACAATAATTTAGAAAAGCGGATAACATTTAATTGTTCCACATTTTGGGAAATACACTTATTCGCTTATTTCCTGAAAATTAAATGAGATTATTGATACTCGCTTGATTGTCTGTACACTAAAGAGTAGCTTTTTTATCAATAAATAAAAAAAAAAGCATAAAAATGACAATTTGTAGTTTGACGGGGGGGGGTTAGGCGCCAGACTATTTCCTGGCCAGCTTCTTTAGGGCCAGAACAATCACTTGATGCCAAACAGTGGATCACTTTACAAATCTGATGTAGGACATTTAAAACAATTATGATAAAATCTTTTTTCAACAAATATGCATGAATAAAATTAAATAAAAACTTTTTAAAATTCTTTTCCCTCAACAAAATAAATATCCTTTTCTCTCTAGAAAAAATAAATGCTAACCTGTTCGTGATTCAAACATTTATTGAACATTTGTTGCTCCTGTTTATTTTCAGCTGAGGAAAACCTGGGCCTGTTGTATTTTGTTTCATACCACTACTGTAACTCCCTTTTCACATGTCTTAGCAAGAAATCCCTGGATCGTTTACATAAGGGGGCCAGAATGCTGCTGTAAAGCTTTTAAACATCCTTTAAAAGGTCTGAGTTGACTTTGATCGTGATCTCTTTACGCTGGCTCCACATCAAATTCAGAATCTGATCCGCAGTTCTTGTGATCACGTTTAAGCTCTGCATGGTCGGGCACCTGTTCTTTATTAGAGATCTAGATAACCAGAAGGTTTGTGAGGTCCTCTGATCAGGGTTTGCTAGTTGCTTCTTGCTCTAGACTCAAAACGAAAAGAGACTTTGCCTCTGATGTGTCGCAATTAAACTCTCTCCTTTTGGACTCGGATCTGTGGACACTCGCCATCGCTTAGTTTTACAGCTATTTCCTATTTATTTATTACTTTAACATTGTGATTGTTTGTCTTACCTTTACCTTTTATCTTAAAGCACTTTGTGGCGTCTGATCCGGAAAGGTGCTATAAATAAATGATGTTGGGCACTATTACGGTATGCTTTGTACATACATACAATTCTTACAGGATGTTTTGTATTGGGTGTTGATCCTTTTCCCACAAATACGATGTATTTTATAGCATTTAATATATTGGACACAAAATGAATGATGCTACAGTGGCTGCTAACCTTGAACATGAACAACACTGTAAAGAGCAGGATTAAACGTAGATAGATATTTCACTGCACAGCACAATGCAATAAATGTTTGTTGTGCTGGAAGCTCAAAGACTTTAAACAGACTGAGCCAAGAAGGCAGTAATACCTGCGGGGAAGAGATGGGGAAATGCTGTTATTTCTTTTATTTACTCTAACCTGAGACAATAACAGGAATCACATGGACAATGTAGTGCAATCAGTTTAAATAAAATAAATAAAAGTAATTGCAGAGGTTACACGTGTGGGCGTCTCTTTCTTTATAGAGGATTCACTAAACTAAACACAAGTCAGCCACTTTGCAATGCTAATTCACAGAAAGCTCTTCAAAGCCTGCGATGTTTGTAGTTCTCTAGGTACAGTATAAACAGTGTCGGATAAAGCCCACAGCTCCCGTGGAGGGAGATGTACCCACCCACCCGGCGGCATCATGGGAGATACCCGGCTGCAAAACAACTCACTTGTTATAATTTGCATGTCGTATTCTGTTTCTGTCCAGGAAGCTTTTGTAAAACACGGCCATTTCTTCACTGTTCAGGGACCGCCGTCGTCCTGAGGGGCCGAGAGAAGACGCAGCGGACAACATTATATTCTCATTAAGATATATTTCCTTTTTAAATAACCAGCTTTTTCATAAAATCTCTTCAATTCACAGTGGTTTTGTCATTTTTAAATCTGTAAGGCTTCAATTCTAACATGTTCTGATAGACAAAACCGGCTCCATGATTGGGAATACATTTACAATCTATGCAAAAGCACTGCTCGCAGGAGTTTTTAATCCTACTCAAGTATTTAATCTACTTTTCTTAATAAAGCCTGTAGACAGGAGAGGGTTATGTGTGCACAAGAGTCTTAACCTGTGAATAACACTTTAGTATATGCCGAAATATAAATACGTCCTCACCTTGCTCATCACGCAGACTCAAGCCTTTAGCGTTCAGTTCTGAAATGATGAAAGTATCTTTTTCCTGCAGAGAGCATTGAACAAAAAATGTATATATTCAATTAATGCTTTTAGAACATACACAAACAAAACGCCAACAGTCAACACAATTACCAATATCAAAACCGATATGATAAGATTTACATTTATGACAATTTAATATTCCTGTTCTTAATGTCCTTTATCTCAGTCTTCAGGACACAGATGCTAAGAAGGGTGGCCTTATAGTACTGAACTTATCCTGAGAGCCTCTATTAATGTAACTCTCAAATTTAGTAACTTTAAACATCTCTCTATTTACAGAGAATCGACTTTATCAGCATCAAAAGCTATAGACAGCCACTTAATCTGATGTTATTATGTTGTAAAAAGCACTGGATCATGCAATATTTCTACAATAAAAACCTTGTTTTTAAAATATCTTTAGTGTTAAATATTATCAGATTCAATGTATTTTATTCCTCATTAAGTTTTGAACAAAATTAATTTAAATAAAAGGGAATTAAGATATAAAGCAAATATATTTTAGACAATAGGTGGGCCCAGAACCCAGACAGCAAAGCTTTGTTGTGCAATGCTGCTGTCTGCTGGTGAAAATAAGAACTGTCCTGTAAGAGCTCAGCACGCAGAGGACAGGAACATCCTGTGACCTTTAAGACTTAGATTATTAATGATGACAACGATAATGTGGTAATAAGCGACATTTGGAAGCTCTGCTGGGAGGTCAGAGGTCAGCTGCAGGGCAGCAGCTCTGGAGGCACATCAGCAGGACTGTGCTGTCCTGCTGCCTAAACATGTGCCCAGTAAACTTCTTCATATAGCTGCTCACACAGTTAGTCAATTAACCAATCAATCAATCAATGGAATAATAATCAACCACAATTTGATAAACAATTGATCGTTTACAGCATTTATCAAGCGAAAAAGGCCACACACCCACTGATTCCAACTTCTCAAAATGTGAGAATTTGTTGCTTTTCTTTTCTTTCTTTCCCGTTTTTTATTAACATTGTAAAGTATAAATATTTTTGGGATATTTCATATTTTGGACAGTTGGTCAGACAACAAGATTGATTTAAAGACATTATCTCAGGTTCTGGGAAATTCCAAGGGGCGTTTTTTCACAGTTTCCTGCATTTTATAGACTGACTGATTCATCTAAAATACTTGAGAAATTCATTAATGCAGAAAATAACCATTAGTTGCAGCTGTACTTGATTTACACTTTACATTTCAGTTTTTAATCCTGGCTAGCACTCTGCTTACCATGACAGGTATTATACTGGTTATTATGTACATGATAAAGACTTTTATATACTATATTTTCATCACATTGCCAAAATATAAACATGTTTCGCAAATACAACCTGCATGAGAAACAGAACTGGGTACCAAAACTACTTGTACGGTTGTGGAGCATACAACATTTATATGGACTTTTTCTTTTGTGCTGTAAAAAAAACCTTTCAACCTTGCTGAAGGTGATGTTCTGCTTGGCCCAGAAGTCGTGGTTCCAGTCCTCGGTCTCCTGCCTCAGGTGTCGCAGCCGTTTCTCCAGCTCTGTTTCGTTCGCGGGGACGTGGTAAACGATTGGCCGCAGGTTGGAAAGAGGGTTCGGTGGGCCGATCCAGTCGTGCGTGGAGGTGGCTACTGGCCTGAATGTGGATCTCTGAATAAATATAAGAGAAATAAGAAATATTTTATTGTACTGTTACTTTTAAGAATGAAGGTAAAATAGTATTGAACATTTCTGAGAGCAACTGAAAGTTCATCTGTAAATTTATCCTGATAAAATGACATGTTATTGTCTGCAGTTTGGGGGATCAATTTCAGACTCCCAGCTCTGAAATTCCAACATGATTATCATTTTTCTACGGTGGCCCTGAGAGCTCAACACCCTGCAGCTTAATATAGTACTACAATGATCTAGCATTGCCCTCCTATAATGTTGTCAGACTCACGATGGACAGCACAATCGATGCAGCACAAACAAAGATAATGTGTTTTTTATTCTACGTATTGTTCCCCTGTGTCAAAACCTGGTGCCTACGTTACCCACAATGCAACTCCACTTTCATTCATGTGTGGCAAAAATAATATCACAGCTAAAATCAAAAAAAGGAAAACTTTTCTTCTACTACTACTTCTGCTTTTTTTTTTAAACAAATGATCGGAGGTTAAAAGGAAAAGTTTTTTATACTCCATTCTAATTATTTGCTGTAGTAAGTTATAGTTTTGAATTATCTGATATCCTTTTACTGCATTTTATCCGTTTCAGGCCGCCACAACAGGAGTATGAGCTGAACCACACTGCTCTATTTCAGATACCTACATTAACACCTTCCTTAAATACTGACTTCTTCATTCTCAGACTGTTTCCTTTACTAAACATGTTCCGGTTTGGGTTTAGGATTAGGACTGACACTCCGCAAGAGTCAGTAAGGGAGAGTTTAACTTGAATAAACAGAAGACGTTTGCACACACAGGCAGACTCAGATGGAGCTCACGTGGTTTGAATAAGCAGCTGACATGCAGGAACCTGCTTATCATTTCTAACCAGACTGCACGGTGAGACGAGCGGCGAGGCACAGAACAGGTTCCAGGACTCAGAGACCAGAAAACAGGTAGATGTGAAGTCAGAGTCGCTGTAGATTACACAGTCGGCTGTATATATAATCATTAAAGCAAACAATTTAGGTAATGTTTGTGGAATAAAATACCTAACTAGTAATGTTTTGTATACGTGTTTATATGTATATATTGTTTTATTTACGTTACCATATTTTAATATACACTTAATTATATGTTGTGTGTGTAGCATGAAAAAACTACAAATCTTGTTTCGTTATGCAGCCTTGTGCTGTATAATGACAATAAACAACCTTGTACCTTGTAAATATAGTTTTTTATTACACGCTCAACATGCCGATCCTCGAATGAAATACAGTTGTTGAATGTAACTAAGTACATTACTTGTACTTTACTTAAGTCTTTTTTTCCATGCCACTTTATTCTTCTACTACGCTACATCTCAGAGGGAAATATTTTTACTTCTTACGCCACTACATTTATCTGCGAACTTTAGTTACTAGTTACTTTACAAACAAAGAGTTGTACAGGCAAAACATAAAAAAAGCTACGTATAGACCTTTTAAAATATGAGGTTTTGTTATTAAGTTAAATACTTAAACTCATTAAAACACAGTGCTTTTGTTGTAGTTCTTCCAACTACAACAGAAAAGTCCCGAGTAATAATAGTGTAACAGTCACAGCGAACATTTTTCTTTCTGCATTGATTACTTTGATTTTTAATTAGAATTAGATTTTCCTGATGATACTTTACTTTTATAGTTAATGTCGTTCTGAATGCATAATTTATACATCTGAATAATTCCTTCACGGTGTAACTAAGTACATTCACTTAATTTACTTTTACACCACTTGTATAAGTACTTTTACACTACTGGTGTTAGTACTTTAACACCACTTGTATAAGTACTTTAACACCACTTGTATAAGTACTTTTACACCACTGGTGTTAGTACTTTTAAACCACTTGTATAAGTACTTTTACACCACTTGTATAAGTACTTTTAAACCACTTGTATAAGTACTTTTAAACCACTTGTATAAGTACTTTTACACCACTTGTATAAGTACTTTTAAACCACTTGTATAAGTACTTTTAAACCACTTGTATAAGTACTTTTACACCACTGGTGTTAGTACTTTTAAACCACTTGTATTAGTACTTTTACACCACTGGTGTTAGTACTTTTACACCACTTGTATAAGTACTTTTAAACCACTTGTATAAGTACTTTTAAACCACTTGTATAAGTACTTTTACACCACTTGTATAAGTACTTTTACACCACTTGTATAAGTACTTTTACACCACTGGTGTTAGTACTTTTACACCACTTGTATAAGTACTTTTACACCACTTGTATAAGTACTTTTACACCACTGGTGTTAGTACTTTTACACCACTTGTATAAGTACTTTTACACCACTGGTGTTAGTACTTTTACACCACTTGTATAAGTACTTTTACACCACTGACGTTAGTACTTTTACACCACTGGTGTTAGTACTTTTACACCACTGGTATTAGTACTTTTACACCACTGACGTTAGTACTTTTAAACCACTTGTATTAGTACTTTTACACCACTGGTGTTAGTACTTTTACACCACTTGTATAAGTACTTTTACACCACTGACGTTAGTACTTTTACACCACTGGTGTTAGTACTTTTACACCACTGGTATTAGTACTTTTACACCACTGACGTTAGTACTTTTACACCACTGGTGTTAGTACTTTTACACCACTGACATTAGTACTTTTACACCACTGACATTAGTACTTTTACACCACTGGTATTAGTACTTTTACACCACTGGTATTAGTACTTTACATTGTTAACTTCTTTTACACCACTGGTATTAGTACTTTTACACCACTGGTGTTAGTACTTTTACACCACTGGTATTTGTACTTTAACACCACTGGTATTACTAAACTACATTTGCAAACGTCTTCCACTTGTCGTTACACGTCGTAGTAGGCAGTCACACCAGCAACGGTCTCCTGGCACGCACACACACACACACACACACACACACACACACACACACCTGTGCAGGTCCAAACAGAGTAAACGAGCTGTCACCGCCGTTAATGGGGATTAACCAAACACTGCCTGTAAGTCAATATTATGTGTTACACGGGATTTTATTTTACTGTACGAACCTTTGGTGGTTCGTCCTGCTGGGTTGCCTGTTCGGAGCTGCACTGCCGTCTGTTCACTGCTGATATTAAGCTGTGAGGGCGCAGAGGAGCGTGGAGGGTAAACGGACCGAACAGCCTCCATGTTAAACACCCCGCTGCTGCTGCTGCTGTTGATTTGGACACCATTTTAATTAACCGAGATTTTAAACTTCTGTTTTAATGACAATCTGTTCCCGTTACTGTACAGAGGAGCCTGCTGTTCATGTTAGCCCACACAGAACTTCATAGGAGTTCATGTCGGTGTCCTTCGGTGTGTAAAACCAGCCGTTTGGTCACATGACTCAGCAAGGACAGGGTGAGCTCCAAAACTCTACCAACAAAGCCCCGATTTGAGACAGCCGGGCGGGGTTTACACTGAAACACAATTCCTCAGTCGGGGAAGAAATGTAATGTAAAAAATACTACAATATTCAAATAGAGTTTAGTAATACCACATATGAATAACCTGTTACAAGTAAAAGTCCTGCCTTAAATATCTGATGGAAAGTAAAAGTAGAGGATGTGTCATATTAGTATCAAAATATACTTAGTAAGAGTTATATAATTATTATTATTATTGACCATTATAATAATACCATCTACTAACAGCGTACACCAGAATAATATATGATTAAGTTTTAATATATAAATCTAATATAGTCTACATAAAACATAGAAACATTATATATAGTAATATAGCACAGCCTTACATAGTATAACCATAGAGTAGTCAAAAACATATTATTTAGTATAATACAGAAATACAGCATAGAATATAAAACGTTATAGTATAATATATATCATTAACATAATAAAACAAAATATAGTTAGTTAATTTGTAAAGTAAGACATAAGATGAATAAAGTAGCAGAACTAAATAAAATACTAAGTAGGCTACAAATACCTCGATATTATAACTGCACCGCATTTACTGTCCCCGCCCTTGCCGCCACGTACCAAACGGTACGGTCCGGTGAAACAAATGGAGCGTTTTTAATGTTGGACGACCAAAACTTACACATAAAAAATATTTAAGTCGACCACCGGCAAAATAACACTTTGATGTATTTTCTTTTACATCGATATGACATAATTATACATTAACTAAACATCGATTCACATAACTTATTTGTCGAATAAAGCAAACGGCGATAAAACAGTTTTATTTTTCGCCCGAACGAGCGAAAGGAGAAACTCCGCGTTAGTTCATGCGCCGGAAAGTAACTGCTAGAAGGTAGCTAGGTGGGCTAATGTTTAGCTTTAATCAGAGGAGGTACGCACTTTTCCCCAACAGTTCAGATGGCTGTACGCTGGCTATGCAGGTAAGGGCGAAACTATTAAAGTGACGAAGTTGTCTTGATGTGTTAAGACCGAAAAAAAGCAGAAGTTATTCGGCTAAGGTGGGGCAGAGTCAGGTGATCATCGGCAGCTAGCTTAACGCACAGACACAGACAATGGCATTCACAGAGAGGTGAACGTGGGAAAACAGGGCTCGGGTTTGGCTTTCTTGGATCCAAAGTGGGTATTTAAAGAGCCTGTGAGCTCCAGTAACATATCTTTTTGTAAACGAAGTTGTTTTAAAAAGGAGAATCAGTGGAGGGAGCCCCTCGGATCGGTGTGTGGGAGGGGCGACACAAGCCCGACCGCAGTCAGTCAGTCAGTCGTTAGGCAGCTGAAGCTGACCGGACCGGATCATCGTCGACCCCCCAACCGAAATCTGATTTTGGGGATTCTCCTTTTGGATGCTACTTTGCTCCACGACCCGCCCTGCTTTGGCTGATGGAAACAGACATCCGTGAAAATGTGCGCGAATGTGTTCGGAGTTTTGAAAAGGTGAGAAATTTACGATGCCGCTTGACACTGCTGGTGCGTGCGTGCGTGCGTGTGTGTGTTTGCATAGTGTGCGTGAGGATACAGTTGACGGCTCCTGGAGATGCTTCGAGGTGTTTTTGAGAAGATCTGGGAGGTGTGGTGTTTATGCTGCTTGCGGTGCATGGCCTCACAGAGGCAGATACCTTCGCAACCTGCTGGCCAAACAGGATTTTCTATGGTGGCATAATGCGCAAAGCCGTGCAGGACCGGTGCAGGCAGCCTGGGGTAGCTGCTTGAACGGGGTTTGGGGGGGAAGATTTAAGCAGAGGGGAGCTGGTTGCACGGTACCCCCAGCTCAGGTATCCTTCATGCTGTGTGACTCATGAGAGGGAAGACTGAACCCTACTAGCAAACCTATTGTTAGCTTTACATCACCTCAGCCTGGAGCCAGCCCCCCCTTTTTTTTCTTATCTCTTGGATCAGTTTTAAGGGATGAGGTGTTTGCCAGGCTGGGATTTTGTTGAGATTATCCTAATAATTACTCATTTTGTAAGCTCTGGCTCAGCGTGCATTCATCCCCTATTCTGGAAATGCCCAGCCCCGTCGCCCTCTTACATAAAAGTACTTTAGGGAATGCTGATACATAATCCTGTGTCTTCTAATAAGTGTTATTGATGCTGTAAATAACAAAACATCATATTATGGGCTTCGGTATTCATATGCAATCATCACATCATGCTTTCAGGCACCTTGACTGATCCTGACAGCCCGTCTCATGATGCAACCTCTCCTCTGAGCCATGTTCTGTTGCAAAAACTAAAATCCCTTCCTTATCTTAATCCTGTGTGTTACTGTTCACCCTGTAGATATAGAAAGTTCACTTTGATGTAGGCTGGGCGTTTTGTGGGAGGATGGAAAGAATTTCCTCTGTAACAGTTTCGTTACTCGCTCTTTCCTTTTTTTTCTTTTAGCTCTGATATTTAAAATCCAAAGTAGAATTTGTTTTAATGCTGGAGGTTGTTCTTGATTTCGGTAGACTGGAGATTTGCAATGAGATCACGGATGAATTACTTAACAGGCACAAGCCCAGGGGCCCGAAAGGTCACGGGGGCCCCTAGACCAGAGCTTCTGTTTTAAATAACTGTTAACATTAATTCACAGAGCTTAAGTCACATCCTACTGATGCTAAAATAACAATTTTATTCAAATAACATAAAAAAAATTGCCATTTAGCTGATGCTTTTATCAAAAGCAACTTAGAATTGCTATAAATGTCAGAGGTCGCACGCCTCCGGAGCAACTAGGGGTTAAGTGTTTAGCTCAGGGATCCATTGGTGGCATAGTGGGAATTGAACCCAGGTCTCTCACACCAGAGGCTTGTGTTTATCTACTGCATTGCCGCCACAAATTAGTAAAGCAATTTAAATCAGAATAGCTCTGCTTTAAGAAAATAGATCCTGCATCTGAGGCTTCTTGTGATGGTTTTCCATAATATTTTATATACTGTGTGCTGTAGTATTTTGTGTAATATAGAGTGTCTGTGTCAATCTGCTGTGGCAGGACGCTTCGGACAGAAGTCAGACAGCTCTCTTCATCTCCAGTGTGAAATAAATACTGAAGATCAGATGCAGTTTTTGAACCAACAGTAGCACAAGAGTTGTATTTCACCTGTAAAAATGTTGCTAAAACATGCGTTTTTGCAGAAGCAAAAATTACAACGAAAGGGGCAGAGCACAACTACAAAGAGATGCAACACGATTACAGACGCAACGGAACTACAAAGAGGCGCAAAACATATACAAAGAGATGCAAAATGACTACATAAAGATGCAAAGTGACTACACAGAGTTACAACACAACTACAAAATGATGCAAAATGACTACATAAAGATGCAAAGTGACTACACAGAGATACAACACAGCTACAAAGAGATGCAAAATGACTAGACAGAGACACAACTACAAAGAGATGCAAAATGACTACATAAAGATGCAAAGTGACTACACAGAGATACAACACAGCTACAAAGAGATGCATAATGACTAGACAGAGACACAACTACAAAGAGATGCAAAATGACTACATAAAGATGCAAAGTGACTACACAGAGATGCAAAATGACTAGACAGACACACAACTACAAAGAGATGCAAAATGACTAGACAGAGACACAACGCGACTACAAAGAGATGCAAAATGACTAGACAGAGACACAACTACAAAGAGATGCAAAATGACTAGACAGAGACACAACTACAAAGAGATGCAAAATGACTAGACAGAGACACAACTACAAAGAGATGCAAAATGACTAGACAGAGACACAACTACAAATAGATGCAAAATGACTAGACAGAGACACAACTACAAATAGATGCAAAATGACTAGACAGAGACACGACGCGACTACAAAGAGATGCAAAATGACTAGACAGAGACACAACGCGACTACAAAGAGATGCAAAATGACTAGACAGAGACACAACGCGACTATAAAGAGATGCAAAATGACTAGACAGAGACACAACGCGACTACAAAGAGATGCAAAATGACTAGACAGAGACACAACTACAAAGAGATGCAAAATGACTAGACAGAGACACAACGCGACTACAAAGAGATGCAAAATGACTAGACAGAGACACAACGCGACGACAAAGAGATGCAAAATGACTAGACAGAGACACAACGTGACTACAAAGAGATGCAAAATGACTAGACAGAGACACAACGCGACTACAAAGAGATGCAAAATGACTAGACAGAGACACAACGCGACTATAAAGAGATGCAAAATGACTAGACAGAGACACAACGCGACTACAAAGAGATGCAAAATGACTAGACAGAGACACAACTACAAAGAGATGCAAAATGACTAGACAGAGACACAACGCGACTACAAAGAGATGCAAAATGACTAGACAGAGACACAACGCGACTACAAAGAGATGCAAAATGACTAGACAGAGACACAACTACAAAGAGATGCAAAATGACTAGACAGAGACACAACGCGACTACAAAGAGATGCAAAATGACTAGACAGAGACACAACGCGACTACAAAGAGATGCAAAATGACTAGACAGAGACACAACGTGACTACAAAGAGATGCAAAATGACTAGACAGAGACACAACGTGACTACAAAGAGATGCAAAATGACTGTCCCTCTAACAAACCCCTCCTCTTGAAACCTACAGAGAATGATTTGTATACTGTGACTTAATAACCACAATCAATATAGAGGAGGGAACAACACCAGAGCCGAGCGTCTTGACCTCCAAGCTATTGACATATCACGAGTACTGCAACTACTGATTACTGTCTTAACTGAGTACTCTGCAGATTATATTCTAGATAAAATGGTTCATTGTTTAGTCAGAAAATAGTAACGTCACAAGTTCCCAGAGCCCACAGTGACGTCTTCAGGTGTCTTGTTTTGTCCAACCAACAGCCCAAACCCCGAAACATAGTCAGTTTATGATTATATAAGATCGGCAAAAGCAGCAAATCTTCACATTAGTGGAGGTGGAATCAGCACAATTTTTTGGCATATTGGCTCAAAATATAATTGAACGGTTTAAGAACCATGTTATTAATCTGACAAAAAAGTGACATTTTGCTGATAGTATTTTTCTAAGTAGTGAATTGCAAATGCGTATTACAGCTCGAGGCACCTGTGACACACTTTGTGAGGCTGCTGGACCAAATCTTCCTGCACGACTGTGGACGTGCAACAAACGGTTTCATATTTGGGGGTTTTTGTCCTCAGTATTTAAAGCTTGATGTGCAGGCAGGATCCCTTTTCATGCGGATTAGAGAGCTATCGCCATCGTGTCAGCCAGCGAGCCTGATAGAAACGCACAGCAATACTCTGAATGGTTGTCATGTGGGTGTTCCTCTTGTCGAGACGAAATGTAGGTTAACCTCATTCATTTTCTTGCACGATTGTTAGCGACAGAATTTCTTATGAATATATTATGTTATTATTTTTCTTCGTGTCTTGTCCTCAGCTGGGTTGTCATTTGATTTATCTGGAGTTGTGTCTAAACTAGAAATAGAGGAGACTCAACAAAAGAGGTCAAGGTCAAGACTCCTCTGTTTTATTTTTTTTACTCTCATATCAATCACCATTCAGAGAGAATGCATATTTACAGTATCTAGCAGGCTATGCACTGTTTATAGTATATAAAGTATATGTATTGTCAGTGGTATTAAAGAGTAACTTTACCTCTTCTGGATAGAAGTTTATTATACCTGTAACCACACATAACAGTAAAAAAAAAAGTTTAATCTCTGTTCAGTTATTATTACAGTGAAACACCCTGAGTCGCACGTCGCAGTGTAAAATCACGACATCAGCAGAAACAAGATTTTATTTTTAGCTGTTTCCCTTTTAACTTTTCTGACTTTGCAACTCTGTTAGTTACTGGAATGACTGATCGGCATTAGTTTACTGCAGATCAGTATTTGCACGTTGTGCCTGAAAACTAACAATAAATTGCAGTAGAAATGCCAGAAATGTTTGCCAGGTAAATTAGAAAAAGCGTCACCTAGAGCTTGACAATATGGCAAAAAATGTTATCACGATGAATAATTTCATATCATTCAATATCTAATAATTGTGAAATCATTGTTTCTCATAAGTTTAAAGGCTGATTTTTGCTCCTGAGTGAAAGTTGAAGAAACCAGATGGTTAATTTTGGTTTTTCTTTATGGTCAGAACAAACACTTGATGACAAACAGGGGATCACTTAACAATTCTGAGGTAGAACATTCAAAACAATTATGGTTATCATGAATTGATGATTATTTTTCATTCCCTTTTACTCAACAAAATAAATGTCTTAATAGAAAAAATTAAGTGCTAATTTATTTTGTGATTCAAATTAAATCAAACATTTATTGAAGATTTGTTATTGAGGAAAATTATATTTTGATAGTGATTATTGATTTATTGCCCCTAGTGTCACCTTTAGTCATCCAGAGAGCACTTACATTTTAAACTGTAAATTGTCCTATTAAGTTTTTGGACAATTCTTTAAAAATACTCATTTAAGGGATATTTTTAATGTAAAAAGATGAATATTTGCTAAAGTATATATCAGTGTAGGCTTCAAAAATCAGTCGGACAAAAATGCTACAGGCACTTAGGAGCAAAACCTCCTTTTACAAACTGAACCTGCAACAAATTGTTTCTCAATTTCTCAATGATGTGACAGATCCGGATGGATAAGGCCAGCAGCAAGTTGGAAAGTGACAGCACAGTAGTAGAGCGTCAGGATTGCTCACAGCCAAGATGGATTATTTTTTAATGACTCTTTAGCCCCCAGGCTGGATTTCTGACATGTTAGGAATGACAGGAATAGCCTGAAAATTAGAGATACAACACTTTGTCCTTGGCTGATTTTTCCTCTTTAATATTTTTAGTGTCAGTGGGCGACCGTCTCCAGTGCAACATAACAGCCATTGTGGTTTTATCAAAAGGTGGTATGTTTGTAACTGTAACGTCTTTACCCAGGACCGCTGACGCTTTTGTTCACAGAAGATGTGGAGAAAAGATTTACAAAAATCTGACACCAACACAGAAATGCCTCATTATTTACATATTACGGAGCATGTGAGAAAAGGGCTAATAGCATTTGCGTCTGACCACATTGTTGCAAATTCCTCTGGAGTTGAAGATATAAATGTTTGGCTGAGAGTTTGTCTTTGCTCCAGCTGCTTTGGCAGCGATCCAGACATTAGTTGGAGGTCCTATTCATCCAGTGTTGGCTGTGAGGATCTGAAAAGAAACTTTTGAAGTAATCCTATCATTCTGGCAAGGAGACAACTATGTTAGCTCTGCTGAGGCTCTGTTTCTGCCTGCTCTGAATTGTTTCTCATTGTTCTGACTTTCCTTTCCAGCCTGTTTGGGAAGCCCTTTGATGGTGGGAAGAGGATGGACCATGGCGGCCCACAGCAGCAGCAACAGCATCCAATGGAGCAGCAGCAGCAGGCGTATTATGCGCAGCACCCTGCCATGATGCGGCTGTACGAGGTCCAGAAGGAGGTGGCGTCTCTGGGGCCTCAGGTCTGCACCTTCAGCGGCCTGCAAAACGACCGTGACTACAAGCGTCTGGAGCGCGAGCTGACGCGGCTGCTGCTGGACGTGGACCAGGTGGACACGGAGGGCAAACCGGAGCTGCAGGGGGCACGAAAGAGAGCAGCACAGGAGGTGGAGGGCCTCCTGCGTTACCTGGAGGAGAACAGCTCTCATCCATCCCGCCTAGCCATCGAGGAGCTGAGCAACGAGGCGCGGCGGCTGGTGGACGAACGCATTGTGGCACCTCAACGTGGCGGCGGGGTGGCCGAAATCAACGACGAGCTGGTGGATGCTCTGCAGGAGCTCGTGCTGAGGCTCACCCAAGTCAAGACCGAGGGGAGGGTGCCGCTCCGCAAGGCACGCTACCGGGCGCTGACACGCCTGTGCGCCGTACAGGATGTGTTCGAAGGGCGCACGCAGCAGCAGACCCTCTCCCTGCCGCTGTCGGGGGACACCCACGAGGCCGTGCACTGCATCAACCAGGTGATGGTGAAGGTGAGCGTGGCGCGCAGTCAGCTGGTGGCTCTGCTGATGGGTCTGAGTGGGAGGGACAGCTGCGCCCACCTGTCACGAATCCTGACGGAGATGCAGGTGGAGCTGGACGCGCTGGATGTTTCTGGAAACGCAGCAATCAGAAATTACCGGAAACAGGTTGTGGAAGAGATTAACGGGCTGCTGAAACATCTGGACCTGGAGGGGGAGGGAGACGACACGCGCAGGTAGGCGTCACTGAAAGGATGGAGTTGTGCACAAGATTGATCTGCTGATTATATTACCTATCAATCGAGTAATCAGTTTGGTATATATAAAATTGGAAATAGGGAAAAATCGACGGCACTTTTTCTTTAAATAAAATTACTTAAAAAGGTGAATCGATTATCAAAATACTTTTCTGTCAGTTGACTAATTGTTTCCGCTGTAGTGCAGATGTTTTAACGCTTTAAGGTTTTCTATACTTTAAAGTGCGCCTGAGCTGATGTTACTGCACCAGTAGCTTGGGTGGTGGATGGGAGGAGGGACTGGGGATTGTTACTGAGTTTTGGCTTGAATCATACAGCGCTGTGAGGAGTGAATTAGACTCAAATCACCAGAGAAGCACTGAAAGCAGTAAAACGCCTACCAAGCACTTCATTATGCAGAACAGCTGACTCGAGCACTGATTTAAGGACCATTCACATGTTTTTCTTCATGCTGCCTAGTTTTGGGCTTCAATTACAATATAAAAAGCATGTTTAATAGTTGGGTGCTCAAAATAAACATGTCTTAATGACATAGAAAATGTGTTTATGCTTTTTTTTGCGGGTGACATCCCACATTTTCATGTTTATTTGCTTGAAATTATTAAACCAGCTAGAATAAACACACATTAAATGATGAATATAATGAGTTTTTTATGCATTATATAAGATAACTACCTTTTTTAAATAATACATTTAAGGGGGACTCCTGAGCTTTCCGTACATTTATGATGATGATACTTGACTTGTGTTTTTATTTTGGTGGTATTAATTTAGATTCTTTGGCTGGTGTGATGGAGCTGCTTCGCCTCCACCACTTTCAGACGCCTCAGCTTGGCACAGCTGGCGCTACGCTTCAGACATTTTCCCTCCTGCCTCAAAAGCATTTTACTGCAACAAAGTACGGCTAATTATAATACCTGGAGAAGCAATGTTTGCTTATCCAGGTACCTTGAGCGATAATTAAATAATACTGATTATCAAATGTTAACAAAATCATACGGTGATTTTCTTATTAAATGGGAACTCCACTGCCTTTACAGGTATTTGAAAAGTATGACTGCTTATGTGCAAATAGTTGTGTAAAAGCTTTTTAGGCTCGGGAGGGAGCTGGGTGAAATCTGAAAAATGTCCTCAAGCGATGTCACTTGACTCGGTGTCGGTTTGGGCTGAAGACTACAAGTTTGAAAATCTGTTGGTGTGGAGAGAAGCGAGCTTACCAGACCTCTGTAGCTGCTGCTCATCTCTGCTGCAGGACATAGGCTCCAGGCTACATTAGATGCTACTAGCAGAACACTAGCATACACACCCGAATCTCGAACCATATTGTCTGAGGTTGAGTTGCATTGTGGGTAATGTAGACACTAGGGGTTGGGATCTCTGGGCATGTCACGATTCGATTACGATTCAGAGGTAATTTCTGGGTAATTACTAAGCATTTAATTTGCGCATTAAAATCCAAAAGAAACATCTCCTAATTAGCTTAAAAAGACTAGTTTGCCTCCCTAATTTACTTGATTAACCTCAGCTTGACAAGTAGGTGATGTAGTAATGACATACAGACTTTTATTAACGGACACACTGGGACCTGCACTGCATGTTTAGTACCAGACTGAAACTTACAGCTAATAATTTTCATCGCTAACTTTCACCGTCATGTTCTTTTCATTACTTGCGCATTGATATTGATGATTGTGTGACATTTTAGTCAGGTGGTTACTCAGTGGGAACACTAGTCTCTCTGTTATGTGCACGCCACAGACGGTCCGGGCGCCACACTTCCGCAACTTCTGCCTTTTGCGTTCCGTCAACATTTCGTTATCAATTAACATTTAAATAATCGATTTGTTAATCGAGTCAGAATCTTCCACGTCCGCATCGCGATGCATCTAAAAATAGATTTTCTCTCCCACCCATAGTAGGCACCAGGTTTTGCCATGTGTGGAATAAAAAAGATGATTTTTCTGGTTCTGTGGCAGCGATTTGTATACTTTTCCTGAAAAAAGCAATAACTGCTCAGGTACTCTTAAAGGATTATGAGCACACTGTCATAAAAAAAAAAAGGTGTTCTTTGACATAAAAAGTGTGATCTCATGTAATTTTCTTACACTGGTACAGAAGTCATTTGCCAGACATTGATATAGGAAAGTATCCACATAATGTTTTTGATAATAAATTTGTAAGTATCGATACTTTGCAGTTAGAACAGTACTGATTGTGTTACTACAGCTCGTAAAGATGCTTATTTCAGGTTTGATCGTCTTTCTGAAGCTGCAGTTTGTGGTTGATGTTCAGGAGTATTTTTTTCAAATGAGTGATTCAGTGTTTGTTTCTTCAGGTACGACTTGGCGCAGAACAACTCCATCCGTGAGATCGAGGCGGTGCGAGCTCACGTCTGCCACCTGCGAGAGGGCGTCCTGCGGCACTGCGTGATGGGGGATCTGAGCTTCAGGCCCAAAGCTGAGCTGCAGAGCCTCCTCACTCACCTGGACCAAGTGGACACGGCCAAGAATCCGTGCATCAGAGAGGCCCGCCGCCGCGCCGTGGTGGAAGTCCAAGCCATCATCACATTCCTGGACCTCCGCGAGGCCCTGGTCTGCCGCCAGCCGGGCCCCAGTGAGCACCCGTCGCACCGGGCCGTGTGGCTTGTCCTGGGGAGCCTGTCGGACCTGCAGGCCCAGGTGCTGGGCTTCGATGGCAAGCGGGCCGACAAGAGCTACATGATGCTGGAGGAGCTGCTGACCAAACAGCTGCTGGCGCTGGACGCCGTGGACCCGCAGGGAGACGAGACGACCAAGATGGCACGGAAGCAGGCGGTGAAGTTTGCCCAGAACATTCTCAACTACCTGGACATGAAGACGGACGAGTGGGAGTATTGACAGCGTGGACAGCGTGGCAGCCATGTTGCTGGTCGGGCGGGGACGTCGCTTCAGGAAGGAAATGATAATGTGTGTAAATAAAAAAAAAAAAAAGGAAAAAAAAAGAAAAACTGGAACGTTATCATTTCACGGGCTGTAAATATTGACTCAAATCCCCAGAATGCACTGCAGCAGCGCTTTTCTTTTGTCTCTTGGTGGTAGTTGTGGCCGACCCTGCTGAGAAGTCAACAACACAGAACTCCCTTTGTGAAACACACTTTGAACATTTATTTTGTGCTTTTTGAAGGTTTTCTTTTTAACTCTCCCGTGTTTGTGTGTGTGAGTCGTTGTGGTATTTGGTGTGTGTGTGTGTGTGTGTGTGTGTGTGTGTGTGTGTGTGTGTGTGTGTGTCGTCGAAGCCTGCTGCTGCCAAAGCACTAAATAATGCCTGTTATAGTGGTCGTCTTCTCCAGACTGCGCTTGATATTGATGAATTACCCGAGTGTGATGGATTGCTTAGCAGTGGCTTCCCAGTTTGGCCTGATTAATCTGACTTGTAGACAACCAATGCATGTGTTAAATTCAGTGACCTAATTAGGGAGAGTCGTCCGGTGCTACCATGAGAGTAGGGCTCGGTCCAGATCAGGGTACCTGTTGGTACCCATTTTGGCCTTTAAAATATCAAAAGGCATCAAATAATGTCAAATTACTGGAGCATTTTTCTTTTATTTTGCTGCAGTTTTGTATTGAAATCAAATTTGGCGCGATTCCATTTGGCAAAGCAGATGGTGTGAACAAATGTTAAATGGGGAATTAAATTTAATCTGCAGTGAAATGTGCTTTTATGCAATTGAGAACAATATTTGGGGGCATTTTAGGAGCAGCATCAGAGGTGAAACATTAGAGGCAGAGCTGAGGCGTGTGCACAAACATCAAGCTGGTATCGAAAGCCAGGAAATCTGTGTTTAAACAGAGACGTAATTAGAGAGAGAACAGTGGGAGTGTGCATCGTTGATGCAAGGTCACTCTCCACTCCTGCGTGACCCTGTTTATCCCCTCAGCATTTGGTCCGTGTCTCTGGTAGCGCTCCAGTCCACACGGCTGTGGCAAACTCCCCAGAACTCTGCACACCACAGCTGTCGTGGGCATCCGGGTCAAACGAGACAAAAGACGAGCCTCGTTACAACTGAGATACAGAAGCGTTGATTTAAAAAAAAAAAATAAGTTTGTGTTGAGATGTTATCTTGTGAGGCAGCCTGCCAGCTATGAGCAGGATGTTTGAAAAGATTAAAGTACCTTTCCCCTCGCTGCTCGTGTAGCTGTTGGTCTGTAATATGCTTCAATTTTTTTATTTTGTTGTGACTTTGTATGATCGCACCAGGCTATAAATGGATCTGGTTTGAATTCAGAGATAGAGGGAGAGGAGGCAAATTTTTTGTGCTGTTGCCGCTGCTTTTAGGTTTTTGTTTCCACCCACTGCTTTCTACTGACGGAGAAGTGCGACTGTGAGAGGCCCATGGGGAGAGGGGAAGAGGAAGGGAGGTTGAGGCGGTGATATCCAGCGGATTGACACATCAAGGCTGAAGCTCACAGGGACGACAGTCGGGTCCTGTGCGGTAGAGAGTATTGATGGTGATCGCAGTCGACAGAGCCTTCTAGAAACTTCTCAGAGCTGCTGCTGCTCGAGACTGTGGGAGGGAGGGAAAGGACTGGAAGAGGAGTCCAAATTTCTGTGCCTTTATTTTCACCCTTTCATTTGAACCGGTTCGTGTAAAAGCAGCCTTGTAGTGCAGCGACTGAATAAGCAGCAAGCAGCTGCTAATTTGTTTTGATACGTATCAACGCTAAAGCATTGAATGTGTTTATGGAGAGCACCTTGGCCGTTATCGCCACAAGGAACTTGCACTACTTGTCAGAAATTTAGGCTTTTTCAAATCAGTAGTTATTCCCTGATAAAAGACTTATAGGTGGTGATGTTCTGGTCAGTAATGTGTGGTAAACACAGCCTGACAACACTCCTTGCAGCAGGCCATAAAATGAGTCACGTTGTGCTTTAACAACTGCAAACAGCCACGCTGGTGGGGCCGATCTTTTGCTCTCACAAGCAAGTTCAAGTTAGCTGATTAAATTATTCCGCAGCTTCCTGCTGACCTCTAAAAGTGATTAAACCCGTCTTGAAGATTTTTGAGATAATTTCTGCAGAAGATTTAGGATTTCAAAGCTCCTTCTTGGCGTTGGAAATAAACCCTCATTTCGCAGCTGCTCCTGAGCTTTCAGTCATATCACATGATCTTTATCAGCAGAAAGAGTTTGCCCAGTGTTCGTGAAAATGAGCATAATTAATGTCTTTATGTTAACAAGGGATCAAATGGTGTGCACATAAAAAGGAGTCACACACAGCGAATTATCACCTGGCTCTGTAGTTCCCCATTTTAGCATCTTTCAGCTCATTGTTTTGGTTTTCCAGCAAACTTTACTGTTTTGGGTCACTCTCACCAGCGTCGTTTCCAGCAGCTGTTTATCAGCAAAAAAAGCTCTGATAAATCCACCGTACACTATGAAAAGTAACTTGGTTTTAAAGTGATAATATGTTAGTGTTGAATTTACTACTTGTTATGCTGCCTCCAAGTGGTCAGTTTATACAGGTTTAACAATAGGAATTCAGACAATTTCATTAACAAAGAATGAAACTTAACTTTTAGGCCAAAATGGATGAGAAGCAGTTAGAAAAAACATCCACACTTGTATGATAATTGGGGAAAGTTATGTTTTGTGAAGGTTTGTTTTCGCCACTCAAAGTTCAATATATTAGTTAAAAGTGTGGTTTAATCTTATATTTAATGTTAGATACATCTCACTAACAATATATTATCATTATATCAAACAATTAAGACTGAAATTTGTACATTTTTAAATTTAGCAGTTACTAAATGGACATTTTTTTGTGAGAGTTTTTATTGTCAGCTACTGTTCACAAGGTCAAGAATTAACATTCAAGAGAAGTATTTAAAGTACTAGAAGTGAAAAGAAATTTACTAGAAATATAAAGTAGAAGAAATTTGAAAAACTAAGTTTGCATGACAGCTGCTGGTTAGGGTCATGTGATATGATGGAAAGCTCCAGAACAGCTACTTGGTGGACCTGGAGGTGAGATGTTTGATCAAGAAGTGGAACATTTGTTTGGCTTTATTCTTTTTCACACTCGCCAACTTGCTCATGAATTAAAAATACTTCAGCAGGAAAGAGGGAAGCTTTGTATCTGATTGGAGGTTGACAGCTGACGATCATGAAAACGTTAAGCCGATGCCAACGGTTCTTGGCCGACGAGATTTTTAATCAGCTGACTGTCCTTGTTCTTTCAGTTTTCCTCTTAGACTTAGTGGTTGCTGGTTGCTCGCAGTGCGAACGTAAACTAAAGGGTGAAATGCCTCGATAGTTGCCCTGCAACACGTTGCTCACATGTGATTAAAGCAACAAAGCTGATGCAACTCTTTGGGGCTCTGCTGCGAAGAAGTTTGTCCTGTGTGTCACTGCTTTTTGAAAACACAAAACCATGTTCCAGTGAACTCCCACAGACCCTTTTTGTATGTGCATTAAGCTGCTGTTGGGAGCCTTTTTCTGGCACGTAGCCTGCAGCTCGGCCTCCTGGGTATGGAGCTGACTCATACGGGAGTAAATTAGATTAAACAGTGTTCATTAAACATCGTCAGCCCGCCTGGCTGCTGTTGCAACAGATGCTTTCTCACAGCGAACCTTATGCTCTCGCAGACCAAACCAGCCCGGACACACCTTAAGTTCACATGCTCTCTTTTGTATGCAGTAATATATATAAATGTACATTTCATCCTCGCAGTTCACTGCATTTCTCTAGATTGCTTCTTTTTTTAAACATTTAGTTGAATAATTTATCAAAAGCTTTACACTATATGAGGAAATGTTACTTGGATCTTTTTCTGTTTTGTCATCGTAATGTCTCGAAGCCTCTGTTTTGTTTTGTTCATTATTAGTGGCGTCTTCATGAGTGGGCACACTCCATTATAAATGTATTCTCTGTGGTTCACAAGTACAAACTTAAAGAGGAGGATGGCAGTGAGGTAAAGCACCATTTTTTAAATGTTTTTGCTCAAGTGAAGGTCTTTGTTAGAATCTATGCCAGCGAGATGCAGCAAGCAACCCTTCAGAAATATATGTAGATTTAAAGTAGATTTTAAAAAACAATTTTCCTTCTGAATTAATAAGAGTTGGAATTGATGACAGTGTTTTGATGCATTTACACAAGAAAGGACAATGGATTTTATTGGACCAACAGAAGGCGTTTACGCATTTCTACGTCTACTAGGATGTCCCTGTGTGAGTGTGAGAGTTTGTCAAATGATTGGTTTGTACATAAGTCAGGTTTTGGAAAAGTCACAGAGCAACATTTTAAAGAATAAGGCTGCAGATATTCTTGTCTAATTGTTAAGCACCTAATATTTACAATATTTTATTCTTAAATAATGGCCCAGTAATGAACAAAAACAGCTGATACTTTAGTTTTTAGCAAACACTACTAAATAAAAAAAAAAAAGTTCTTTTGAACTCTTGGTCTGACGAAGCCAACAGAACCACATTCTGAGGTCCTCAAACCGGACGCGTCCCCAGGATGTGCCTTGAGGTCCTCCCCATGACCATCCTGTCCGGTGTTATTGATGTGTCTTTAATTGTTTTCGGAGAACAATGGAGCTCAACGGCACAGAGGAATAAGATTTTTAGCTTTGTTCGTGGGATTTGTTGACAAGAAAAATAAGATTCTTATTCTTTAAAAACAGCTTCATGGAGTCGACTCTGATCTCGATCTGATGATTTTGGACAATTCCTTAAATACCCTTTTCTTTTTAAAGAACATTAGTCTGTTTTCTGAGATGTAATTTATTCCCCAAATAAGTGGCATGGATAGGTTTTAAAAACTGACGAGTGGATTGGGTTTGATAAATTTAAATCAGTATTTAAACCTTTTAATCCTAAATTAAACTAATCTGTTTTTTCAGTTGCTCCTGCCTGTGTTCTCAGTCCCTTCCACTCAGATGTTTTGTATTCCCCAACACACAGCTGGACCGTTAAAAGCAGCTCGAGGTCATCTAGTGTGTCTGAACTTTGTGGCACTGGAGTCCATTAGTCTTTTAAAGATTCACATCCAGTGGGAACTGAAAGGACTTCTATCAGCCCTTTACAGAACGACGCATTTACATCAAACATCAAATGGATTAAGTGGCTTTTAGATTTAGAGGTTTAAAGATTTATTTTTCCTGCCCCTGTATTGAATGTAGTCATTGAGGAATGTTTTGTCTTTTCTTTTTTGACCTAGTACCAAAGTTGATTTCAGTAAGGAGAGATCAATCAGAAATTACACTAATGAAGAACTGAGAAACAACAACTTGTGACCATATGTTGATCATGGCTGCTAAGAGGAAGGTTGAGAGTTGTAAAATCTGTCAACAGAATCTGTATTAAAAGAGAAACTTAACACCAGCTGAAAACCTTTTTCTTAATGCACCCACAAGTGATGCTGGGTGCAACAAACGCACAACTTTTAACCAGAAGAGGTCAATGAAACAACGCTTTTGAGCTTGTCGTCGGCGTTTAACGATCTGCGGCCAGTTGCACCAGCTAAAGTTTGACTCAACACTAACTGCTACGTTTTTAACTACTTACTGATGTTGCAACTTAACAATCTTTATCAAAACATTGGGCATCATGTTTGACGTATTCTTATTGTAAATCTCTTTTACTGTTTTCCGAGATGTTTTGTCATACGAGCCTTTCGAGTCGTAATTAGCGAACCCTTGTTACTAAACACACTCGCCTGATGACATGATCATTAACACAAGTTTACACTAGTTTAATGCACTGTGGCGTAATTTTATGAATGCTAAAACCAGGTGTCAGATATAAATAACAGAAAAGTCCCAGTAAGGAGGGTTTGCCAGAAACCAGATTTACACCCAGTGTTTGTTTCCCGTGCAAACAAAAAGTCAACATTGATTGTTTTTAGTTAAATTACGTGGCTAAACCTACGTAAGTAACATAATTATCCGTAACCCAAATCATGTTGTTTTCCCTAAACCTAACCAAGTATTGTTGGTGCCTCAACCTAACCAAATTGCAACGTTTCACAACGTTGACCACTGGTGTTATTTTGAAAGTCTAACCGGATGTTTCATATTTATTATTGCTAACTTGACCACGGAGCCCTACATGTACAAAAATTGGCACTAACGGGGTTCCCAGAGTATTAAAAAGCAACGGCAACTGGTCTTGACCAAGCGTCCATATGTGACGAGCTGGGAGCCAGAATGTGTTGGTTTCTTAGAAATCAGCAGACAAATTTTAGTATTTTATCAGGAAACGTGTTTAAGAACAAATCTTAGGGTTTGGTTACCCTGGAACAAAGCTGTTTGCAGACTTAAGCTAAGTTAGCCAGCTGCAAGCGGTAGCTTCATGTTGAACATAAAGACATGAGTGGTATTGATCTTCTTTCCCAAAATGTCAGATTATTCCATTAAATTATATTTTCAGTCTACATTGTAACTACGGTCAACCTAGGCTACGTTTACATATAGCTGGTACAACTTCCCGCTGAATCCAGCATCGACGGTTCAAAGCAGCATTTATAAAAGAGTCTGGAAATGTTTGATAGAAATCCACCAAGAGGGAAACGATCTTCCTTAATGAGCTTTAGAAACATTATTTTATTTAAGCGCACTTTCTTATGTTCCTTAGTCGCTGTTATTACTTTGCCTTTCTGCAAACGACAGGAATGTGTTCTGTGACTGAAAAGTTTTTTTTTTCCCCAGATATGTTTTCTTAAGTCGCCTTTAAATGCATTGATTGTGACAGGCTTTTGCTGTTTCCCCTCCGAGACGCGCTTGTACAAAAAGCACACTGAGACAGGAAAAAAATAAGCTGTGTGAATGCTCCATGGATGGTTGTGTTTTGAATTTGTATTCCCACTGCAAAATAAAGACTGTGTGTCTTGATCCGTGTTATGTTAATGTGTTTTTTTATTTTATTTTATTCCTGAGTCTGGCTGCTTTTTGGAGAACATGTGAAGACCTGACAAAGCGATCACAAGCTCTACAAACTTTTAAAATGCCTACTCAGGGTTATTTTTAGGAAATATACAGCATCGCCAAGGGAGGCTGGATATAGACAATTCAGGCACCACAAACTCAGTCACTGCTGAAAGATGGGCATTAAAATTTCATCTGATATTCTCATCCAGAGCAGGTGTTTCTTGCACAAGGGCACTTTGACAGGACACGTGTGCTGCTGAGATCAAACCTGTGATCTTATGGTTACAGGACAGTTTGGTTCATATCTGCTCAAAGATTTTACATTTGTCAGTTTCAGAAAAAAATGGAGATGCTGTTTCCAAGGCCAGGCAAGTTTATTTGTATAGCACATTTGAACAACAAGGCAATTCAAAGTGCTTTACATCAAACGTAAAAGCAACACAGGGAAATTGAAAAAACACATTAAAATATAGTTTTTAAAAGGGTGAAATAGAAAATAAAAACAGGATAAAATAACTTTTAAAGGTGAAGAATGAATTGCCAAATCACACTAACAAACAAATACACTGCAGAGAAACTGACAGAAGAGGTTAGCCTACAAACATGTTGTAATGCTACACTTAGCATGCTAACATCCAAAAGCTAAAAACAAAGTGGCTACCATTAGCTCTTTTTTGACGTTGAACTACTGCTTTCACCTTTAAAGGGTAACTTTTCAATCTTTACCCTATTTTACTATGTTTCTGTGTCTATGTGACTAATTGGGACATCTTTTATTTTTTAAATTGGTCCAGTATTGAGTGAGAGCACTGCAGTCGCAAGCAGCGAGACAAGGCTGGAGGCGGCGTAATCCTTGCTAGCAATTACTTCCAAGTGCTTGTTTTTGCCACTGACAACATTATGGAAAGGATCCCTTCAGAGAAAGACTTTTTTTAAAAGAGTAAGACCCTTTTTGTTTAACCAGAAAAAGTTGCTATGTTAGTCTAGTCAAAGCCACCAGACTCCCCTGACAAAAACCCTAATTTTACCCCTCTGGTCTACGGCAAAAAAATGAATTAATGCAGATTAAGGTGAATGAATTATCCTTCCACCACGTGACTGTAGACATGCTAACATGCTAGCATAGTGTTAGCTGTGCGCCAGCTGAACGCTAAGTCAAGTACATTTTGTTTTATTTATTTATTAGAGCCTAAAATCATAAATGTCAAATTTGCAACATCATGTACCCTTTTTCAGATTTTTACGCTTTCGAATGCTAACATTCTGATTTTAGCATGTTAACATCACATTAGAGCTGCAAGTACAGTATTTTGACAGTTTAAAGATAAATCAGTCACACACAGTTGAGGAAGATCCCTCAGATATAAGAAGAAACACTTCAAATCAATAGAAATGAAACAGTATTGCAAATAAAAAGAAAAAACACACACTGGTGGAAGTATTAACGTCACAAGACACGGATGAGAACTGAAAGAGAACATACTGCTGATGATGGGACGCAGGCCAGAAGGTTTGTGGGGTTTTCCCGGTGATGAAAACACCAGGGAGAAAACTGGACCACGAGTCTCTGACCGCCAGGCCGCCTCCACAGAGAAACTCTCCATGTGTGGGATCAGATGACCTTTCACTTTGTGAGCGGCCAAAACTGAATCTCTCTCAGCTCAAGCTCACGTCCGCCTTCAATCACCAGCATTAAAGCACAGAGCCGACCGAGTTACCCTGAGGTCAGGTGCATTTACATTTTGTGGATTTAGCTGTTGTTTTTCATTCACAGTGGCTGAGATTCAGTGAAACAGAAAGAAGGCAGAACAAATTCCTAGACTGCCAATTTTTTCCTTTGCAGAAAATGTTTCTGCCAGATGCCACATTGGTTTCTTTGTCTGTGATGCAGTGCCAAACGACTTGCTGCAGGGATACATAGTAAGTGGGGTTTAAGCTGCTTAATAATTCCTAAAGACAGGTTCACATCGCTGGAACTAATAGATAGGACTTCACAAAACATTATTAATAATTAATTCATTGACAATTATTTTCAAGTCAGACACATTTTTGATGTTTTAAAGAAACAAACTTAAAATAACAGTTGTAAAAATCATTTGGATGGGATGCTGACTTGTATTAGGGAGAATTGCGTCTCTCTAATTGCCACTTGTGTTGCCTTCCATTTGACAATGGGAAGTCGGATTTCCGACTTGGAAAGTCGGGAGAACCGCACTACCCTGACTTTGTGATCCAAGATGGCTGGTCTGAGTATCAACAGTTAGTGAAAGCTGTAGTTTATACTGTTTATTTTCTGTGTACTTGTGACTCAGAAATGTTTGTACACAAAGTGCCGTCCAACTGCTGACTGTGGACGTGTTGCTACAGTGTTTAGTACAAGTAAATACCACACAATGCAATCAACCGGCGTAACAATAGCTAACCAGGCTAGTTGTAAACAATAAGGTTTCCCAACTTGTAACTGGAACGCCGTCAACTCGGGTGTGACGTCATTCCCACTTCTGAGGTAAATGGAACGCACCATTAGAGCCCGGGATGCCTTTGGGTGAGAAATCTGTAGCGAGAACAGTGTAATACTTAACGGAAAGCTTCTGAAACCCTGAAATTCTCAGCAAAGAACTTCAGATATCATGGCAAAGGCTGCGAAGAGACCGAAGAAGACGTTGTTGGAGGAAGCGGGGAAAAGAAAAACAGAGAGTGACAGAGCAAGAGAACGGCCTGAGCTAAAAGAGCTGAGAGGAAGCAGACAGATGACGAGCTGGCCTTCTTTCTGTTGGACTAGTCGGTAATAACTTATTAGCTGGCTTACGTCTTTCGGCTTGCTTGATGTTTGGCTGTGTAAAGCTTAGTTTATACTCCTGCGTAGGGTCTATGTGCGAAGCTACGCCGTAGCCATGCATTTATACTTGTGTGTCGGTGTCTCCATCATTCTGCAATTACATCCCCAAACGCTAGTCGGCGGTAGCGATACAGCGTCCACTGTGTTGACTTTTGCCGGACGAGCAGGCTAACTTCCGGTTTAGCCCTCTGCTAGCGTGAATGGGGGTAAAATTATATACGTGCAGCTGGTGTAGCCTTTTCAAAAGTTATCGACCGAATTTATCACATTCTAATAGTGAAACGAGTCATTTCGCTCGGGTTGTGACGGTCAAATATATTGATCCACCGTGTTACAGCCGCCATTTTGGCCGCTAGTAAAAGTTACTTCAAAGCACGGGCCACTTCCTGTCGACTCTGAGGCATTGCGAGGCTACCCAGCCGAGCAATCACGGTGCTTACGGTTTGCGTCGCCTCGACGTGTAGTTACAATTTTGAGGAGGTGCACGTCAGGCTGTAGGGTACGGGGCTACGCAGAGGCTACACTGTCGATTCGACCAGAAGTATAAATTGCACTTCAGTATAACTGGCAGCTCCCGAGAACATACTGCACAGTCCTGACTCGAATTGGCAACCTCGGGTATGGGAGGCGGACACGCGTGGTTAAAACCTATAGGGGTGGTGATGGTACAGTGGTTAAGACGCATGGCTTTGGTGTGGGAGACCCAGGTTCAACTCCCCAATGTGTCCCTGAGCAAGACACTCAGCCCCAAGTTGCTCCAGAGGTTTGCGACTCAACAAACTTGCAAGATTACACATTCAGACATCACGTTACTGAAATAGAAAATAAAAACAGGATAAAATAACTTTTAAAGGTGAAGAATTAATTGCCAAATCACAATAACAAACAAATACACTGCAGAGAAACTGACAGAAGAGGTTAGCCTACAAACATGTTGTAATGCTACACTTAGCATGCTAAAACCAAAGTGGCTACCATTAGCTCTTTTTTGACGTTGAACTACTGCTTTCACCTTTAAAGGGTAACTTTTCAATCTTGACCCTATTTTACTATGTTTCTGTGTCAGTGTGACTAATTGGGAAATCTTTTTTTTTTTTAATTGGTCCAATATTGAGTGAGAGCACTGCAGTCGCAAGCAGCGAGACAAGGCTGGAGGCGGCGTAATCCTTGCTAGCAATTATTGCAAGGCTACCCAGCCGAGTAAGTGCTCCTGTGTCAGTTGCTGTCTATCTTCGTTGGCTAGCGTGCCACCCAAGTTTCAAGCAACATTATGTAACTTTTGTACCATAAAATTACAGCTGATGGACAGCGGCGCGGTATTGTGCCAGAACAAAAAGTGAGTGACCAAGCAAGAGGCCGGCGGACGTTGGCGAGAGCTTTGTGAAATAAAAGGCTGCAAGACAGACGTCAAGCTTGCCTTCTTTCTGTTGGACTGGTCAGAAATAGTACCGTGTCTTGCTCGTACTTGCTTGATGTTTGGCTGTGTTAGCAAATTAGTCGACTTGCTAGTTTTGATGGTAATGTACTCACATCAAATGCACCAGTACAGCTGTCCTTATTTATGACAGCAGTGATTTCCACTCTGAAAGAGTAGGGGCGCCAAATTGCTTTAAAAAATCTTGACACAGACAGTAAGAAGTAAGCGTATAATAGTACAACATTCCCACCCTCACACCTTTAACCGAGCAAAAGCTCTTGCCAAGGAAGCTGCGCTGGACGTATCTGAGTGAAATTTGGGATGGCGGTGCTCAAAATGTCAAAGTTGAGTTCGGAGACGTGAAGAAGACAGTCAAGATAATAATACTTAGACTTTCATGATTAATCTTACATACTTTTACTTAAGTAACATTTTTGAGGCATTACTTTTACTTGTAACAGTATTTTTACAAAGTGGTATCGCTACTTTTACTGAGTAGTTCTGCAGGTTGCATATACACGTTAAATTGTTGATAAAAAAGAATATATTGTAATGAATAACAATGTAAACGTATAACCCATTATTTATTCTACTCCAGCTGCTGATGTGACTGTAAAGTTTATTTTTGGCAGAGCAGCTTGTCTGTAGTTGAGGGTGTTATGTGTCTTCTTCAGAGGGAACCTCTAATTTTCCTGTATCAACGCTGCAG